TTTTGTACTTTTTATATACATTTTCTACTATTTCAATCATTAAAAAGAATCGTTTTTAACGTGTACACGATAAAGATATTTCACAGGATTCGCTAAATTTAATAAAGCTTTGCAAAACCGAAATATATTTTTTCTACACCCGTATTATAATAATGCACTTATATGCCCATAATCCGTTTCATAATGATACCCATTATGATACAGATTTTTCATTACGATACAGATTTTTAATCAATAGAAACCTACAATTTTTCAATCAAGCATGCTGTTTGACGTTTGTCCTAGGTTCCTATGTAATTATTTTAGTTGTCAAAACGTATTAAATTTTCGTAGGTAGCTAAACTTCGATAATTATAATATTAAAATGTCTGATATTAGCGATATAGAAGACTCCTCCACACATATCGGAGAAAGCAGAAAATACAGTACAAAATATTTTACCGCAAAAATCTAGGGAAATACCAATACCTGAAGTAATACCATTAATTACAATTTTGTAGAATTTTTTATAGAAATACGAGTAATTACTGTTATTGTGTTCAATACCAATATAAATATAATATTTATAGGTCTTGATTATTTATCGGGTGTAGAAAAAATAGCGTATGCAACTCTCATGTAATGGTTATTAAAACACTCGCATAAACCATACGAAACTCGCCTTTGGCTCGTTTCGTATCCCGGTTAATGCTCGTGTATTAATAACCATCATTACATGATCGTTGCATAATATACTATTTACATTTTAAATCTGTCTCAAATAAATTTTTCAAAATTATATACAATGAGTTGTATTATCTATTATTGCGTGTGATAAAAGTGTTTAGGAAAACTCAGAAATTAATGAATTCATAACGTTTCTTCAAAAACTACCAAATGTCTAAGGACTGATTGTTTTGTTTCAATAAAGCTTCTATAGATAAAATTTCGTTTTATTTACACCTTTGAAAATCAGGCAGCGATCACATCGTTTGTTATTACAGAGATCAAAGAAGGCCATCGTTGGGACATATAGAAGTTACCAAAGCAAACTTCAAACGAAATAGCTAAGTCCAGTTTGAATTTGCGCAGATTGCTTTATTTAAAAAATATTTGCTATTTAAAGCCATAAGTAAATATGTTGATTGTAATCGAGATGATACGTTTATTCAATAACTATTCTAGCTATAATCTAGAAACTTCAACTGATTTAAAAGTTGTTTGAGGTAGTTCCATGTTAATCAGATTTCTTCATTAACAAGTGGCATACCGGTCATCGTGTAGGGTCTTGTTCCTAATGTATCCTTGTGCACTTAAAATTATTCTGAGTATCTTTGATTGGATGGCTTAACACAGTCCCAGAGTTGGATACAATAAGTCCAGATAAGCTTGATTGCACTTATCGTCGCAGATACCTACCACCATGCATTCCTCCTCAGACCAAAGATCTCTGCAGTGCGGATGAAGAGGCAGGTAACCATATAGCGACCCGAATAAAATACACATCCATTACCTCCTCTGCCATTAGTCACATTCGCACCCTGCGCGTGTCTTCATTCGCAACCTTTCCTGCTTTGTAATATTTTATTTTTTATAAATGAATAAGAGCCGCGCCTTGATGAGGAAGTTGAACAAGAACAAATTTACTCCCAATACATTTAGACGCAAGATATCTAGCAGCAACTTCTAAAAGTTTGTGGATATACGCTTGATCTACTTGCATCAGTGGCAAAATACGGCTGCATGGGAATCTACTTTTTCGACATTAAATGTGATAAATAACAAGTCTCAAAGAATGTCATTGACCTACAAGGGAATGTCAGCACCTTAGACTAGGTAATAAAGAGAGGACTCGTAACGTCGCTAAAAATCTTAAGCCATTTTGAAACCAATGATATTTGACCAAAGGCGTAACATGTTGGAAATAAAAAAACGAACTTGTATTTATGTTATTAGTACTTCATTGATCTTTTCAAGTATAAAGCAAGTTCAAAGCGTAAAATTTAAAATAAATAAGTATAACAATAAATAAGACTCAAGAAAAAAATATATTGAAATAAACTAAATAAAATCGTTTACATAATAAAATGAGTTTTTTTTAAATTCCGCAAAATAAAACAATGATCTACATGTATTACAAAAAGATTTTGTACTTAATAAAAAATGACACTACCCTGATAGCACAGACACGTTTTAAAGACATCTTAAATACGTTTGTTCACGATGTTCGTGACGTTTTGAATATCTACGCTAATATCCAAAAGATGTTTTAAAGGCGTCTATAAGACGTACTTTGTTACAAAACAAGGCGTCTTTAGGACATCTAATTTTGTACGTCTTTAAGATATCCAGTTTTGTACGTCTTGAAGACAAACCGTATTGGACGTATTTAAGTCGTCTATTTACTTGATGGAAATTCATTAAAAAAATAAATGAATACTTGTCTACTATATTTAATACTCTTTATTAAACATTATTGAACTATTAAAACTGACACAGAGTAAATATTATTTTACAGTCTTGGATAAAATAATTAAAAAATGACTTCAAGTACTTATTGCTATGAGAAACTACCTATCCCAGTTTGGTCAATTTAAAAATTTCTTTTACGGTATTAATTTTAGCCAAAGCGTTTGTAACTAATATCTCCGTAGCAATTTTGTTGAGTTATTGTTTTAAGGTGTTTTTCTAAAAAATGAGACATTAAAGTGAGGTTATGAAATTAAAAGGCAAATAAATTAAAACTTACCGTTTTTTAATGATAAAGTTTACTAGTTCCTAAATAATATAAAAAGAATATAAAACACACAACCACGAAAAAGTAATGACAATGTCCGCAGACTGACTCTAAAAATATTATACAATGGCTGTTCCGAGAAGGCAGCTAGAGGAAGAACACGACTCGATACGCGCGCGCGAGACTCCAATCAGCCAGTGACGAATGACAATCTATATACGCTGCAGGCAGCGCCAATCGCCAAGAACGCTGTCGTGGCGCCATATTCAAATATAGCGCAAAGAGTTGAACGTACACATTCCGACATATTTAAAACGTCCTAAAAACATCCCAACAAAGACGTTTTAAACATGTCCTGAGCAGGGCGTCTTAAAACCGTCCGTTTTACGTACCGTGACATTTGGACGAAAGTGAGACATGAACTGGACGTCTTTAAGATGTAGTGTGCTACCTCGGTATTATTAAATTAAGTTAGTAAGAAAAATTATACATAAATGAAGATACATTTATTACTGACCCTTAACTAATACTAATTTGGTACAATAACAAGAAGTTTTAGCAAACAACTCTTTTTTTTTATATCTTTTAAGTTTTTGTTTAAGAACTTTGATTTGTCTTGTTTTTTTCTTTATTCTTTTCTGCCTGTTGTAAAAGTTGTCTTCTAAGCCGTTTTATGCTAGGGCTTTCTAGGATAGATTCCTTATTTGAAGTTCTATTTGAAGGGCCTGGCTCAGCTTCCAAATGCAATGCTCTTCTTTTTAAGTACTACAAACAATCAATTATTACGGTAATGTTTTAAATTATACACAAAAGGGTTGCTAAATTCTTAAAAGTTCATAACATAGTAATGAAAAGTCATTAAAAAAATATATATGTTTAATTGTGTTTATTAGTATATGCACCTTCTTCGGCTGCATGTATTTAGAGAATTCAGGAAATATAGTGGGAACTGCTCCATTTAGTAAACGTCTTTAAAAAAAAATGTCTTTCAAAATGTTTTGAACACTATCATTTGGCGTAGGCATCCAATTTGCAATTTTCTTTGCCCAAATCCAAAGATTTTTTTTGCTGGATCCACAGGAAATCTAAAATAAAATAACAACATTTCTGCAATTAAATAAGAAGCAAAAGCAAATTAGAATTTAATAAAAGTTAATATTTAGAATTGTACGACACGCCACTGGAAAAAATTACATGTTTAGCCATTTTAATATCATTAATTGCTTAAATATCAATAAAAAGCATAAAATAAACAAACTTGGTGGGTAAAATTTATTACTCAGGAGCGAGACATGTACAATATGTAAATATGAAGTTGTATAACACCAAATAAATTGAAAAATATATAAAGTGAAAACGATTGATGTTTATCATTTACCTGTAAAACGTAATATCTGCTTATTTCTTGCCGCTGTAACTTTAACACTGATATGCCACACAATAAACCAATTATTAAATGTCGTTTAATTCAAAAATCAGAAATAAACACGAACAAAAACTTTGGTGTCACCGAAATGATTAGCACCAAAATAATGGCGGCCAATATATAATCAACACAGAATACTACGTGTGCTCGATATACTTGTTACGCGTCCTCTCTTTATTACCTAGTCTAGGGTCAGCACAGACGAGGAGAAAATCAAACAGCCTTGACAGCCTTTCAAGGAAAATTATAAATGTAACAAAATCAGGATAACTTTGATAAAATTTACAAACATCAGCAGATTTTGAGCTCTCGAACAAAAAACTGTTGAAGAGTGACTTAATTGCGGTTTTTGAAAAATTTTTATTCGATCACCTGTTTGGCCCATAGCGCTCGCGAACTTAAAGCAATGCAAAAATGGGGTTGTGGCCTTCAACGACAAATGTGTAATGGACATGTCTCTCTTTATATATAAATACCAGGGTAGTACTCACTCGGGGTTTTTGTCATAAATGTCCTCTATCTAGATGAAGACTAGACAAGAATTTTTTCTTTTACACTAACCCTTTGTGCAAATCAAAAATAGATATTTTTTTAACACCCCCAATGTAAGCCAGATAGCCCGGGAGTAAATGAAAGGGATCATCAAGACATCGAATTCGACCAACATACCAATTTTTGGCTTTATTCTAATTTTTCACAGATAAATCTACTCTATCTCCTATTAAAGAAGTGGTGCCTTTTTAGTGTCGGAAATAAAAAGGCAACTGAAAAATTATTCATTTTATGTACATTTTAACTTGATATTTTACAGTAGCTTACAAACTAAGTTATAAATTATGTTTTTTGTAGTCAAATAATAGAAATCACAAAATCACGTAACCAATACTATGTGAAACGATCTGAATGCAAAAAATTCAGTCAATTTCTTATTGTACTTATAAGATACAAGAAAAAATCATTTCTCCAATTGAACTAAGGTTGAATGCACAATTATTATACAAAAATATTTCTCATTAATCGATAATTAAGTCAGTCAGTGCACTTGATATATCCACAATTTTATACAAGTGAAGTATTTCAGATCTCAACAGATCCACAGGTAAGCCTACTTTTAGATCAATCTGGAACATTACTTATCATTAAAACAAATATTTCTTCATTCCTAAATAGTACAGCTTCGCCGCCAATTAAAAATAAAATTTCGTTTTTTAGATAAAATTAACTATAAAATAATACTAATACTTGGCCAACGAGCATAGTCCAATAATATCTTCGCAATTTACTCTTTGTAATTATTGCTGCTAATATTCCAGTTTGATCTGTAGCATTTTTTATGGACAACAAAAAATTGCTGCCAATATACTTTTCTTCATCACTTAAGATAGATGTTCACTATAAAACAAATAATCCTAATAGACTGAACGATTGATGATTTTAAATAATTTCGTTGATTCAAATAGTTAATTTATACGCTGCTCATACTTAGGTACGTTTTATGACTAACAGCGTCCAAACTAATGATAAAAAATAAATATAGATTCTAAAACCCAATTTCTTTTATACTATTAAAAAAAAAACGAATCCTTCAATCTACCAGATTACTATTTTCAATATTAGGAATCGTGCTGTTTCTGTTTTCGGTATGGTTGGCTTGAAAAACAGTCCTGCCAAAGTAAAATCACTTAAAAACGAGTAATTAATCTAACGGAGGTACATTATATGACTGATTTTAATTTTAATCAAATGAATTTGAATCTTCGTAATCCACGTTCCTGAAAATGAAATAATACATGCAGGTTTTAGTACGGACTGATCCATAAAAAATGTTTCTAAAGGAGAATATAACACATGCCAGAACGTACAATGATTATTATTTTTTAAATGATAGTTTGGAGGCATGCAGTTGTCACGGCATGACTCGTATCTCTCTTTGTTAGTAATGGGCCTACATTAGAAACATTTTTTGTATATCACACATTATAAAATATTATACACTCCATTATTTTCCTCTCCAAATCTATGATCCCATTTTTATTTTCATTTAGAGACTATCAAGTGATTAATTAAAATATCTTTCATTCTTTTTAGAAATGTATTTGACAAGAACAGTTCTAGCTACTAAAATTTTGTTTTCTAATCACAAACCGAAAACGTAAAGCAACACCTTCTATTTAAGATTAACTATCCATTAACAATAATGTCACTGGAAACATGTTATTATGTGGCATAAGAAAGATACAACAGAGGAATACACTATACTATATCTTGAACAAGTACATAAAGCTTTGGAATGTGATAGCCATAAAACATCATAAGGAAATTCTGTTTTCGATTGGATTAAAACATATTTTCAACAAACAAATGCTATGTAGAATGGTAAGGGCACCATATTTTGCATTTTAATTAGGCTCATAAAATTGTTGCCAAGTCTGGGAAATATCCCAGAACTTCACAGTTTTTGTACTAATAAATTAGCCTTAAATGTGTAATGGACATTTGAATATTATTTTAGTGAGAAATTCGGCTGAAGCAACTAACAAAACTGTTCGACAAGAGATGATTTATTATTGATTAATTCGGGTTTTCCGTAGACATTTGTATAGTGTGTCATTTATTTTTAGTAAAAATTCTTTATGTTATAATATTAATTGATTTTATATTGATCTTAACCACCACAAAATGCAGCACCGTTGAACTATTTCGGTACTAATATTTTACCTATAAATGTATAATGTTATTTGAGTGAATTTTGTGATCCAGAAACTGCATTTGTTTTTCAATTTTGATGACATGCTGAATACACTTTCGCCACTGTTCCGAATTAATAGAGTAACTTATTTTTTTATCCTTTCATTTGTGCTCAAATCAATTCGATCTGGTTTAATTCAAATTTTCCAGAACTAACCTTAAGTGACAGCTCTGTTGCTTTGGTAGAAGAATGGTTTTTAAATTTGAGACTAATCTTGAATCCTAATGACACCAGAACATTTTTTTCAAAACTAATCGTATGCCAGATACTGCTGATATTATATTAAATAATCGTCAAATTCCATTTTCACAGAATGCTAAATGCCTTTGAATCTATAGTTTAAGACACACTGGCCAGTCATACTCAATGTATTTCTAATGGGAGACCGGCACACTGTGTTGCCGTCTTTCCGATGGCTGTGACAGGGTCGGTCCAGTAGTAGTCAATGTTATTAAAGCATGTATTCTTGGTTGAGGACCGTTTGTCTTTTTTGATGTCTAATTAGACGGCTTTCTGCAAATTTTTGATATTTAGACTTTTGGCATAATATTGCATTAAGAACCGCATCCTTTACTACAAAAAAAGATCCAGGCCACATTCTAGTACCTAGCGTTATTTGTTAGCCAATGAACCAGCCGACTAAATTGGTTAAGCATTAAGCAAGTAACATGCCAGCAGAAGCAATCCAAGCGGCTTTCTGCACAATAAAGAAGAGAGCTGGTGACAGTTCGTTATTTGGTTCTCTGTGACAGTGAGTATTAAAAATAGGAAAACGAATATTTTTGTGATACAATGTGATTGGTAATATTAGTATATCTCAAAGAATTCTTGTTAAGAACAAAAGCTGTTGGATAGGAGAAGGAAAGCCCAAGATTTGGTCAGATAAGTCGTGTATTAAGATAATAAATAAAAAAAAAATGGATGTTGAGAATAAAAAAATTTGCTGTTCAAAAACAAAAATACTTCTTAATAAAAAAAAAAAAATTATTTTGAAGACAACACGTATACTGAAATAGATATCAGAAAAACAAATGGGTCGCCCGGTATTATTCATGGACTTGCTAATATCACTGTGGCTTGAAGGAAAAAAGTATAAAATCCAAAGATAGAGGACCAAAACATCTGTGATTCACTTTATTGCAAACGATTGCATACAATTTTATAAACATATAACCGGCAAGGACATCGACGACAATGTGGATGGATTCAGCGGAGCACCTGATTTTGAACTGAAACCTATGATAGAATAACTTAAAAAGACAATATTATTTTTTACCTACTTCCTTTAACAATAAAGTATCTTTAATCAAACAGTATTTTTTAAATTTATAAAGCTAGCGCTACTTTAGGCAGACGTTCAACCGCCGATCTTCAGCAACAGAACGTCTGCTGCAGACAAAACCTTATAATCTTTTACGAGCAATTCATTAACTCACTACATTGAGCTGAAGATCGGTTAAAACGCCTGACATTTGAATTTACTACGTAAAGATCTGCGGCTCATTTTAGGCAGCTGAACTTCTGCCTAATGTGTCGAGCGACAAAATTTATGCAGGACAATAGAGATAATTCATTTTTAACAATGAATACAAGGAGTATTTATAAAAAAAGAAAAATAATTCCAACTCAAATGTGACCAAGATATAAAATAAATCGATCACGAAGCCATGTCACACCAAATACAAGCGACCGTTTCTCTTCGGAAAACAACTACTCCTTTGGCTAATACCGTTACAGGCATTGCATTGTATCGAAAGGAAAATAGCAGTTACAAAATAATTTTCAAGACTCTTTTATTTTGTCTCCTACGGAGAACATCGTCCTTGTTTAGTTTTGAAATAATGCAATGAATGTTATGGTATTAGCCAAATGAGTAGTTTTCAGGATGGAAACGGTCGCTCGACCTTTCTGAGATAAGAACTTTGATGTTTTCTATTTTTCCTTTGTTTTTATTTTTATTATGAAGTCTAGATAACAACTAAATAAATATTACAATATTTCAGGCAAACAAAAGAAGTAAATTGACCTAATTGTACTTTAATTTCATCTCAGCATACTTCCACGTAAATAATAATCGGTATAATTTTAATATTGTGGATTTTTAATTATTGCAGAAATATTTTCACTATAGGAACATAAAACTGAAAAGCCATATTACCCTGCATATTCAACCAAATTTTCCACTCAAATAATAATCAATAACAAATGTACAGCTGTTTAAGCACACTGGTATCAACAACTATAATTTTAATTATGTACTTTTTATTATTGTTCCTTGACAGCTATTGATCTGGGATTTATTTTTGATACCACAACATACATTCCATAGTAAGAAAAGCCATCACAATACTTAGCTTCATCATAAGATATGCTGGGTACGTCAATGATACAAAAGCAATAATTATGACACTTTACAATGGCCTGCTAAGAAGTGGCAACCTACTTACACCTGTCATACAAACAGAATTAAAAGGTTGCAACATAAATTCGTAAAATAGCTACTCTTCAAGCACAGATTCCATAGCCATGACACATATATTCAAACAAGGTTATTGCTTTGTGGCATGCAGGTTTATTTCTATCCCTGGCAAAATTAATAGGTGCTTCCATGATACTATAAAACGAAAGTATGATAACACAGCGCTGCCTTAAAATTATAAGGTTCTATGTCACATGACGTGATATGAGAAAAACGCGTCTGAAGTTTCACGTATTGTAAATATTTGGATAAAGGATTATTTTATGTATGTGTTTTCTGTTTATAGAACTTTTGTTTAACATCAGACATGTTCTATGCGACACATAGAACCTCACTGCGCTAATAACTAACGTTGTGCCAAAATTGTAACATAACGTTATAATAATTTTAAGCAAGCGACAAACTGATACTACGACACTGTGACGTATCGTGGTGCGGAGGCGTGGCTTTTACGAATTTGAGGTATCAGTTGATCGAAAACAGCGAGAATATACATTTTAATCTCCTCATTACCATTACAGATAGTCCATATTCCGCACCACACTATTTTCTGAAATGTTTTGTATCATGAGTGTTTCTATCAAGTGCGGGTCACTACTTGAAGGAGTTCAACTATTGGTTCATGTCCAACGGACTTGGCACACATCACTTTTGAATATAAAAAGACAGAATCAATTACAGACAGTGTGTTTATGGATCGCTTGTGAAAGAACTATGATAAATTTTGAGGTGATATATCGCATTTAACTGTAATATGTTAGTGCTAAAAAGAGACTTGCAACTACTGAACGTCTTAGTTTATTCCGTATCGTCCGGCAGTGTTGTAGTGTTTCTTTTTTTTATTAATTATCGCATTACAGTTGTTTGTGTTAGGTAAGATATAATACTGTACTATTAAGAAATTATTTTCTGTAGGTATCGATATCATATAAAAACGATCGTTAGTTACAGTCCTGCCCACACAAAATGACGTCAAAATAATTACATTAGAAACCCATTAACTGCCCAGGTTCAGATTATGTTTCTAGTATTTTATTATTATAACATCATGTTTATAAATTTCTGTATCTGTAACATGTAGAGGGTGGGTTAACCCATTATGCATCCTCCTAAGTAGATAGGCAACCTCCTGGCTCGAGAGCCAGCCTACAGATTTAATGTAGTTGACAAAGTCGCCAAGAGGTGGTTCTCTTATATTGACCGGTGTTAGCCAATTCTTGCTGAATACAAATCTTCTAATAAATGAGAGCATCAGGCGATCGTAGAGGATATGCTCAATGGTATCATCTTCTTGTTCGCACCCCCTGCATAGAGCGGATTCTGTCAGCCCCATGATATGGAGATGCTTCCGTACTTGGCTATGACCAGTCAGAAAGCCTGTGATCAGGCGCAGATTCTGTCTAGTCATAGTATTTGTTTGCTGTAGTGTTGTCAGAATGACTTAAAAGCTCCCTGGCACGTCAGCAGCTTCTTGTTTCATTCCATCTTTTCTTGAATTTCACAAGGGAATGTTCTCTGGTTAGGTTTGTCACTACCGATGTTGTCAGTCCAATAGAAGAGCCACAGGTCCAAAAAGTATTTGGTTGGCTGCCTTCTTGACCAGTGAATCAACAAAACAGTTACCTTTCAATGTGTCATAACCGTTTATCTATCTTAAGTTGACCACATTGTTGATGGATACTACGACCAAAGCTTCATGACATTCTAGTACTAACCCTGAGTAAATTCGTGGTCTGTCCAGAGTGAGTAGTGCTTGTCTGATATCTATATAGATGATCGGTTTGAACTACACTGGCACTATTCCCAGCCCATTTTATGTTTAGGTTTAAGGATCTGGAGTATATGTTCTGTTATAATTTTATATGGCTTATGGAAGATATATCTCGGTGAGATAGAGTCCATGTTCGTTTGAAACAGTGGGAGCGTATCAAGCGCCTCATTCCAAAAGCGAAGTCTCGGCTCACTAGATCCTATATCAGGTCCTAGTCCAACCGAGCAGAGACGTGTCACTGTCATCACCTCCTTGACGTAAATATCAAGGGGAGTGAGACTAAGAATGACTGCCATGGCCCAGGTCGGTGTAGTTTTCATAGCTTCTGTTGAGACATGCTGTTCTTTGAATTTGTTCTAGTTTGTGGATAACTGTCAATTAATGTTTATAAAATATAAGCAACCAAAAAACCGACAATTGTTTAAAAAAAATAAACATTTACGCTAATATAAATAATTTTAAAATTAACCGAAATTTGTACAACTCTGGGTACCTTATTCTAATTCTCTATGTACTTGTTCAAATATACTATCAATATATTGAATTTTTATCTCCATGTGTTGATGTATGAATAATTTTCGTTACATTTTTTATTAACTTAAAGAAGGGAAGCTCTAACAGGGTTGTTTAAATACTGGTATCACCTGATATTCTCATACCTTCAATGGAATTTATTAACCATCATACTTTGTAAGTCAAATAATAATTGGTCTTTCATCTTTTAAGATGATTTTTTTTTGCTTAAGGTAGTTCACTCGTAAAACGGCTTTTCTTAAGAATTCAATAAAATTTAAATATAAGGTTTATGAAAGTGTCGTTTATAAAATTTTATAAATTATCGCTGAATTTTTTGACCGTCTTAGTAAAAATAAAAATATTTTTAAAGCAGTTGACGAGTAGTTTCGTAAAATTATTACAACTTGGCAACATTGTAGCCACTTCACGTAACAAAGTAACACTCGATCAGCAAAGAGGTTGTTATAAACTCGCGACGTGTTCTTGAAAAATTAATTCGTCCACTGTGTTTGAGAACTGGAATCAGCGGTTCTGTTTGAATCAAAACAAACCCTTAAAATTAGTATGAGGAAGTCACAAATTTCTATACCATATCGTTTAAATATTTGCGAGATTGCCGGATGAATTTGATTAAAATTATAACATGTCCATATGTGTTTATATACATGTTTTGTACAGTCTCTTACAAAAATAAAATTGATTAGCATTGAGAATCTCGAACTTTTGGTATTCACCATTACGCAATATTTTTATGTACGACTGTCGCGAGTGAACTACCTTAAATACATCATATGAGTACATTTGTGTAACAGCTATACAGTTTCACAAATATACTTATGAGAATTTATACCATAAAAAGGTTAAAAGTTTCGGCAAAAATGGGGCATTAAATGGGATTTTTAATTAGGTTAATTAGGTAAGGTATAAAAACACTAATAAATATCATAATGCTAAATGGATATTAAAAGATGAATGACCAATATGAATATGATTTGAACTTCAATTTGATTTATGTTATAACGAGACAATGGGGAATTCTCCTGGTAAAAGAAAATATAAAAAATATCGAAAATATATGCCCTACCAAATTATTTTTGACTTAAAAATGTAGTATTTTGGTATATAGGGTTAGATTTGATATACGTTTGTGTTAGATGTTTTTTTGCTTATTTTCTAGGTATTTTTGTTTAAATTTCCATTTACAAAATGGTAGGAAAAACATGTAAAGTATTTTTATGCTTGTATATGTTTGAATAAAATATTACTTTTCACGCATGTCAAAGAATTTCGGAAGAAGAAGAAGTCAACTAATATATGGATTCGAAAAATTGGCTTTCGCTTTAAAAGAAGTAACAATAGACAGTTTTTATTGGAACGAACATCGATTCAGTTAAAAAAAAATGTGTTTGAAAATGTTTAAGAAGGAGATAGAGCTAGTAACTTTAAGCTTGTATTTATGGATGAGACATTGGTATATAGCAAGGGAAGTGACAGAAAAAGTTGGCAAGATGGAATGATGGCTACTGCAAATAAAAAAAAAAAACAGAAGATGGAATTCGATACATAATTTTCCATGGTGGCAATGAAAAAGGGTCTATAAAAATGCAGACCTCATATTTAAATCAAACAAAAAGCGAGGATTACCATAATAATATGAACACAGAAAATTTTGAAAAATGGTTTAAGACAAAAATACCTAGTCTGGAACATCCTTCTGTGATTATTATCAATAAAGCCAGTTATTATTCGCGGTACGTGGAACCAATTTCATGTTATAGTTGGACAAAAGATAAATGGTAAAATGGTTGTAGGAAAAGAACATTAATTCAATCAACGGTATGAAATATCAGGTTTGGGAAGTTGTATGTCAAAATCTACCACGAAAAGAATTTAGGAATATGGGCATAAAATATTAAGAACTCCTCCATATCACTGCCAGTACAATGCGATAGAGATGGTGTGGTCACAGTGCAAACGGTTTTATAACGAAAAAAATTTTAACAACAAAGTCGTCATTGGAAGATGTATTTCAGAAGCTTGGTCAGAAGCTTTGAAAAATGTTACTGATACTCAGTGGGACAATTATGTAAGACACACTAAAAATAATTGTTTGCGATTGAGAAAAATACAAACAATTAGATGTTTATAATCTAGAACAAATTATTATTAATTTAGATACAACGGCAAGTAGTGATGAGTCTGAATCAGAGTCCAGTTGTGAAGAAAATTATATTAATTAAAAAAATTTATATGAGTTATCCAATAAATATTTTCTTGTAAAAATATATTTTTTTAACAAAGAATATGTCTCACTAATTTGCACCTGTTTTGGATTCTTTAAAAACTCGAAAAACGCTAAAAACCAATGTTCAGCTGGGAAATTTATTTATAAAGTAAGAAAGTAAATTGTTCTAGTATTTGTAGAGAAAATGTCAAACGTAATCTGACCTCTTGTATTCGTGTAAATGCACCTTAATAAGGTTTACAATGCTAAGCAACATCAAAGCATAACTGAAATAAGACATGTGCAAACTGTAACTAAAAATGCAACTCTTTTGTCAGAGGACTTGGAGTATTTCTATAACTTTACAAGCCACGAAAGCGATATTTTCCGGACATGAATGTAGTGTCTCAACTTGGTAATCTTTGTTATTAGTATGTACTGTACAGCGTTGCCAATACAGTTTCAAAAAGTTATTAAAATATAAAAATCACCACTTTTACATATTTCTTAAAATTCGGTGATTAATTAAAAAATAAATGTATGTATCAATTTCGGAAATAATAAGAGGAGAATTCCCAATTTAAAAAGAAGGTAAAAAGTTTGAAATTTTTAAAAAATTCCAAACTGTAATATTGATAAAAAAAATTTAAAACTTTACCTAATTTTTAGTCTGCGTAAACAATATAATCTGGATCATTGACTTCAACTTGCACGAATGGAGGCTGAAGCATTTGTATGCTACTTGAAGTACGTTGCATATTATTTCTAGACCTAAAAAAGTACATTTTTTATGTACCATTTTAACTTGTGACCAATTATAATATGGGGTCTTACTTGGCTTTGGCATGTGTTAAAATGTGACTCTTTAGGTTCGTTGATTGTGCAAATTTTTTGTTACAACCATCAAATGGGCACACATATGGTCTATCTCCTGTATGTATCCTCACATGAGTCCTAAAAATTATAATTTTATATTAAAAAACAATTTGATCGCTACTGGTACCCTTCTCTATGACAGAAGGCAACAACAATTTACCTTAGGTTAAAATCTAAACTGAATCTCTTTCCACATCCTTCAAAAGTACATTGGAACGGTTTTTCGCCAGTGTGTACTAACTGGTGACGTTTAAGTTTACTGGACTCTACAAAAGCTTTTCCACATTCTGCACATACATGAACACGAGGTCCATGTGTATGTAAGTGCTTTCTCATTGCAGAATTATCCCTAAACATCTTGTTGCAACCTTTGTGAGGACATGCTGCAATAAAGTATAAAATATAGTAATTTGACAATAATAGTATATTTATCTCACCTATGGTTCTATCTGAATTATCCTGATTTGGTCTACGAACTCTAGGGCTCTTCAATCCAGGTCTTGCAAACTCAGCTAATTGCTTGGGATCTGAAAGATCTAATCCTGGTATACCGTCCACTGGAATTTTTTTACCAGTCATGTATTCTGTGTAATCTGGATCTGGTTCTGGATTTGAACCCTCATCTTTAAATAATCAAAAAATAAATAAATAGAACTTTACTTACACATCAAAAATTGCGCCGTCATCTCAAATTTTAACAATAGTATCCAAAAAAAATTATAATAATTTTGTTATTCTTGACCAGGTCCAAATTTAAATCATTTTTTTTTCTGTCAAATATTTTAAGACATCTGTCCTTTGATATTAAAGTAATCAGGTATTTTATGATAAATTATCTGAATTTGTATTGGATGGAAAATTTGTCCACAACATATACATGAAGAGATCACTTCTCTCAAAAATATTGTAGGTATTAAATTTTCTTTAACATTTTTAATAGTATTCTTTATTTAAACAAATAAAAAAACATTATTATTAATAACTTTCAAGTTTAGCAACCTAAAACTATTTAAGCCATTTTGTTGCCAAGTTTAAGCCATTTTGTTACCAAGGATTTAAGCCATTTTGTTGCAAAGGACAAGTGTGAGATTTTTTTTGTGGTTTTCATTATAATTTGAATATTGAACTGTTTAATAAAGGTATTTAAGATGGTGAGAAAATATGTAGTGTGTCCAACGTAGACTTTTGCACACTCAAATCTAACTAGAAAGTTGACGTTTTCCGCGAATTGTCATAATTAGACATTATTGGCGCACACGTGCGCCAAATTAACTTTATAACCTGATTTATATATCCATATACCAAAATGTACCAGTTGTCCATGATAAGAGTTCAAAGTTTACTTTAAAAAGTCATTTTCTACACTGTTCAGAATAGTGTGAAACAAATTCAATACAATTTGGCAAAAACACATTTTAGAGGATAACCCTACTTTCAGTAATCAAAGAAAGAGTTAAAACTGTCCTCACCCCTGCTGATTATTTTTATTTTCTTAGGGGTGGTGACATGGTTCTAAGACTTTTTTTTAATGGGAATATTTACTCATCTTTATTTTTTTGACTCCATATTTCACATAGCTTCGAAGGAAAAAAATGTTTTCTTAAACACTGTTAACCGATATTCTTAGTACAAAATTTAGTTGGCCATGAACACCAAAACAAAAGACATGATTTTGACAGGAAACAAATTCATAAAAGTCCAGTTTAGTAAATGTTTCAATAATTTGTTCCCTTTTTGTTTTCTCATGGAAAAGGGTACTTTTTGGTGTATATACAGGGTTGGGCAAAGCAACTTGCTTGTTTGGCCGTGTTCCTGGCTGGCAGTCTATTAGTTCAAAGGAAACTGGTGACCAGGAACATGGGCATGGGGATCAATATTGAAATGTACACTGTTTCTGTGGTGATGATTAAGCGACTGTTATTAAAATACTCCTCAACAGTGAATGTGCATTGCACATTCGTCAACTCCATGATGCTAACTGAATCAAGCAGGATAAAACTTCATGAACTACCCTTTCGAGTGTGCCTACCCCCACCCTTCTCCGAGCAACCGTCGCTCCAGGGCGCCAAATTTAAATAGGCAAATTGCTCTGCCCCACCCTGTATATAAATTGGGTCTAATTGACTTATTTAAATCTCTACAATACATGGTAACTCTACTAGATCTATGTCCCAGCAATTTTGGGACCCTGTATTTTATATGAATGATCCTGTTTCAATATTATGCATATTAGTGATGTGATGATGTAATTTGTGTTCTAATGACAAATTACATTTTAGGACAGATATTCATTAACATTTAATTTCTATTATTTTCAAGAATGTATAAATTGCTTTATTTCTGTGGCAGGATAATAAATAATTATTTTAGGACCAGCAAATAATATTTCAAAAACTAATTTCATATATTTCAATGTCAGAATGGTACGTTTTTGACAAACCCCCGTAACTCGGTTATTTGATAACATAAGGCATTTTGGTTTATACATTCTATTGGCACTTTTTTAAGGTCTAATAATAATAAAAAGTAAAGCAAAAGATTACCTCTTAACATATTCGTGATAATGACTAAAACTTTGTTTTTTCTTATAGAGGCTATATTGGATTTTTATTGAATTAAATAGCTTTCATCCCCTTTTTAAAAATGTATCACAACATGGTATATTCTTTCAAATAAATATTGAAATTAGAAAAAATATTAGTTACCCATAGTAACTTGCAAAAAAATTATTACTGTAGTTGGGCATGCTTCACGATAATATCCTATTGAATGATAGAAAGACAAGCTAGACAATTAGCATAGTGTATTGCATATCAAATTATAGTTATTTTTTTATTAACACGTTCACGACGGGTGTATATTAGTATGGGACGATTTTTTTTTTTTTTTTTAGTCAAGTTGAGTCATTGTGTTTAGGGCATGGAGATAAAATAAAGTACGAATGACATAAACACCATTTTGTGATATGACAAGTGGACGCACTTCAAATGACAAAAAAAATAATGGCATTTATTCTCACCAAAACTGACTAGCTACACTATCTGGAGTTTGACATTGACGTAAAAATGTAATACAAAGGTGTGGACAATTTAGCATCATCATAGATCTCCTCTGTATTCTATCTCAATGGTTTAAGGTAAATAAATACATTAATCACAAAAAATTCGATTTTTCTTTTAGTGGTGGTACATAACTAATAAGTGGGATCAGAATAATGCCCTATATTTCTAAAAGTTTTGATTAAGTTTTACTGCATAGATTAAGATTTAATTAATCTAAAGGCGAGTTGTTTTATCTTTTCTAAAAGTAAAAAAATCATTCAATTTTAGTTCTAATATAAAATCAAAAAATTTCGTTAATTTTTAGTTATTTATTTTTAAAAAATTTACTAAGTTTTACAGTGCATAGATTTGGTTTTAATTATGCTAAAGACCACATTTGTCTTTTTTAAAATTCATTGATTTTTAATTGTGTTGTTTGCCCTTCAATAATTTTCATAAATATGAGTGCGAGAGGCTTTATTAACCACTTCTATATCAAATATCAAAGCTTTCATTCAGAAACACAAGGATTTAGAAGCCATGTCACAGTTTGTAGCTAAAGAATCAGTTAGCTCACTCAGGCCAATTAGATGTTCCAAAATAACATCCACTCCAGGGATACAAATTCAGGATGCACAGAATACTGCTGTTTGAATATAGGCAGTATATTGTATTAGGCATTTCAAACAAATGAAGTGCCAGTGGGAAGATTTGATATATCCAAGGGTTGCGATGTATTCTGTTTACAATATGTAAAATCATGAATAATGGATTACATTTAAATATTTTATGTCAAACAAAATAAAAATAATAATCAAAATAAGAAACCGCTTATACATTTTTTCATAAATTAGCAGGCATGGTGACTATTATTTCGAATAAAAAAAGCGTTCATGATTCAAGATTATGTCACTACCCCCTTAGATATACCAGACCTTCTCACTGGCAGCTATTGTTTGACAGGTCGTTGAAATATCTAATTGGTTATAGTAAGAGAGCCCACTGCAAGAGTTTAGAAACCTCATACAGGGCATCTGACTACAAAAATTAGAATAGGGTGCAGACGCGCCATCTGATAACAAAATAAAATATGCTCCAAAGACATGTAACAACATTGTACTTTACCAAATTTCACCTGTGCCAATCTATCCTTAGCAAAGTGGTTAAAAAAAAAATTATATTCAAAAAATCACATAAGACATGACAGCGATAATTGTGTTTTCCCTGATAATTACCATCCCAATTCATTGTGAAACTAGCTTTTTAAACCTGAATTATTAATATTTTTATCTACCTTCTAAACCATGTATATGTGTGAAAGGAAAAAGGATGGCATTGTATAAAAGTATAAATCATTTGCAGAAATAGTCAATAATAATTATAAACTCTTGTTAGACAGTTCTAATAATAATATATAAGGATAAATGGAGATTGCCACTTTTGCTATTCACTTTGAGAGATTTCCATGTTTGATTCTAAATAATCCTAGGAGTTTTTTTTGTCGTTTCTATGGCAAACCTGTAAAATTAATCAACAATAGGCATACAAATAAATTTTTAAATCAGCAAAAAGTGATTCATATTTTTAAAGATTTTTACCTACTGTGTGTAAGATGTTTTTGTGCGATGTAATAGGAAGAAAATGTTTCCCATTAACGATATATATCAAGATATATTTGAATGTTATTATCTGGAAAAGTTTAAGGGCAAACAAAATTAGCGCTGTCATGCCACTTTGCTCAGGATTGGGATTGGCACAGTTGCCATTTGGTAAAGTACAATGTTTTTACAAGCTTTTGTGGTATATTTTATTTCATTATCAGATGGCGGTATAAATTTGCAGTGGGCTCTTGGGCTAGTATGATTTGATTCTGTATGCGCCAGGGATACAAATCTGAGTTGCTCAATGTATAAACTGGAACATTGAGATCAAAAGTGCCGACGCCCAGTGAGTGAACTGATTCTTTAGCTATAAACTGTGGCCATGTCATATTTACCTATATGCTGGTACATGACGACTAACAGAGAGATTCGCTGTGTAGCACCAGTGGTACACATCGTCATGAACGTGTTAATATGATTTAGAAAAATGCAATATTTATTTCCTATATGTAATTCAAAAATTTGCGGCAAAGCTTTAACAACTCTGACAGTTGGCAACATTACAAATAAAATATGCCAATGTCAGCGCCATCTACAGTTCCAAAAATAGAAAAATTACCATGTATGTTCATATTATTTAAAGGCTAATTAAATATTGATCATTTTAAAATAAAAATATATCAATATATGCAATTTTTAGTTATACTTTTGGCACGTTTTCAAGGTTAATTATTGATTTTCATATTAAAGTGTCCGCCATACTTGTCCACCATCACACATTTTATCGGCCATTTAAAAGTATGGCAGAATTTGCGATGATGGCTGCTGTAGGCCAAAACAAACTTCAGTTTTCCCCATTTTTTTTAAATTAAAGGCACCCACGTTTATAAAATATAACTTAAAGCATTCAGTTCGAGTGATAAACAGTGACCCAAGTGACCTTGATGCTTTGTGGAAAATTCCGTTCGCTTGTGACAAATTGCCGGTGAAAATGCTTGAAATTAGGTATTTACCGTCGCTGGCACCTGAAGCCCACATTGTTACGGAAAATTCGCCTTCCATTGTTTTAATTTGAACCTGCTTTTGTTCCCACTTCCGAGGTCTCGTTTCAACGTGCATATCACTAAGCAAATTTTCATTTTCGCGGCGAGAAAGAACGCCACGACTTTTCACAATTTTTTTCCGCTTAGACGGTCCAGGGGAAGATTCAACGTATTCCACATATAAATCCGACGAGTCGGGAACCGGAACATCGTATAAATTTAAAGGGTCCCCCGAGTCATCTATAATTTCTTCCTGGGCTTCTAAAATAATATCTCTGCCCTCTAAAGATTGCATTGACATCATAGGTTCTCCGCATTCTACGATAGTCTCACAACTATCGGACATATCCACCGGATTAGTCTCTATTTCAACGCATTCTTGGATATCCGGCTGAATTTCCACTTCGCACATGATATTTTGATGGTCCGCCATAACTATGGCTCCTATTTTGTTTATAAAAGATGGTCGAACAAATATGGCCACTCACAACACAACAATGGCGGATAACAAAACTGTTCGACGCGAACAATCTCCTCGTGAGGAAACAAGTTCTCGAAAAACGAAATGAGTCAAGACTGCCTCACGTATCTTTCTCCTTGTCTAATGTATAATAATTTTACAGCAAATGTTTCGAGGAATGTGCGCTGTATTTTAAGATTGTGTCGACATCTATAAGATAGTAGCCTAAGTTTGAATTGGGTAGTTAGAGAAAAAAAATGAAAATTATAGAAAACCTCAACTTTATTGAATTTATAAATATATACATTTTTATTTACAATTTTGAAATAAAAAAAAAATAAATGACTAGTTTTAAATTTAGGACTGTTATACAAAACAAAAAAATGACAAATCGATGGATTAAATGATAAAAAGCACGTAAAGGTAAACCATATAAATAACAATACTGCTACACAATTTTCCCTGTTAAAATATAATCTCTTCCTGTCCTAATTAAATAATGAGCATATTTACATTAAATATATAAAAATACAAAATAGCGTCTATTAAATAAAATCTTTCTTCATACTTTTGTCAAAATGACATAATCCGTGAAAAAATTTGACACACATCATAAGTGATTTTTAAATTGTTTAGAGTTATCTGTAAAAAATCCAGTGACAGTTGCGATTCACACAAATTTTTTAATTTGACATTACAATTCTTATGTCCGCCATATTTATGAAAATCACTATACATCTATAGTTATTTGTGTACAAAGCTAAAGTTGATCTTTTTGGCTGAATCAGAAATTTGCATAGCCGAGGCCAAGCAACTTCTGGTTAGACCAAAAAAGATCAAATGGCTAAGGTCACACAACATTTTTAGGGCGGCTGTTTCTTCAAGTATCTCCAATTTTTTTTTACATTATTGTTCCTGAAAAGAGACTTTAATGCGAGAATAGATTCAATTATTTATTGATCGAATAAAAATATATCGTTAGCTAATAAAATTTGTACAGAATTACTAACAAGTATGATAAATATGAAAAGCGACCGTAAAGTAAACGCGGCCAAAAAAGGTATACCTTTTAGGACATTAAAAAATGTAATTTTTTGTAACAGTCGCCTAAAAAATGTTTTTTCTGGGCATTTAAATAATGAGATAAATTTGGCGACCAAAAAAGCTGTTTATATCATTTAAATATAAGCAATTTAATGATGGTGTCCCAGTGATAACAATAAGGGAAACAAGCAACCAACAATTAGGAACAACAATTCTACAGTTTTAAGTCTGGGACTGCTTGAAGGAGGAGGTTTAACAGAATCCACTTGAGGTAGTCTATCATAACTATGAGAGGTTCCATGTCCCTGAGTTATATCCGCTAAAACGTGGACAGTGGCTACATATAAGAAGGTCCCAGCAGAAAACAACATAGCTATACCTAAAAAAAAAAAAAAAACAAAAATAATTCATATATTAAGTACTTATTTGAGATCCTGAATGAGTTAAATAATTAAAAACATATATTTGAATTCCTTTACTAATTTTTATAGGTAACTGAAATTGTGAGAAACATGGCATGTTTTTTATGTACTAAATGCTGGTACTTTCAGTCCTAAGTAATGGTAGTAAAGTAGTTTCGGGATATATTACGACACTACAAGCGTCCCTTCCAATTCTTCTTCGAACCTTGTGGGTTGTTTCCCACTCCGACGCATTGTTGGTGGAGTTGTCACAATATTTCCCGGAACTACTTTATAGTATTCAAAAATGATTAATCACAATTTAAAAAAAAAGTTATTTGGTTGAATTAAACACCTAATTTCGTAATCGTGTGTTTAATCAGAGGCAGAAGGTACCGACGCTAAACATTTTTCAGATACCTTAATAACCAAAATCTATAACATGTTTAAAAAATTGAATATTTCTGTGGCTTGGTCAAAAAAGAGTCTAAGTACATTAAAAAAAAATGAGTTGTTGGGTGTATCTAACTAAATAAATAGCCTTCATTTTAATGAAAAAGGTATCGAATAAACAAAACTGCTAGTTATGAAAATTTAAATGTAAAAAGGATCTAAGTGCAAAAATTATAATGAATATAAAGGACCTATGTTCATTTGGGGTTCACTTCTATTGGTCTTATTTAACTAAAATGCTGAAGCTTGAAAAGTTAAATGGGTATAAGAGATTAATAGGCCTGAAAAATTTGATATATGTGTTCTTAGGCCTTTTAAACAATTTCCTTAATAATTTTTTTAAAAGCCCTAAAACTGCAACATAGATTAAATTATTTTTAAAATATTGCATTTATACACATTGCAATTAAATTTCCATTGCATGTCATCAATGATGAACATTATTTATCAAATTAAACAGATGTTGCCAAATCCATATTTCTTTTTATGACATGTCAACAGTATTATTTTGTGTTTAATAAACAAATTAATTTTTTTATTTTTAAAATGTCTAAATATTTAAATAGCCTTTCGAAAGAATTAGTGGAGTCTCTAATAAGATATTTTGAAGAACAAGATAATGGTGCCCCTTTATTACCAATAAATGCAGTCATATTTTAAATTATCCTCCAAAAAGGCGACCACATCCCAAACCTCTAACCGCAATGTTCAATTCTGACTACATTCGTAATGTCATTTGCAATATGTATATGAAGAAACAACAAGTAACTCTTGCGAAATTATATAAAACTTTATTGCAACGAGAAAAAAAAGATCATCGTATACAGTGTTAACCAATACAGGATTTAAATGGAAGAAAGATAATCCCGGCGGGGCTTATGGAACATCATCATGTTGCCAGTAAAAGATTTAGTTTTTTTTAAAGTTATACACAAGTACAAAAAAATATGTCTCTATATAATTTTGTTTATTCATTGTTCTTCATGCTGGTAACGAAAATGGTTTTATGTATGGGGCAGAACTGGTGTTTTCATCAAATATTATGAATTTAACTGAGCCATCAACGATTGTTATGGACAATGCTTCCTATCACAGTACGTTACTTTTTGAAATGCCCAATAATTCCTGGACAAAACCAGAAATTCAGGATTGGCTGACTACACACAACATTCAATTTGATTAGAATATGTACAAACAAGATTTATTGAACACAGTTTTCAGAAATAAACCACCAAAAATTTATAAATCACACAGTTATTCATTACCTCCTTATCATTGTACATTTAACCCAATTGAAATGATATGGGGTATTGCCAAGAATTATTTTACCCAGCATATTGGTATAGGGATGGCAACTCAATTAAAAATTGTTTAAGTATGAAGAGGGAAGCACTGAGACTGTAACCCCCAAAATCTGGTTTAACTGTATCAGTCATACTGAAAAAATTATTCAGAAATGTTGGAACCATAAAGTTTATATTTGAACGGGACGATATTTTACCTGTAATTTGATTTTAATGATGATAGCAATAGTGATTCTTATTCTGAATAAAGCTTTACTTGTTGTTTATTTTTATTTATATTGGACGAACTACTTCCGAAAGCTTCTAAAATTGTATATATAGGTTTAATGAATTAATTATTTAAAGTGTCAAAAGATGGAGTTCAAATTAAACATTAGTTTCATGAGTTTATGACGTGCATTGGAAATTTCATTGCATTTACTTGGGCCATTTTTAAACTCGCATGTAATAATAAAGCCAGGCCAGTGATGGCACCATTATTACTGTGATGTTTAATTTACAAAAGTGCTTACTGACTTCTCACTTACTGAGTGGAATTTCATTTTATAAAAGGCAATTGTGGATGTTTAGGGTGTTAAATTTAACTGTTTGTGAGGTATAAAATGATATCAAGAACAAATCCTTCTGTTTTATGTGGGATGAACCTACATCAAGTCGTGGTGGACAAGAAATTGCATCTCGCCTTTTAAAGTAGATAAGAAACTTGCCCTTATTTACAATTTCCCTATATTTATATAGTGACTGCGGCTCAGATCAGAACAAAAACATTTGTCTCAACATTGCTTCCTTTGGTATTTGAATTTTTACATCAGGTCACAAACTAAAAGAAATTAATCATAAATTCCTAATCTCTATTTATTCACCTCGAAGTAGGTTTAATTCACACATTAAAAAGGCAAAAAACACACTTCAATAGGCATAGAAATGCCAAGAGACTGGTCTACACTTGTCAAAAGTATACAACGGAAAGGTGGAATTAAAGTAATTGACGTGTCACGGGATGATTTCTTTAACATAAAGATCCTTCTGCAAAAAAATTCTACAAAGCTTTCTTGAAGAATAATTTAAAGTGGGAATGTAATGAAAAAAAAAAGGACAATTATCAGCTGATACATTGCCTACCTTACAAAAATTACAACTCCTCTCCTAAGCATCTTCCAAAAAAAAAAAATTGGACAATATCAAAATCCTGTTATGTTACATACCTACTTCTAAATTCTCGACTTTTTTATATGAATTTAAAATCATCAGACCATCAAGGTGAAGAAGACGAAGTCTGCCTGATAGGTTCAGTAGAATACGAGCAGTAATAAAGTAACGAAATTTTGTGTTTACAAGCATTTGAATATTCCGTACAAATCCTCAATTATCTCAAAAATCGATTTTGTTAGAAGGGATCAAGGGGTAAACCACTAATGTCAAAATGTACTCGATTTTGGAAATCACTAAAATTCATATGATTTCCCCAAAATCCACCTTATTTTTATACGATTTTGGTGATTTCCTCGAAATCATGGAATAAAATTTCATATGAGTTCTCTATAAACTGTCTTGTTTATTCAAATTATCTTTTTTTATGCGTCCTCTTAATTTTTGGACAATTTAATTTCGGCGATGATTTCGACCATGATTTTTCGGTAATCATTTTTGAAATTTCGACAGAATTTATAGTGATTTCGTGCGAAAACGTAGCAATATTTCGGCAGTGGTTCACCCCTCAGATAGGCCCTTTTTCGCCCAAGCCACAGATTTTTCAGACCTACACTTTCACTGCTCTTAAAGCCACTGGAATATTTATTTTTTAATTACAATGCAGACACATTTTGTTGCTTTCTATTCACACTTTTACACATACATTACAAAAAAAGTATACACTAATGCTTACCTGTGGCATTTAGAGAACTTAAAGTCTCTTTCTGCTTTTGCCCAATGCCAAAATAAGTCATACATGTCAATACAGGTGCTGCCAATGAGAATATCATCAAATGTTTTCTTATTCTTTGCCTACAAACCAAAAATTATTGTTTTATTAGATCTGATGATAAGTGATAAGTACACAAAAATTATACACAGGGTGTTCTTAAATGTCATACAAACGTACCCTAACTTGTTTTTTTTTTTAAACATATATTAGGTTGCCCCCTGGGACACCAATGGACTTAACATTTTAATCTAATCAGGTTTAAATTATTCTCTTTCAAAATCGTCAAAAGAGTTTGAAATTTAATTAGAAACCTATTTTAAAAAAATACCCTGTATGTTAAAAAAAAAATAAATTTTGAGCACATTTTTATACGAAATTTTAGTCATAAATATAGGGCAATATTACAATACCAATTAGTTCAGTTATACAATGACTCATTTTGAAAACTTTTTAATCTGATATTGATTTGTCAGGGAAATATATACCTAATAAAAGTTGATGTTTCACCATAAATCTAACATGAACATAAAAATAATTAAAATGTTTAACCATATTGAGAGAGGTAAAAGCAGGAGTGAAAATTAATTTTTTTTAAGAAATCAGGAAATTTTGTAACATTTTTAAATCATCCTGTATATACAATATATCATATTGTCACGTAACACAATCAGAAACCTTGAAAATGATTCAGTATATTTTCGGTTATAACTTTCTCCAGAGAATGTTAAGAAGATTACCTAAATATTTAAGTGATACTAAAACAGAATTTTTATTATTCTTTGTAACAATATTGTTTCTTTGATTTATGTTTCATTGTTTACAAAAATATAAAAATAATATTATTAACACCTACCGACCTACATAAAATAAGACAATTGTAAGGTCGAATCATTACAAATTAAAGATTTTTTCTTTTTAATAATAAAATTAATACCTTTCTATCCCTTCGTGGAGAAGAAAAGTAACTAATCCAAATGCAGCTGGAGCCTTATGTAACATTATGGCCAAAAATACAATTATTTCAACATCTGCATGACTAGTGGTGGCAGCTGCACCCAAAGCAACTCCATCAGCAGCAGCATGCACCACCAAACCAATAGTTGCTGTTACATTTCTATCTGCAGGACTAACATGTTCATTTCTGCTTTGGGATATCTAGAAAAGTAAAATCAATTTTTTAATAGGTGACTTATTGCTTTGTTGCTCAATTTTAGGACATATAACAATATAATTAACAAATTGCTATTTAATAATTTAAAGAAGACATAGGTTAACAAAGTATGGTTTAACAGACTGAAATAAATTCGATGTTGGCATTAATTTCCATTTACATCTAATAACAATAAACTATGCTTTAAGGATCTACAACTAATTTGGAATGACCCTATATTTTATAAATATGGTTAATATTTATATTAGATCACAGAATAAAATATGTTATATTTTATTAAATTAATATAATAGGTAGATGTCTGACCTACATTTCATAGTTGCACCTATAACAATAACATTAAAAAGTATTTACAAACATTTTAGTTATTTATATTTTTAAAAGTTTATCAATATAGGTATTAGAACTGGTTTTTGTGATAATTACCATACAGTAATAAATTTTATTTATTTTTTTTTACTTAAAAATTCCTACTAAACATTTACAGATACATAAATATGTTGCATTAATGTTACTAAATACAGCAGTTGATAATAATAAAGTACCTAATTATATAAAATTATATTAGAGTTTTTTTTTTTAATATATTACCTGATCAACTAGCAGCATAAATATGAAGCCCAAAACTAAACTAATACCTATCACAGATAGAGGATCTTTGTGTCCATGTTCATCAAAATCAGGTTTTTCTGATGTATGATGATGAGAACCTTCTGGAATTAAGGATCTAACTCCTTCTGGTATAATAACTGCCAAAGCTGTGCCAACCAGAAGTCCAGCTCCAAATACAGTTATTTTTTTCAATTTATCCTATAACAGAAACATATGACACATTACAACATGTACGTAGGTGTTTTAAAATATTAATTTAGTCAATAAAACCAAATATTTGATATATAGCTTTATGTATTAAGCTTATCTTAAGAAAATTTAAAGTAATATAATATTATATCATCACTTTATAATTGTATAAAACATATTAGGTAAATGTATAAAAATTGACTTAAAAACATACTATACCTCAGAAAATGTGAAAAATAAAGGAATAGATCCAGCAATAAATGAGCCAACCAGCATAACAAAAACTAGCGCTAATAACACAGATGTTTCTTCCATTTTTGTAATTATTCTAAATCGAACTACCTTAAAAAATAGAACTGAGTGATTATTTGGACATTGCTTATTAATTTTATTTATAAATTAAACACGTATTACGAGAAAAAATAACAATAAACATTTGAGAAAAAATCTAAACATAGGAGTTACACGTCCCCGAAATGTCACAATATGGTCATTGATTAGGATTGGGCAGATGTACATTCGTTTTGGATATTTAAATTGAATAGTAATTGTTTGTCATGTATTAATTTTATTGATTAAAAAAGGAGAAACAACTTTTAAATCAATGAAAAGAGTTAAAATAACTGTTCACGAACGCACATTTAATGTCAAAAGTAAGTGGAGAATGACATTTTAAAATTGTAAATTGACAGTAAACATGAACTTTTTAGGCATTTTTTGAAGACTATTTTCAACTTCTAACAAAATGAATCCCTAAAACTACACGGCATTAATCATGAAATTTGTCAAAATTGTCAGAATTGAACTTTGGCAACAGTGGTCCTATTTGTCTAAAAAAATGTTTACAGGAAAAAATATAAATAAATAAATTATAAATATGAACTTACAAACCCTTTTTCAAGATTTCAATCCAAGGTTAGTAACCCATTTTATAATTATCCTTTGTTTAATTTTAACAGTTTGTATTATTTACATAACCTTAATTTTTTTAATTTCTGTTTATTTTTGTAGCAAGTTCGTTGTACATACTTGCCTTCTTATATTTACAATTCTATTTGCCTTAAAATTAGATGATTACGTGTCCTGGTCATTTTGGACAGTATTTACCCCAATTTGGGTATGGAAAGTTTTAGTTATAATGGGAGCAACAGTAGGCAGCTATGTTTGGTGGAGGTACCCACATTTCAGGTAAAAACTATATATTACTATGACTAAATGTAAAAAGTAACATTTGTATTTTTAAAATTTTGAGAATACATTTGCAGTTTATATTCGAAATTATAAAATGTGCCCCATTGCTGGATTTGTTAGGACTACAAAGTCAAAAATGATTTTTTATGCATTTATAACCAACTGAAGTAACATTCCATTACAAAAATTGGGTTTTATTTTAGGTTGGAGGGTGAGGCCTATGTCCATTATAAATCAATGCTAATATCACTAGCATTGCATTTAATTTTGTTGATGTTTGAACTGTTAGTTTGTGACAAACTTGAATCAGCAAGGCATCTGTGGATTCTAGTATTTATACCTTTAATTTTTATATCAATTGTTAGTATAGCAGTGTGCATTTGGGCTGTTAAACATGATAGATCATTTGAGGCAAGTATTTTTTGTGTAAACTATTCAATAAAGAATATCGTCATTGATTTTGCAATATCTGCTATATGAAAAATATTATGTGAATCCTGATACATATATCAGCTATTACTGTCTATAGTTTGAATGTTGGCACATAACAGTGTTTTATTATTTGATGTATAAAATCAAGGAATTTTTTAGTACATATCAGATATTACCAACTGATATAGCTGGAATACAACCAAACCTAAAATTCGCCATAAAGTGCACATAACAGGTATTGCACAATTAATGACGATAACTATCTAGCATTTCAAAAAATTGATTGATGCAAAATATTTAAACAAATGTACAATATTAAATTAGCAAATAAGTGTTTATTTTCATTTTGTATTAGTGCATCAACAGCAAACTTTAACACCATTTTATTCTCAGGAATTTAATTATTATATGAGAAAGTTAAGATTGTGTAATTATTTTAATGTTTTAGCTTGAACTTTTCTGTGCTGTCAATGTACTGCAGTTTATTTTTCTTGCCTTGAGATTAGATGGGTTTATATCATGGTCATGGGAAGTGGTATTTGTACCACTATGGATAGTGATGTGTCTTTCATTGGTAAATTAAATTATTTGTAGTAAAAAGTTTGATTCTTAATAGTTATTTTAGGTGGGAGTTTTGTACACCATCATCTTTGCTGCCATTTTATTAAGGACTCCAGAAGTTAGCGCTCAACAAAGAAGAAGCAGTTTTCATTCTGCTATTGGCTATACTTTTTTAGTTATTCCTATTCTTGTTTTTCAAGTTAGTATATTATTTTTTAACCTTTTAAGTAACACATATCGTCGTCGTAGAGTCAAAACCTCTTGTCATCAAATTACCAGGTTTTCAGGAAACGCTAAAAGCTTTTTTTTTTGTAATTGTATTAATTTTGTAAAAGTAGCTTTTTTATGTAGTAGAAAAAGGGAAGTCAAAAAGATGCCAAATGGTTAAAGATTTACATTTTTAAAATTAATCTCTAAAAAAATTACATTCAGTTACACCAAAATATGAGTTATGAGGTTTTAACCCTACGAGACGATATGTAAAATATCTTATCAACAAATTACACCTGATTTCACTTAAGGCATCAATGCACTGATTTAGTGGACACCAATTCATTATACAATTCAATTTAATTCCTATTTTATAAAATATTTTTTTTTACATATTGATTTAGAGATAAACAATCAAAATAATTTTTTAAACATATCCAAATAAACAATTTGAAAGAAATACAAGAATGCAATTTACTTTTTATGAAATAACAGACTCCAAAAGCCTTAGGTATTTGTACATAAGTAGTTTATTTATTTATTTATTTTTAAAATGAGATTTTCCAATGGCTAAAATGGTTTCTAACATCTTTATTTTTTTTATATTTTAGGTATTACTAGCTGATAAATTAGACGACGATATTAGATTATCTTATACAGCCGTGGTTAGCCCACTTTTTATATCATTTATCACACTTATCCTAATGTCTTTCAGTGCCAAAGGTGGAAATAAATGTAAGTACTTATATAAAATATGGTGATTATAATAAGACAATGTTCCCTACTAAATTCAAATTTTATAACTATCTTGGGCACATGTTTCTTCTCAATGATTCTGGTTCTTTAATATTGATTTCTAGTATTTTAATAACGATTTTGAGTCATTTAAAAAATATCACCATATTAATGTTTAATTTTTTAGGGTGGTTTGGAATGAGGAAAGACTTTTGTTCTTTCGTACTGGGGGCGTGTCCCTTGCTACAAGAATATGCCAACATTGCTTACCACAGCGAAAGACGTACAAACGGTGTAGAATTACAGCCACAAGTTGAACATAAGGAAAAAACGGTAAAGCGAGCTGACCTGCTAAAACCTGTTGTACCCATTATTTCTATAGAGATACCAGACTGAGTATATTTAATATTAGCATAAGAACTTGTCATACTAGACTAAGCCCTCACTGAAGTAATACTGTCCAATATATCTAAGAAAATAAAATAATCTTACAACGCATAGAAACATATCTCTGATTATGAAATTTTAATCTCTTTAATTAGAAATTATTTCTCCTGATGACAATATACATTGAAAAACTGTTATTAAAATTGATAAAATTAGAAGAAAAAAATTTAAAGACATTGGACATGTTTCTGTGTTACTCCTGGCATGGCAAACTTCTCTTCAGTAAAAGGCAGTATAAATAATATTTCAACTAAACGATTTTTGAAAAATATACTGAGTAAGACTGAGTGTTTTATAGTGAGACATGATATAAGTCTCACGTTTTTATGTTACATATTTCATATTATTAATCCACCCTTGCTGCTTCCAGGGTTAAAAGAATGAGATTGCACGATGGTGTAGTGAAAACAAATTTAATATATCGAACTGTATTAATTTTGCTTTGTTTATAACCCTTGTTCCATGTCTTCCAGTTTTTAATGTGACTCCTAATAATTAGATCCTAATCTTCCCACCAATTGGTCTCCAGTCTATTTCCTTCTTTATTAAATTGTTTCATTTCTTTCCTTGTATGGATTTAAATTATCTCAATCTTACTGTTTTATACATTGTACTTTTACAGTTCTGTGGTTTCTCTTCTTTCATTCATTTTGTTTTTTCTAGTTGGGTATTTTTAGTTTCTATTTTCTCCAGTTTCCTTAATAATTCTTATAAAAACTTTCAATTTTTTTTTTTTTTCAGAGCAACCAGTTTCAAGTTTCTACATCTCGTGCACAGTTTGGTGCCAAAAAGCCACAGTTCAATTCTGTATCCGTGCACGGGCTTACCGAAACTCGACCCTGAGTCCAGCTCTGTTTATGTTGATTTCATTATCATTAGTTGTTTCTTATCATGTATTTGTAAGTGAAAGGTTGTCGCTCATTTAACGTCTCTTCTGTCTGTGATCAACCACAACATGAGTTCAAATGGCTGTATGTTCACATAGCAACTTGTAAATGTGGACGTTTTCCGATAGCATTCGTTATTCTCTATATTTGTGATGATGCAGTGAGCCATTGGCAAATGACAGTTTGAGTAGACTTATAAAAATATAGGTTATAGGTATTAACTTTTTTTATATTATTTTCAAGATTGTATTCATTTAAACATTCAAAATAATTTACTTATATATCTTTTTACGACCATCAAACAATATTTAAAAAAAAAACTTAAAAACGTATAATATTGATGTCAGTGACAGAATGATTTGTGTAAGCACCGGTGGGGAACGATATTGAGCCTGTATAGTGTTGCCAGAGTTGTTACAACCCTACCATTCTTGGTACTTGAGAATTATCTAATAAAATATTTTAGTTACTTTACCTAGTACGTATTTCTGTCAAGTAATCTTAATTGTTTTTTTTTACTTATAATTACAGTAATTGTCTAAACACAAAGTTCAAAAAATAAATTTGTGTCATTGACTTATTCCATCGAGATAGAATGAAGTAGAGATGACATAAACAGTATTTTGCAATTTGACAGATGGACACACTTCAAGTGATGGAAAAGTATAATCGAGAGTCATACTTTGATTTATTTGAAGTCAATAATTTTATAATTGAACATTGACGGAATGAAAATGTTTTTATATCATTTAAATGAAGCTTTTTTAAAAAAAATGGCATTTATTCTCACCAAAACTGGCTGCGTTCAGTGGCTCGAGTTTGACATATGACGTAAAAGTGTAATGCAAAGGTGCATTACACTTTTATTATCTTCATAGTAAATTGCTTGACTTTTGGTACAAAACTGGTAAATGTTTATGAAATTACTGGTACAAAAAAACTCCCTTCAACGATATAAGATATATTAAAATTGAGCATATCCGTATATGGATTACATAACAAGGTGGTAGAAAAGGAAGTTATATAAAGTGTGAGACAGAAATGGCTTATTTTTCTATCACAATCCACACCCTCAATAGTACTGTTTTCATATCGAAATTATGTAATTGCCGCCTTTTAAGTGAGTGTCAACCTTTGTCACTATAGTTTTTGTTAATGATTTATTATTAAGTATGAATTTTTAGTTTGCTTCTGTTTATCTATAATTTCGTTATTATATACAAGTTTGGTGGTTTTTATTTACTTAAGATATTTATGACTGCTTGGAAATATAGAATATGTGTTTATGGTACCCTTTCCAGGCCAGAACCGGATCCCTATTTTTTTTACCTAAAATAAAATCTTAAGAGATCATTTCAAATTAAAAATATTTTGTGATAATTACCAAACATTGCTGCTGCACCTATTTGTCGAAAAATTATTTTTATTACTCAGTATAATATTATGTTTGTACATTTGCCCTTCAAAATATTGAGAAATACTTCGAGAGCGCTTGGTACAGATGAAAATCAAACTTGCTTTGATTGCCTTCAAAATTATGTTTGTAAATATTAGATTATTAATATATTTCGGACATTGTGAGTGGTAAGAGAATGTCATAGGGTGGTGTCCATAGTATTCAAATGATTCGTCATTTTAAAATTCATAATAATTACAGAAATATACAGGGTGAGTCTGAAGGAACGGCACAAACTCAAGGGTATTATACACATGCAAATAATGTAAAAAAATTATTTGTTATTCGATTTTAATTTTTTTCAAGTTATAGCGTAATTAAAATTTTTTATATAGCGTTTTACTTGTATCCAAATGTTTGAAATAATGTTTGTTTTATGACAAGGTTTCAGTGAATTGAGGCAGTGATTGAACATTTATTGTCTAGTTTGTACGATTAAAATGTTACAACATGCCAATCACTTATTCACATTTAAAGTATGCTAATATGGTGTTCGTGCATGGTTTTTGTAATGGGAAATGCTAGAGCTGCTGAGGAAGAATATCGTCCACTTCGGAGACAGCCTAGTATATAAGTATGTTACTTCTTTTTTATGCATATAGAAACAAATGAAAATCGAAGAACATGAGTTTTTTAACATTAGTGTCACGGGTATAATACACTCCCGGAGCATAGTTTATAGATAAAGAATCCGTTCGCTCACTCTGCTTCGACACTTTTGATCTCAATGTTCCAGTTTATACATTGTGCAACTCGGATTTGTATCCCTAGCGCATACAGAATTCAATCATAATAACCCAAGAATACACTGCAAATTTTTACCGTCATCTGATAACAAAATGAAATTTACCCCAAAAGCATGTAACAACATTGTACTTTACCAAATGGCACCTGTGCCAAACCCAATCTTGAGCAAAGCAGTTAAAAAATATAATTTTATGTTAAAACAATCACATAAGGCATGAAAGCGCTGATTTTGTTTGCCCTTAAAGTTTTTCAGAAGTTAACATATTCAAACATATCTCGATATATATCGTTAAAGGGAAACATTTTCTTCCTCGTACAAAAATATCTAACTACGATTAGTAGATAAAAATCATTAAATAATAATAAAAGCAGTTTATTGGTTATGAATATTACAACCAAATGGCCATCGACCTAGGTCCTTCAGCCAGACAATTTGTATGGTATGTATGAGGATTTACAAGCTATATGTGTAAGATGAATACGAATATTAAGATACTTAAAAAAAACTATGTGTCCCTAATTATTGTTCATCGGCAAATTCGTTTAAGATTTCTGTTATTGATCTCACTGGGTATTTAAACTTCGCTTGACCAATTTGTCGTTGCATCGAAAAAATGCGTTTAGCATGTGATTGTTTCGTTTCTTCCAGAATGTTTTGACATTTTTTTAATTCTTTCCAGGATAAGCTGAATCTTATTTTTTTCGTAAAGATATTCATTTGCTGGATGGTGGAGTGGGGTTTTCAGGATGTCGCATCTTGGTAATTATTCTTAGTGTAGAAGTTTCGGCCACATGAATGTTTTTTAATGCAGGTTTTCGGCAGTTTAAATATATAGTGTGACCGTATTCCAGGAGAGGTCTGCAAATTGTTTTGTAGATTTTAGTGACCGTGTAGATCTTGATACCTTCTTTTTTGTATGTTAAAGAGCAGGGGAAATGTTTGGCTCTGGTTTTGATTTTCTTTTTTGTCTGCGGGTGTTCATTGAAGTTCAGCTTATTATCAATAATAAGGCCTGGGTATTTCCAGGGCCGCCGAGAGCCAGACCGGACCCCAGGACAATTCTCCAGTTCGGACCCTAGGACAATTTTGCTGATCGGGCGCCGCGACAATTTTATAAAAAATTAAATAACAAAAGGTCTTCAAGCAAAAATTTCTCCTCTTCTACTTGAATTTCTCTAAAAAAAAAAGGTCTTCAACTAAGAACTTCCCCCCTCTTCTATCGAACTTCTGATAGTAACAAACACCACCGCTACCGGGCCCCCATTTAAGCCCGGGTCTTAGATCATGATAGGGTATCATCAATTGACATTTTTGTGGGTTAACTTTTAATCTCCATTTATTGAGCCATTGAGCAACTTCATTATATTGATTTTGTAGTGCTGTGATGGTTTGATTCAGCGTATTTCCATGCGATATCAAGGCCGTGTCATCTGCGTATTGGAGTGTGTAATTTACTGCATTGAGGTGTAACTGACCTGAAGGAAAATTAAAGCAATATATGTTGTAAAGGAACAGAGATAGTGGCGACCCTTGCGGTACACCTAGATCTGCTATGAAATTTGGAGATGTGTGGTTATTTATTTTAACTCTTAGAGTTCTGTTTTGAAGGAAGTTTTTGATAAGATTTATAAGACAATCAGGCACATTAAGAAGTTTTAGTTTAAATAGGAGGCCGTTGTGCCAGACACAGTCAAAGGCTTTTTTAATGTCCAACAGGAGAATGGCAGATTTTTTATTGTTCAATTTTGTTGTTTGCACATTGGAAACCAGCAGAGTGGTTGGTACCAAAGCGGAGATTTGTTCTCTAAACCCAAATTGGAATTGCGGAATTCGTTCGTTTACTAATGCTGATAGTTTGACCTTAATAAGTCTTTCGAATAGTTTTCCCAAAACGGGAAGAAGGGTGATTGGTCTGTAATTATCAATTCTTTTGTGGTCTGTGCATGGTTTTGGGATAACTATGATGGTGCCTTTTTTCCATTGATCTGGAAAGTACGAATTTTTGTAACAGAATAGAAACATTTTTATAATATAGATATGTATATTATATTCTAGTTTTTTCACAATTTGCCATGTGATCATGTCCGATCCTGGAGCGGAGTTTTTCTGATTGGATAGTATTTGAAAGCATTTTTCTCATCGACTTCTGTGTTATCTTCCTCATTGATTGGTTTGTTTCTAAAATATTGTTTGCACCATGAGTTCACATTATTCCAGTTTTCTTGTTCAAAAGATGGGTCTTTCGTTTCGTTATGTTTTAATGAAGTTCTCCTTGAATGCATCGGCCTTTTCTTCATCTGTGGTATGTCTATACCATTGTCTGTGATATTTGGAATTTTATTCCTTGTTTTATATTTTGACAGTTTATTTATTTTATGATAGAAGTTTCTTCCCTGTTCTCGATTGATTTCTTGGCAGGTCTGTAGCCATGTGTGTTGCTGAAATTGTTTTACTAATTTTTGAATGTCTTTGTTAAAGTTGTTGATGTTTGTTTTGACTTCCCGACTAGGGTTTTGCCTGTATTCTCTGAGCATTTTACGTTTTGTTTTGATGAGTTTCACGATGTATCTAGGAAGTTCATAAGTAAAATATTTGTTTGCAGTTTTTGGTGTGTTTGTGATAATCTCGGAGACCTTTGTGTGAAAGTTATTGACTTCATTGCTAGTAATATTAGTTGGTTTACTTCTTTATTTATTTTTTCAATATTTGATTTATTGAAATAATATTTAAGAGGTGGGTCTGCAATAAGAGAGGGCATTCCTTGCTCGATAGTAAACATTATAGAATGGTGGTCTGCCCCAATGTCGGGGATTACTTCTATATTGTCAGTGTACATTAACAAATCTGGGGTGGAGTCCTCATTGTTGGGCATCATTAAAAATATGAATCAATTTTTGGTGATTTAAAATTTTTTTTGTATGCCTATTGTTGTGATTTATTTTTACAGGTTGCCATAGAAATGACAAACCTTTCAAACATACATATGGTTTAAAAGGTAGGTAAAAATATTAATTCAGGTTTAAAAGCTAGGTTCACAATGAATTAGGATTAGGGTTGCCACCTGTCCTTTTTTGAGGCAAAATGTCCTTGTGACTTTTTAAATCTTAAAATGTCCTTTTTCTGGCAAATGTCCTCTTTTTCTAGCAAATGTCCTCTTTTTCTAAAAGTGTCTAATAATAGCGCACATAAGTTGAGGACCTTTTTTTTAGAAGCTCGAAAAGAGACGATTAAGAAGGAAGTTTCTTTTTTTTTAGAAGCTCGGTAAGATGAAGATTTATTTCGTTTTTTCACTTTTCAGGATTGCACTTTTCAGGGAAAACACAATTGTCGCTGTCATGTCTTATGTGATTTTTTGAATATAAAATATTTTTTTAACCACTTTGCTCAGGATAGGGATTGGCGCATGTGCAATTTGGTAAAGTACAATGTTGTTACATGCCTTTGGAGCATATTTCATTTCGTTATCAGATGACGGTCGAAATTTGCAGTGGACTCTCTTACTATAACCAGTACAATATGACAACCGCCTATATTCAAACAGCAGTCTTCTGCGCATCCTGAATTTGTATCCCTGGAGTGGATGTTATTTTGGAACATCCAATTGGTCTGAGTGAGCTAACTGATTCTTTAGCTATAAATTGTGCCCGAAGTTTTTGCCGTTCCACCTGACTCACTGTATTTGTTAAATAGAAATGCAAATTTTGTCAAAATACACAATTTAAAAACCAAGATAATATTCTTTACTAAAACATCAAAAATTTAACTCTATAAGAAATATTTTTTTTAAAACTAAGCTAAATTTGGTAATTTAAAATAATAAAGTTATTAAGAGCAAGTACTTTTTATCATTGAGACAGTTTTAGACATTATTTCAGTCTTGAACAAAAGTTCTCATACAGAAGATGGCCTCCACTTTACCATAGTTCTGATCTGTTAAATCAACTCAAAAGTTCGAAATATAATTATGAGGAATATTTTTTGTTGCAATTTTCAAACTACATATTTGATAACAAATCGTGTTAAGGATTTTAGTTTTCAGTCAAAAATTTATATTTAAAGGTGGGATGAAAAAAATGTTAAAGCCACCTCCAATATAGAGAGCTTTCTACTTGTTTCAGAGAAGTAACCACCATAATGCGAATGCATTTTGAAACAAAAAAAAAGTTAAATGTGTTAAGTGAATAAAGTTTTGATGTATTAAATTTCTTGTTAAAATTATATGATCATACAATTTTATTTTATTAAGAAAATATGAATATTTGATTTTAGTTGGAAAATATTGAATATTTAAATTTATATAAAACTTTTTGGTCTAAGGCACAAACAAGTATCTCAATTCATTCTAATGACGAATTGTTTCTATTTTTTTATGTATAATTTAACTTGTTTTTTATTATGGGTATCAAAAAGATGATTAGTTTTATCTGTTGTATTTGAGATTACTTAACACAGACAGCCATTATTTTGTAAACAAACATATTATTGTTAATTAGGTAAACAATGTTGTGGTGTACATGATCTCTATCATCAATAAAAAATGCCACCTTTTTGATGATGAAGTGTATAGTGATTGTTTTTAAAATTTGTGCCAATTAATGTTTTAAGTTAATTTTTTTGGGTATTTTGTACTTACTTTAGTTTTTTTTTTGTAAAAAAAAATATATATATATAACTTTGAACAAATTCATTATGTTTAAACATTCCCTTCCCAAATATTTTCTTACAGCTTTTAGTTTTTATGGACTTCTAAAACCACAAAATTATCAACAACAATATAAAAGCTATTATTACAGGAACAGACCCAGGAAAAACAAAATACTGAAATAATTTCTAGAAACAATATGTATTTCTTCCTTAACCTAAATAAATACAATTTATACATTATGAGCTCGTTCACAGAACTTGTGTAGCAACACTGTTTGTAAAGTATATAAAAGCACCAGTTAGATTTATGAATGTAGCACCAAGGAATACAGACAACCACTTTCCATCTGAATAAGTCACTAAACTTGCTGTAACTGGTCCACAAAGTATACCAGGAATGGTAGCTATGGTATTACTTATTGCAAATGTAGTACCAGCATAATTTGGAGCTATATCTACATGATTACTTAGGTGCCCAGCTGAGTTACTAGCCGATAAACCCATGGATATGCTCACAAGGATTAGAGCAAAAGCCAAATGGTCCACTACGCAAAAAATGGCTAGGAATAGAGCAGGTCCAATCAGTCCAATGCTTGTCATAAGTCTTCTTACATTCAAAATTGACCAATTTTTGCTTCCTAATAGACTATCAGCTACATGCCCACTAATAACTCCAAAGATAGAGTTGACAATGTAAGGAACTGCAGTCAAACTTAAACTATGGGAATTAGCTCCCAAATATCTAGATAAATAAGTTGGTAACCATTGCATTATAATATAGGAGGACCAGTTCATTGCAAAATGTGCGGTGTAGATAGCCCATAATGGTTTGCTGAATATAAAGTCAGCCCAACGAATGTTATGATTAATAACCTTTGGCATGTGTAATGGTATGGTTTCATCACTATTGTAAGCATCTTCTGGATAGAAAAAATTCCAGAGTAGAAGCCATATGAATCCAAATGATCCAAACCAATAGAAACAAGATTCCCAAGTTAAATGAGGACACAATATTGAGGCAACTGTTTGCCCTACAGAACCTGATGCTAACAAATATGAAAATGCCCTTGACCTTTCTTCTACTGGTATGTTGTGAGCAAACAGATGGAATATTGTTGGTAAGCCTGAAAATTATTAAATTAAATATAAAGTTAAATTTGGTTTATGTATACAGGGTGTTGGAAAGAATGAAGCATATTATAGTAACTGTATAATTATGGGTACAAAATTTTGAAATTTCATATAAGATGTGTTTAGAATTCAAATTATTTTCTTTTTAAATATTTTAAATTGGACAAAGGAGCAGTGAAGGTATTGAAGAATTTTAAGTAACTATTCATATTACTTTTCTATGAGCTTACCTAATCCTTCAGCAAATCCTAGAATAATTCTGCAGCTCACAAGTGCAACTAGACTTCCAGCTAAAAATGGGGTTACAAATGTTGCAATGCTCCACAACAGGACACTGCATATTAATACGTTTTTAGCACCCACTTGTGTGGCCCAAAAACTACCTAAAATACAAATATTAAGAATTCCAAATTCAACATAAACAAAAATTCTTACCAAGTAACTGACTAGTAAAATAACCGAATGCAAATGCCGATAGAATCCACCCTTGAGCATGTAAACTCCATCCAAAAATATCAGTCATTGGAACAATTGCTATGGGCATAATAACCCTGTCTGCACTGTTAATAAAATTCGCAGCGCTGCATAGTGCAACTATCCTAGAAGTTCTAGATAACCAACGTATTCTCACCATTTTCTTATTTAAATTCAAACCTTAACTCTAACTAATGATGGCACGATTAATTTGTATTTGTAAGTAAGTCAGAAAACTTGGTTGTTTCTACATTGTGTTGTTTTAAATTTATCATTTTCACAATGCACAGCTGGCATTCTGTAAAAAAATAGTTTACTTGTCAATATCAAGTCATCAAATTGTCAAAAAATACAATTAAAGATGTGTTCTTTTATTCAACAATTGTTCCATCAGGATTGATGTCATGACGCTGAAAATAAGAACGAACATTTTTCAAATGAAAAATTTGACGTTTGAAAGATCTCTTCTGCGGCCGTTTTATATTCTAAACTCTTATATTGGGGTCTATTCTGTAAAAATTCCTTTATATTTAACGGCCTTTAAAAATATTTTCTTCTTTAATTCGGTCACTATTTAAATGGATCTTTAAAATACATTAGAGGAGTATCTTAAAGAAATATGTTTAAATAATGATAGAAGTAAATTAACGAATACGAACATATTTTTAAAGGCCGTTAATAAATATAAAGGAATTGTTACAGAATAGACCCCGCACCGTAGGTTAACTTTTATTATTAAAGTCATTGCTGGAAAAATTGACGTACGGTTTTCTGCAAGCGCTGGAAACAGCGCTGAATAAAAGAACACGCCTTTAGGCATTCCAACGACCTGTCAAAATGCTGACAAGTGGGAACTGGCAGTTTAGATATTGCAACACTGTTGTCATTGACAGTGTCAATGATACTTATATAGTTATCACAATATATCCCCTATAGTAATGTAACTGGGATTCAAGAAATGGCTTTGAGTTACGCTGCGGCCAGACACAGGTCTCATGGCGCTAGTATCGTTATTGATTTTTGACTTCGGCACGTTCATTGGTTGACGACGAATTCAAAACAATCTGATCGGAGCGTTACTCACTCCCACTCCTTCTCTTTGTTTAGATACTTATAAAAGAAAGAGATACCAGTTAATAATTTCTATTTCAAATCATCTTTCATTCTTTAGCGTTGAGTTTTTAAGTGAAGCGTGAAGTGTCAGTGTTGACAAGTGATAATTTTTTTATTTTTTCTTCTACGAAATTTAATATTAATTTTGTTTCAGCGATATTTATTGTGATTTGTGTTGTTGTATTAAGTGCTTTCTTATTTAATATGGGTAACAAAACGTACAACAAACTCAGAAAAAGAGGAATCGAGGAGGGATTGCTATCTATGGCTGTCATCCAAGGGTCTGCGCCCTAGATAATACTTTTCCAGTGGGAAAAAGCCTTTAAAATTCAAGTATAACAATTTTATGTTTCCGTTTTCCCTTCTTTTAATGTAGGTGCCAATTTTGAGGTAAGTTTGTAATAATTTTTCAGTTAATACCTACCCTCTTAATATTATAATTTAACTATGATCTTATGCTTTCCTATGGACACGATTCAAGGAGGGAGTCCTATGGCTGTCATCCAAGCCCTAGATAATAGTTTTCCAGTGGCAACAGCCTTTAAAATTCAAGTATAATAATTTACTTTTTTCGAAGTAGATGTCCATTTAAACTAAATTTTTTTATTTCACTTATTGATTTTAGCATTTATATACAGTATCGGCTAATGAACACTTTCCAATACGCTTGGCTAGAATCGAAAATAAAACTAAAGAGTTAGCGCATTAGTTCGATCAGGAAACGAATAATATGAATGTTGCCTTGTGTGCTGTGTAATATGAACAGGCACACGGTGTGATGCATCCCCACGTAGCCGGCTGGCTACGTTCATAGTATTCTATTCCTTCTCCCACTAATGCTAACTCTTTGTAGTTTTTACTTGGACATTAGCAAAACGTATTGTACAACATTCGATAGCTGCCACTGTATTATCACAAACATCTCTTAATAACTAAATGATTTCATTTAATAGTTTCTTTTTTTTTTTTTCAGTAAAATGGATATGGCTAGAGTTATCTTCGTCTTTAAAATATATTAAATAAGTTTTATAATTTTTCAAATAAAATACTTTATACAATTTTTGTTTTTTTACCAGAGCCAATTTTTTTTCAGATCTAACCTCTATAGGTAAAAAATAAGTGATTTAGGTAAAATTGAAAAGTATATTACATGTTCTTTTAAATGTGTTGTTAATCCAAATGCTGCTCTTATTGTAATAGCTAATAATAAAAGAATTAGTATTATTTTTAGCTATCAAAATAAAAATAGCGCCTGGATTTACAGCTCGTTTAATCGAACATGCAATATACTTCTCAATAATTATTGCCGAATGAATATATTTAAAAATTCCCGCCATTCCGCGGCTGAAAATTTACAATTTTGGCGGGAAATTTAAATTTCGCCTTTAAATTATATTTGAATTTACCGCCATATCGAGTTAGTTGAGCGGCCAGACACAGACGCATTCTTGCGCTGCAAACTTAGTGCCAACTCTTTAACAAGTGAGATGCACTACTATAGGGGATATATTGTGATAGTTATATAGATTGCTTAAAGCGGGTGGCCATATTGCCTCGCAATTGCTAATTAATCGAGAATTAATCAGAATTGGTTTAGTAAAAATAGATTTACAAACCAATTTTCAGCCTTTAAATATAGTAAAAAACAATAATTACCTACATTTTTACTTCAAGGCATAAGCTTATATTTATTTTGAAAACATATCTCATTGACTCTGACAAAACACGAGGCCTACAGGGTTGCCATTATTTTACCATTAGGCATTCCAACAATATATAAAAGGTCTGTGCATTCCAACGACCTGTCCAAATGGCTACCAGTGGGTACTGACAGTTTAGATATGGCAACTCTGTTGTCATGTTATCGTTAACAGGGTCAATGCTACATATATGTTATATACATTGCTCAAAGCTGGTCGTTTGCGAGCAACCATATTGCCTGGCAAATATTTATTAATTTGAATCGGTTTAGCAAAAATGTGTTTTAAAACCAATTTTTAGCCTTTAGATATTTAAAAAAAAATAATTGCTTACATTTTTACTTCAAGGCATACGCTTATGTTTATTTTGAAAAATATGGATAATCAATCTATGTAACTATATATTTCATTGACCTTGCCAAATCACCAGGCCTACAGGGTTGCCATAATTTTTCCATATCATAACCCGTCAAAACCCACTGGTAGCCATTCAGTTTGGAATGCCTAATATCATAACCTGTCAAAACTCACTGGTAGCCATTTTGTTTGGATGCATTCATTCCAGTGTTGCCAGTCTAGTACAATTGTACTAGATCTAGTACATTTTCTAAACATCTCGTACACTCGAAGCAAAATCTAGTACTTTTTTATTTTTCAACGGGTTACCATTTGATGCCTGTAAAATATATTTTTGGGATCTTGCTCCTTCGTTTTGTTTTCGTTCACTATTAACCATTTTTTTCCCTAATGAACCAAACCACATCACAATTCATTCGAAAATCTGGTACGTTTACAAAATCTAGTACATTTTTGTAAAATCTCGTACATTTTTTAAACAAATCTGGTACATAACAAAAACATATTCTGGCAACACTGATTCATTCGTTCTGTGGATTCATTCCGTATTCCATTCCGTTCTTTGCATGGTTCTTTGATAATTTTGTACACAAATATAAAAACAATCCATTTTTGGCCTTGTAGAAGCCTTCAAATCGAATATTTCCGTCCTAAATGCATCAAAATAGAAGTCACGCATAATTGTTTAAAAATGACTTAAATTTATATTTTTCCGTCAAGAAATTTCTAACCTGTCCGAAAAATGTCATACCAATTTTCCTTAACAAATGGAAAACAAAAAAGATTTTCCATTGATGATGCTTTTGAAGAAGAAACAGATGAAGCTATAAAAGTTTATGGAACTACTGGACCCAGATCGCCGATGTCTCATTCTCATTCGAATGGAATACTTAGCGAAGGCGATCATGTTGCTGTTAACATGGAAAACGGAAGGTATTTTTTTAATTCTACAATTAGAACGTATTTATTTATCTTGTTGATGGTAAACCTATGTTGACTTCATTAATTTGTGGCAACTTGTTTTCATTACAATTTGAGTATGTAAATTGTAGTAGTCCATTTTGTCAATTTTACATGAAACTATATAGGAATTAACATATATTTCTTCAATGTTATAAAATCTATTACTGTTTTAGTTTTAAAGATAATAAAGTCATAATCATTTTGTAGAACTTATAAAATGGTAAATGATGCATCCAGAGATAGCGATTCACTAATACAAGATTATTATGACTGTGCTAATGAAGAATACACAAGTAGGTCTTGTTTAAAACATCCAAAAGTGAAAGAAAATTGGCGAATGGTGCTTGCTGCAGCAACTCTATTATTCATAGGTTTAGGTCTTCTAGCAACTGGTACTGTCACATTGACAGAACCCAATTCTGGTTTACAGGGATCTGTATTCTTATTAGCAGGGTTTATTTGCTTTTTGCCAGGAGCATATCATATTGTTTATATATATTTGGCTGCTAAGGGTAAACGTGGATACCATTTTCATAACTTACCTCTTTTTACTTAGAGTTGTAACAACTAAACTTCTTTTTAGGGACAGGTATAAATTGGTTATTAAATTTACTAGAAAATGTCATGTTATGTGAATATATTGCCATTTTTAATTGTAATGTGATTTTTAGACAGAAAAAATGAAATCAAATGTAGTGATATCTGTCATTTTTTAATATGATTACTAAGTATATTTATGTATTATTAAATATGTGTTGTTATAGAATCTGTGAAGAATGCAATGATTCAAGTGTTAAAATAAAATTTAAATAGGCTTATTTATAAACTTACATGAATAAATTTAAGAGTTACACAGGACTCTTAAATATTACGCACACGATTTTCATGCAAAGCTGCTTTGAACAACAAACTACACATTTTATTATTAAAGTGTGTTCTCAAAAACTTATTTGGAAAATGTAATTTTTGCATTTTTTTTATGAAACAGAATTTTCAATAATGGTTCTTTAACAAAAATTACATTTATAGTTATCTACATAATACAAGTTGTAGGTTTAAAAAATACCAAAGATAAAAAAGGAAAAACTAGTATTTTCCTTTTAAAAGAAAAATTAAAATTATTTTGAGTAGAAAACAATTTTGTTGAAATTATGTATATCAATCATTTTTTTTTTTGTGAAATGTGATGTTTTTAATTATATTGTTTATGCTTTAAATATTTGAGTTGGAATCTCTATCATGCTTTATTTTTTGCACATTATTAGATCTTATTTAAAAATGGCTATTAGGTAGATTATTGTTAGTTAAAAAAACATCACCATGCCATTAATAGGTATAACACTAAAAAAGGACAGGACGCTAGTTATTTTGTTTCTAATTATACTTTTTAGCTACATCTATTTCAGCTATTGGTGTATTACAATTTCTACTTGGTAAACAAACAATAAGAGCGTCAAAGCAAGATTAAAATATTTTGAACTATGGCAATAGAATAGTGAAAGTTTTGCCATAATTGTTACCATATAATAAATAATATACAAAAATCTTATATAATTGAAAATTTGTTACGATTTCTCTAATGCATCTTTTAATCAAAACCATACCAAGTTTGGGTTATTAACATTAACTGTTAGATTGACTTTTGGAAAGCAGGTTACTATTTTGACATCTGCTACACATTGACTGGAAAATTTCAAAACAATTTTCTAATTATGTACCTTAGAATTTCACATAAGTTTATTTTAAACCAAAAATTGATCGAATAAACTTTGAATTATCGGGATACATACTTCAAATGTTGAATTTTAACATGTTCTGGCAGTATATAGATGACGTATAGTATTGCATCAATTTCAATCTACATAGTTAAGTGTATTTTTTCTGTACTTCCAATAATTCCGTGTTTAGTCTATACATATGAATAAATGTTATATATTGTAACATTTTAAAAAATTTTATAAACTTAATCTAAACTATTTTGTTTAAAAAAAAATCCTTATATTAACCAATCCATAATGTATTTTTTTATTTCGTACTAATGATCTATATTTTACTCTGTATATATTTTATTGTTTAAATATAATAATCTGAATGAATTTATAAAAATGACTGCTATAATGAGATATTACTGACTGGAATTGTGAATTTTATTTATTTCGTTTGTAAGTTAATTTAGATCTATAATAATAATGGTTGATTTTATGAAAGCTTTAAATTTTTTAGGTGTTCATATAAAGTACTTTTATATTCGTATGCAGAATAATAAAACTTCTGTTATATTCATGCTTTTTGTTTTAATACCAATTTCTATCAGCAGTCTGTAGATTTTGGTTTATAGGAAAGAGGATAAAAAAAAACATCAGATATCAAGATTTATATATTATATTTAGCTGGTTTTATCTCATACTCAAATGAATATAATATTAGTTTTCACTTGTCTTCTGAAATATGTGGCCAAACATCCACAATTATTTTTCAACAGAAACAAAGCACTTTGAGTACTTATATCGAATAAAATATATTAACATGGTATGGGTTCAACTTTCTTTTTAAACTCTGCTAAAATTTTCTTTGCATGACTAAATATTGCACAAAGCACGGAACTAAATCTGACCACCAAAGGTAAGAAGAAAAAGAAACCATTTTCATCTTGTTTGAAAATGTCTCATTTCACCCAGTAATTTAAGTTTATTGAAAATCAAATATTTATTAATTTACATCATAAACCAAAATCAAATTAATCATCCTTTTAAAGTGACTCGTGAGATTTAGTAATATGCGTGAAATTAATAATTTTATTTTTTTAATTGCATGCATTAAAGATTCAACAGTTTTCTACGAAAAATATATATTTATAATCAGTTGTAAATAAAAAAGAAAGAACTTTTAAGAAAATAGAGGATTCCTTCATTAAAGTTTAAAATAATTTTACAAGTTGGAATGATGAAGTTAAACCTAATTGACTACTCTGCATTTTTATAAGGAGTCATCAAGAAAAATCATGATACTTCTGTGAGAATATGCCATGACTTTGGTTGAAATTCTGATCAGTCATCTAAACTTTGAATGACTTCCAAAGTTGATAAAACCTGACCTATCAAATCTAACCTCAGACTTGTACATGGCTCAAAATTAATTCACTATTTCAACAACGGCTGCTGCCAAAATTTGAGGATGTGGCAATACTGAATTGTTTCATATTATGTACTTAAATACAAATTTTGGAGGAGAAACAAAAGTAACTTAGAAAAATATGGAGAAATCAACTTCAGATGTTAAAAACTGGACATGTGAGTACTGCAGATGGCACTATATTTTTAATCAGAATACTTCCACACCAAGATTACTAGTCTGTCGTTCAACATCGTAACTTTAATAAAAAATAAAGTGAAAAGTAGAGCCGTATTTTGAACTGCCGCTTAGGAACATATAACGGTTCTTAGAAACAAAATAAACTAGTAGAGTGTTAGGTATATCCCATCTTTTGGAGGAGGCGCAAAACCTCAGATTGAATTTAAAAGGGTTAGTAGAAATGCCTGGTAAGGGTGTAGCGAGATCAGCAGCGTTGATTATTAAACTTTGTAATAACAATTAGGCCGGTGGTAAATAAAATTACCAGTCCAATTAGCTTGAAATTTTAGCAGCAGCATATGTATTATTAAAAATTAAGGGTAAAAACAGTGGAACAGGTCAAATCGCCGCGCTGCTAGTCACACGGCAGTGGTTAAATAATACCAGTAGAACTCGCAAAGAGAAACACTAGAGTAATACATCTAGCTGCACAACTGGCCATAAATTGGGAAATAAAATAATTTGTTTTTCGATAATTAGCTGCCAGACCCTAGTTACACGATTGTCTCAAGGTCTATATATTAAAATTGAGAGAATGAAAGCAATCGACGAAGACGTGAATGTTTCAAAGGGGCGAGTATCTGTATGGTGCAAGAGTTTCAAAAAGGAAATTTGTGTAATTACAAACGAATTTTTTTAAATATTAACAAGTCACCCGGTAGGCAGAAATAAAAATTTCACAAACCAACATAAGATAAAATGTATAATTGCATGAAATAATAAATGTTCGTACATTTTTATAATAACGATTCATAAAACTAGTTTAGAAAATTAAGTAGCTCATGAAATGAAGGAAGACTAAATTTGTACTTTTTACACAAAAATTGTAACAAATCAAGCTAATATATAAATTTTCCTATCATTTCCTAGAGGTAAAAGTAATTCATTTTCTAGAAATAGAATATCACAAAGGCAATTAGTGCTAATTTAATTATTTTAATAAAGTGTTGAAATGTTTGCAGTACGTTAACGTACAAAAATATACGGGTACGGAAATCTAAATGCGGACCCTATATTTTACAAGGAATTAGACAAGGTATAATAGGACCATGCATAAAAAAAATATCGCCGAACAAAGAAGAGCGCCTGGCGAACAATACGTCCATATTTTAGAATCTTTATGGATTTTTCCCATAAACTTCCCGTAATAAATGTAAATCAAGATTTTCGAATAAACAAAATCTCATTATTTTCATTGGAATTTCCAGTTATTTAAAAAGATTGTTAATTACAGTAAGTGTTTAATCTTAAATAAAGAGTAAGAATAATAAGAGAAGCCCTCATATGTAGTATGTTTTTCTCAATAATTGATTTTAATAGTTATGCTTTGTGTCAACTAGTACGAGTCTGATTTTCATTGTTTGGTGCTACTAATTTTTATTAATAAAATGGAAACATTTGGTAGTAAAAGTGGAATGTGATGCATTAATAAAAAATTCGTAAGCCCATAGTCCTATAGATACAACTTACAAACATCTGTTAAGGAGGTAGATGGTGTAAAATCTCCAGAAATCTTTAATTCACGCAGACTAGTGTCGTTTCAATCATTTGAAAGAAGTATGACGTGGATATTTCTAACGAGAGCATTGTTGTGAGCCAGCTGTTGAACAAAATGAGTAAACATTATATTATTTAATAAAGTTTTTCCATTCTTGTGGAGATTTTATTCAAATTTTATGGTTGTATAGTCTGTTCAATTAGGATGTTCCTTTTTAAACATTTTTGAGCTTTTTTAATAATTCAAATGCAGTCTTCATGAAATATAATTATTAATTATATACGCATTAATTTGGAAACATCGTTAACACTCCAATAGCGATATTTTTGAAACATGAATGTATTGTCTCATCTTGGTAATTTTTGCCTTAAACTAACAGATTCCTAGACGTAAAGAATATTTGACCACATATGCGTATCAATTCTCACGTTTACGTTAATTGCATCACTTCAACTCTTTAATAAAAAATTAAATATTTTATAAAATTTCGAAAAAAAAAATATATATATATTTTGTTTATTAGTTATCCCATTGTGTAAAATGTAGCAATTGGTTTTTCAAAAATAAGTTTCGCAAATTAGGAGATATTTTCTATAAATAAAAAAAAGATGTGTCAACAGTCTATTGAAATTAATAAAAAAAAATTTAGTACAATTTTTCCACAAAGACAAAAATATCGATGTCAATACGGACTTTTATCAAATCACATTGCTTTCAATAGTCTATTAACCGATTTCCTTCTTTAAATACTTTTTAAAGTTTTATATATGCCTATTCTCAAATTTGCGAACTTAATATACACTGAAAATAAAAATCAGGAAATTCTATTGTCTTAAAAGCAACGATCTTTTTTTAAGAAAACAAAAAAGAAGAAATGTCAAACAAAATTCGACGGCCGTGTCCTCTGGAAAAAAGACAAAAGTTTTTGAAACCGATTTATTTAAATATTAAAATAAATTGAGACCCATACATGGCGATTTACTTTTTCAAAAAAAAATTCCTTAATTAACATTCCTGCTGTTTGGTTGCTGGATTATTCCTGAAGCCTGGTGGACTGGATATCTGTGAATTTAAATCGTTACTAAACCAATTCAGATTCTGTTGCGAATTTATATGTGAAAAGTTATTGAAATTTGGCTGTTGTAGTTGTTGTGTGAAATTTGAGAATGCGCTATTTGTGTATTCGTATGGCCTCAACGAGGGCGCTCCGCCGTTCTGTATCTGTTGTTGTGTACCTAGTTGTGATAAATTTGAATAGTGATCTCTAATTTGGGGCATATTTGCTAACGGATAATGACGGCTAGAAGATAGGATTGCTGGATCTAATACCTTCCAATCATTACATGTGTTGTTTAGGTCTGAAAAATAAATAAAATTATACTCTTTTATCTGTATAAGTTGTCTGGAGTTAACTTTTTCTATACAGGGCTTTTGTAAGTCAGCAGAAAGATATTCAGTTAAATGAGAGTTTTTTTCGCATTTTTTTTTATTATAGGGATTTTCATTAAAAAAAAATTGACCAAATGCAAGTAGTACTTGCGCAATAGTGTTCTGTACTGTTCGTGATTTTTTTAAAGTTTGTGAGCTTTACTTTTGGATATAAGTTAAGGAACAGTAATTTTTTTGAATCGTTACATGATGGTTTCAGAATTTTTTTTTTTTTTTGGGACGGAACACTAAAAATAGAAAGAAATGTTGATTACAATTTTTATTATGATACTCTTACTGTAATTCACCCCCTTACGAGAGATAGCTGAAGTCTGAAAACAGTTGTGTCAAGGATAAACGAATATAATTTTTATTAATATTTGGTGTTCTTTTTAGGTCATTATCGAATAATACTGAAGCTGTACCGGCACTTTAACTAAATTACACTACACTAATTTATAGATTTACTTATAATTTAGATAATTTACAAAAACCATGTATAAGAAATGATAGCGATTCTACCATAAATAAATAAAACAAATCCTTACTTACTTTTCTGTGGTTGCTGTTGCACATGGGAATTAAAATTACTAGGCCAATTATTTTGTGTTGAACTATTGATTTGTTGTTGACTATTAGACATATTTAGATAAGGTAAAATTTTACTACCTGAAAATAAAAAAAAACAAGTTAAAACTTATTAAACTTTGATTTTTCGTTACAAAATAACTCACCAAACGAATTCATATGTGAATTTGGTTGTACGAAACCAGGAGGTGGTGGAGGCAGATGGCCGTTTTGATTGAGATTAACCCCATTAATTTGACTACGACCTAAAACACATAACATATATTATTATATACTGCTCTTCTATCAGATTTATTAAGGAACTTTTTCATCCAGTTGGCTTTAAAAAATAGAAACATGGAGTAAGTACGGTGAGTTAATAAATCGGTTTTCAAAAAAGATTGCAACAAATTTCTCAAAATGATGGCTCCAGTATTAGGCATCCCAAACAAAAGAACTCTGTCGGTAGGAAAGGTTGGTATATCTAAGGGGTTGCGACATACAATGTATTCTACCTACAACATGTGAAATCATGAATAATGGATAAATTTAAATATTTTGTGTCAAACACGAAGATAATACTATTTTTTAATAAACCGCTTATACATTTTTCATAAATTAGCGTCCAAGCTGGAAGGCTATGTCGCAACCCTCTTAGATATTTGGGCCCTTCTCACTGGTAGCGGTTTGACAGGTCGTTAGAATGCCTAAAGGCCGATTTATAAACTTGCAGTTATCGCTCGCAGTTGCAGTTCCCGTTGGAAGTTAAAAAGCTACTTTAACATTTGGACACTTATATTCACTGTTGCTGTCAACGTTCGCTGTTGTACTTGACGTTTAAATATAACAAAGTTTTAAGTTCAATGGCGACCGCAAAGTCAGACAAACGGGAACAGTAACGGTAACGAAAACTGCAAGTTTATAAATTAGCCTTTATGTTAAATAATAATTGAAAACAAGGAGAGGCTGCAGCAGCGCGTGAGTAAAAAAGATTTTACCCCATGGAAAACTACATTTATATAAAATGTGACGTATTTTTTTTATTGGATTCTGGCACAAAAAATTGCGTCTAAATAGATTTCACTCATGCACCGATTCTTCCTTGATTATCTAATTTAAAAACCTTTAGAGGTTAGGTTCCTGTTTTGATTTATTATTCTTTAAGTATTTATAAACCACATACTTAGGAAGTAGTTTCTTTTAAGGATCTATTGTAAATGCAATTATTTCTATTAATGGCAGTTATCTAACTTGTAATGAATGTTGGCTCAGTTTCGAACAATGTGACAATTCCGGATTCTGTTTAATTTTAATAAACCTTTATCTTATATTTAGCAAAAAACGAAGGAAAAAGAGACACCGAGTGTAATAATTAAAATTTAAGTAAGTACCTATACTACTGTGTGACTTTTGATTCTGTTCGCTAACCATCAAATCTGCAAAAGCCTTTTGGGTTTCTTGAAACGGATCAAAACCTAAATCGTCCTCCGAACTTCTACTTGTCTGTTTGACATTATTAGACGAACTATTATTATATTGCGGCCCTTGTAGATTACCAAATCCTCCATTCTCTCCATTCATATATAAATTAACATTAACTCCATTTTGATATAACGAATTTGAACTACCGCCAAATCCTGAAGGAAAGTTTTTTATTAGTGTTTTGGTGCAAATATTGAATGAAAAAAATTTCAAACTCAAATGTGACAAGATATAAATTAAGAATAACAAGAAAAACTCAGACCCGAGAATACCGATCAAGGAGAAGCGACAGCTTGATGTTTTCAGTGTACCGTTTTGTTACGCGCATGTGCGAAAATAAGTTGTATATCACTCAAATTCATGTTATCTGTCAAAGTCAGTCCATGTTGTGTTTAGTACGTGAGCAATGTTAAGTGATATTTTTGGTGTTTGTTTTGTGTTGTAATAAGATGAAGATGTTTTACACACTTAGGTATTCTAATGCAGATACAAAATGCGACAAAAAAGTTATTAAGAAACTAAGAATTTTATCACATATTAAGTATAATGATATAATCATATTTGATATTTTATTATTCAAGTATTGGATTTTGTGAAATATAAATATTATCTTCTTTTAAACATTATAAATAAAACAATATAATAAATCCGCATGTTTCCTTGAGAAAGGTCTTTCAGTAGTTTTAGTTAGGATTGGTCAAAGTGTTGGGAACCCCTTTATTATGACTAAATTGTAAGATACAATTATGACAATATAAATGTTTGCCCATTCATATTTATGAATGAATTAATCATACTGTATTTGCTTTTGGAAATATTGGTAAATACTTAAATAAGTACTATTTCTAAAAATTCGTCTATGCCCAGACAGTACACATTTTGACAGCTGAATATCGATACCCAGAAGACATCCATCTTAGGTCATTATTTATTTTACACTTTTTTAAATATAATTGGTCATTAAAAATTGACAAATTGAATCTATTGCATTTCATTCTATCAGCGGATGTTTGAAATCTTATTTTATTATAACCATATCTAGTAAAAAGTTTTCAAGTGGCTCCTTGGTCGAGATCGTCTAGCGATTAAAAGGGTAGAACGATAATGGACGCGTCGTGAGTTCGAACCCAGCTCAGGTCAAGCGATTTTTTATTTAAAATTAATAAATAGTGTATATCTGGTTGCAGTTGTGTAAAAAAAGTGGGGATGTTATCTCAATGGAAATATAATCCTGGACAACCTCTAAATAGTCAAAAGTGTATCATTTGTATACTTCACGGGACGTCCATTGGATATCGGAAGTCCAGAAATAACTAATTTTTGGACGTCCAGACACCCAGAATTGTATATCGAATGGAAGTCCAATGGACCTATTTGTGTTGTCTGGGTGATAGCCAGGCCAGGTATTAAACTCTTAATACATAAACCTTAAATGACATCCAGCTTATCTTTGCGAGAAAAAACTTTTTTCCACAGAAATGTGTAATAAAATTTTAATATAATATAAATCCAAAAATTCTAAAAATATGTACTTTTGAAACCTAAAAGCTTTGAAAATATATGCAAATGCAAATATTTAGTTAAACCCTCAAACTTAATGTATTTTTAATTGTTACTTAATTTGTTTTGGCACTCTTCAATTTTATTTACCTTATTTTTACGTAAGAAAAAGGTAATTTAATTTACCAAAATATTTATATGGGACTTTTATTACTTTTTAAGCATGAATAAATCAAATAAGGAACAAATCTTATACATAAATAAATTATAAAATAATAAACATCTTTTACTTTTATGACAAATAATTAATTAATACATAAAGAATTATATTTTGGTGCCGAAACCTCACTATTGCTATTATTTACCCTAACTACCTCAATGTAAATAAATCACATTATAATGCGTGGACTATAACAGTAATTTCAGAAAATTTGCAAAGCTATTTCGCTCAGTGTAGAATATAAGCAGCGTATTAAGTTGTGTATTGATAATATTCCTGCTGTGAAAAAGGTGCAGCCGATATCAAATGCACCGACATTTAGTGTCGCTTCTTCTTGATCGGTATTCTCGGCTCACACTATGTCACAGAAAGACCAATTACTCCAAACTAGCGTCTAGTCTAGTCCATGGGAGGTCACCTACGATCCTCAAACGTGACATGCGCTGCGAATCTAGTCGAACGTCAGCTTTTGAAATTTAAAATGTGAATTAAGTTTGGTTAGAAATCGTTTGACATTTTACTTATTTGCAAGTACAAACAGTATACATAATTATGTTAATGTGTTTTTATGACAATAATCATTATGTGTAAACCCATCCAGCACAAAAATACAGTAATGTTAAAAAACAACGCGTCGTGAAGCGGCAGCATCTTCCCCACTATACCTTCCCGAAGAAATCAGTGGCAAATAATATTTTAAAACAATGATTTAAAATCCAAATTTTTTATTGTTTTCTCATTTATATCTGATGTGATATCTGACGTGATTTTCCACTAAAGTTAGATCCCGGTAAAATCAAAAACAATTTTGTACTTTTCATCAAATATATCCAATGCAGCACATTTTAGGGATATCATGTATATAACAAAAATTATAGATTGACATTCTGAAAACTTTCAAAAAATTTTCATCTCCAATAATCACAAATAATAAAATATAGCAAAAAGTACAAAACACTTATTTGGTCACCCTTTAATGTTTTTTATTACATAATCTATCTAAGATCTGCTCCAACAATGATCAGAAACCAGTCACTGACACCAGGATTCTGCGCAGTAAATTATTGGGAGCGCCAAATTATCTGCTGCCTAGAATCCTGCTGTCAGTGACTGGTTTCTGATCATTGTTGGAACATACCTCTAAATACCAAAATAACAATTTGTCATAATGAATTTCTAATCTTCCAAGTTATGTTATTAATCTCAAGCATTTACTATATTGCATGTCACGAATGCGGATCGTATGTGACTGTCTAGGTGTATAGCCAGAGGTGTGGTTGTTTTCTGGAAGGAAACGGTCGCTTTCTTGTTTTTCTTATTTATTTAAATATTGAAAGTTTTATAGCTTACCTTGTTTTAAACTAAGATTCAAAAGCTGTTCTTCTAATTGTTTCTGTTGTAATAACATTATCCTATCGGTACTGTTTTGCAAACCTGAGAAATAGCCTTGTTGCACGCCATTGTAACCGTTGAATTGTTGTTGCTGTTGTTGCGGCGGCTGTCCTGTTGTACTCATTTCTTAAAATATTAAGCATATGTAAATTTAAATTTCATTTATCTAAGTGTTCAAATGTATCAGAGCTAGAAATGATTGGTAGAAATATTGTATATGTGGCAAGATAGTCTGTTCCATTACAGAAAAGTTCAGCTGCGTCACTGCAGTAAGAGCGAAAATGTCGTCATAAATCAATGGCGTAACGATTTAATATACGTGGGTTAATAAGTGGTCAGATCTTGACCCAAATGTATATGGGACCACACCCCTGACCCCTAACAAAAAAAGGAAAGTAGTAATCGGACAACGTGGTAAAAAAATAATACTGGAGTGAGAGGTGGGATTCCGTTTTATGATTTGACTCAAATTTGATATCAAACTCCGTAATAACAATTCCGTTCAACGAAAATCGACATCTCTAGAGTAGTCCATTCGATATCAACTCATTAAAGTTGGATTATTTTGAAATTAGGTATTTACCTGTCAATAAGGTGTAAAATCTTAGGGTAGAAACGAATTTAGTTTCCAGAGCAATACCATTTCTGGATAACCTATGCTGCAACAACGCCTGTTATCTCTGACTAACTCATAAACAAACGTCTTAAAATAGTAAAAAATTGAAAATATTCTAAAAATAAACTCTTCTAAACACAACCTCAAACAGACAAATAAAAATATGGCCGCTTAACGGCATCGGCAGGAATTATCAATCCTGGCGTATCATTGAGGTGATTTTTGCTAACTACTCTGGTACTTTTCTCTAATGGAACGAACTCTACTTGAGTTTTTTTAAATTTTTGTCATTAAAAAAAATACCTTTATTATTTTTGTGGAATTCCATGAAGAACTTTGACATATTCTGATCGAGGCCGTTTAGACCATTGTGCGTGTGATTAGGAATAGGTGTAGCCTGAGGATGAGTTTGCTGCTTATATTGGGGGTGATACACTGGGGGAGCTTTGCCAGAGAGCATATCTATTATATTTTCTTGTGCCTTGGAGGGCATTTCATAAAAGCCATTGTTGAACGGTTCTATTCCTAAAATAACTTTACTGTAAATATGGCGTACGGTTTCTTTTTAAATCCAGGGAGGCTATGGAAATTTTACATAACTGGTGCTCACTATTTCAGAATTAAGTTTTTTTTTTTTTCAAATTTAATTGCTCTGTACCAGACCTTATTTTATTATTTATTGTTTTAGAGTAAAATTTTTGTGTCCAGTTGACATGAACTGACTAAGGTTTTAGCTATGAAGACTAGAGAGGAACTGAATCGACAATGGTCAAATTTAAAATTTCCATCGGTTTTGTGAAACGTGCCAAATTGATTGTACGTAGCTGACGTTAATTTTGTGTGTGTTAATGTAAATAAGTTTTTCTACATTCCACATTATTACCGTTAATTTGCATTTTATTTATATAAGAGTAATTAATAAATAGTAAATAAGATGAGAAAATAAAACTGAAAATCTATCCCACATATAAAATGTATTATTGAAGGCGACGGCCATTTTTAAGCCTATAAACAATTGACAAGTGTTAATTAAGATAAAAATATTTAGTAGTCTAATGACATACATACCTATGATCTTTGGTGGTTTCTTAAGAACAAATTACGGATTCAGGGAAAGTATCATCAGAAAATGTAAGTTTATGGAAAATTCAGCAATATGACTGTTCATTTTAACGCCCTCTAGAGGGATAAAAACTAGTACGTATTGTTAAGTGTGAAACTTCATTAAAAAGCTAATTTTATTAGTAATTCCATGCACTACATAATATTATGTTAATTAACTAAATCAAAAATGAACCTAAAATGAAAAATAAAATATTGCATTATTACTAACTAAATTTTGTAGTGCAATATGGAAATATTTAGGTAATAATACTACCGATGCTATGTTTTCTGTTCTAGAAAAATTATTCCTCGATTTAAATGATAACAGGGTAGTTGCTGCAGTGTTCTGTGATTTGTCCAAAGCGTTTGACTGTGTAAATCACAGAATATTGCTGGATTCCGAGGAATAGCTCTAAAGTGGTTCCAGTCTTATTTGGAGACTAGAGTTCAAAGAGTTTCTTTCAATAAGCAAACATCAATGCTTTCTATGATTCGCTGTAGGGTTCCCCAAGGATCCGTTTTGGGACCGGTTTTATTCCTAATGAGAATATTGAAGAGTTCTCTAATTCCATTAACAAAGACATTATTAAGATTAAAGAATGGTGTAATTCAAATTTATCTCTTAATATATCAAAAACAAATACAGTCTCATTCACTGGCGAGTTATAATTTCAGTTGGACAGCAACAAATTAAAAAAAAAACACCGGAAAAAAATTCTTAGGCTTATTCATTGACCAGAAATTAAAATTTGAAATCCATGTTAATAGTTTGTGTAAAAAGCTGTCCTCTGGATGTTTTGCAGTAAGAACTGTTCAGTTGCAAGGAGTGTATACTTTTCATTGGTAGAATCCCATCTGCGATATGCTGTAAGTTTCTGGGGAACATATTCTTCCGAGTTGTTTACTAGTCTTTGTCTTATAGAAGAGGGCCATAAGACATATGTGCAAAGTTGATGCTAGTGTCTCTTGTAAGCCATTATTTATTAGGCACAATATACTAACTCTCACTTGTCTGTCTATTTTAGAAACAGTACTTTTAGTTTTTAAAAAATATAAATTTAATATTATTACCTCTGGCAGTACTCAAGAATCTTCCAGCTTGGTATATATGCCTCTATTGTGTATAGCTAGAAGAAGATATTTAACCATCTGCAAATTAATATAAGAAGTACTGACTCAAAAGCAAGTTAAGAAACTCTTGCTCAAAAAAGACCTACTACAAATTGGATGAATTTTTCTGTAATCAGTTGAATTTAATACTTATTTTAATTTATGTGTATATTACGAGGGTAAAACAAATATAAACGGGACTATTTGGATTAAAAATTTCTGAGCGGTTATTGATCTGGAAAGAATTGATGAGCAGTTAGCCTTTACCTCTGGAGAGGGGAGAAAACCGATCAAAATTAGCTCGGGTCTCTTTAACATGCAAAGAAACCATGAGTGAGAAAGAAGTGCATGTCTTCTTGGAGCAACGGATTATAATAAAGTTTTTAGCAAAGGAGGGCGTAAAACCAACTAATATTTTGCGAAGATTGCAGACACAGTTTGGAGATAACACTCTGTCAAGAACCCGTGTGTTTGCATGGAACTAAGAATTTTCTGGAGGGCCTGAAAAGGTACACCCGTGAAAGCAAAGACGCGATTGTCAGCCGGAAAGTTAATGGCAACAGTGTTTTTCGATTGGCTAGGTGTTTTTCACGTTGACTTTCTGCACTATCAACGCAGGATTAATACACAATATTTCTATGTTACTGAAAGCCGCAAAATTGTTATTTCGAAGAAAAAGGAAGCAGCAGTCGGTCAGAAATGTCATTCTTTTGCCTGACAACACCAGACCTTAAGTAGTTAATGTCGAGCGAAAAATTGGAAACTTTTAAATGGGAAATACTGGAACATCCTCCCTATAGTCTAGACCTTTCCTTTTGTGACTTCCATCCTTTTGGACCCCTCAAAGAATCGCTTGGAGGCCAGCGTTTCGACGATAACGAAGCAGTGGAAGCATTTGTGCTCCAATGGCTACAGGAACGTCTGAAGAGTTTCTATGATGCTGGAATAAAAAAGCTACCAATCCAATGGAAAAAACTTATTTCTAGAGGGGGGAATGTATGTAGAAAAATAATGTATGTTTAAACACTTATTTAAATAATATTTGACTTGATATTAGTATTTAAATTTTTTTTAAAAACAAAAAAAAAATTCATTTATGAAATATTTCTTTTCTTTGAATTTTAATTTTTTACTTTTGTTTTTAGCTTTCTTATATTATTATGTTATCTATCTTTGTTAATAATAATGTAATTAATTCTTCAACAGTAAATAAATTTTGACTTGACTTGAGGTGCATTGGATTACTAATTAAATTAGCTTTCAAATAGAGTGCGTTAAAATGAAAACTAACGCAATGAACAGTCATATTGCTGAATACCCGATAAATTTACCTTTTTGATTTGTCATAATTTGTACTTTTTCTATTTAAATTGTAGTGGTGATCGTGACAGAGGGGAGAGGAATGATATATGACAGATGAGGATATTATTGAAAGGTGCCTCCTTGAAATAAAAATCAACCTGTTTTTGTGATCTACTTTAAAATATTCTGAGATACGACCCCCTTAATGAATCGCCCTATACAATACCAGCGGAGCAAATAGATGTTCACTAGCCACACAAATTGGCGGAGGTGCTAAGTATATTACTGCATTTGTATTTATAATAGTACAAAAATGTCTTATTTTTGTGCCCATCAAATCCAGGATCTTCATTTTTGATATTTTCTCCAATGTAATGAAAATTTTAAGATCACCTTCAATTTTATTTATCATATTGTCAGTATTAGTCTTCTTCCTATATGGTGGTGATTTACTTGCTGTCATACTGGTAAGTTCTTCAAAGGTATTCCAAAACAAAAAGTCTATTTTTCCTCAGTTTTATAGTGAAATAGTCTTTAGTACTACACAGAGTGGGCGATGTTTGACTTTCATAGCCACAATGGATTTAAAAAGAAAGTAAACTGCAGATAAAAGAATTTCCTTCAGATGCCAAGATTATTGGAAAAAATATTATATCACCAACCGTAAACAAAGCCATGCATTACCATAGCGATTTGCGAAAGTAAACAAACACTTTATCTCACTATAAAAATTAAATATTTTATCTGTCGCTAATATTTATCAACACAGCCATGACCGTTTGACAGAAATAGTATGTAACTGATTTGTTTTGTATTCACTGTTATTTTTCTATTTGTTTACTCTGTCATAATAAAATGTGGTGTTATAATATATCCTTTTTTATTAATTATAATTATTTACGGTTGGCGATAAAAGTTTGTATGGACCACGTCAACAAAATGCCTTTATCGAACTCGCCTGTTACTCGCCTCACTTGCTTCTCTCGTTTGGCTCATAATCTCAGACTAGTTCGATAAAAAATCACTTTGCTGACTTGATAAATAAATATCTATTATGTACCTTTACTATATCCTGTATCATGGTTCATACCACCAAAACCTTTCCTAAACGAATCTAATGTATCCTTTTCTTCTCTTTTACCTGTAAGCAATGTTAGATGTTATTAATTTAACCCTTATTCTAATGAGACAATAAAAACGTAAAATCAGTACCACACAGATTGGCGACTGGTTTCAGCTAAATAGCCATCCTGAAGCCTATGAATGATTTAAAAAAATATTTTATAATAAAATGGTTATGGTTATCAAGTTATAAACAAACCTTAGATCCTAGGGTTTAATAAAAAAAAAACACACTTTTGTTATTATGTAGTTTTAAATTTAAAGAATTAAAAATTATTATTTATTAATATAAAATAAGAAACTAAGGAACTTTTTGTAGTTGATGCAAGTTTTAGTAGATTTTTGTAGCTGACTACCTCCAAGTTGTGAGAGTCCAGAATTTTACAGTTCATTTTGTTAAGACTGAAATAGTGTTTTAGTAGAGTGAGAGGATTATGAGTTATATAAGAGAATGGGCAAGATATGAGAAATATTAGAGGTATCTCATCTGAAGTATTGAAACCAGATGAGGTCCTTGTTGGTACTGATTTTGCGTTTTTATTACCCCATTAAAGATGACCACGTTTGAGAAGTTGGATTCACTTCTTCGTGCTCTTGTTTTAATACTGACATAGGGAACAAAAAATTACCTGCACCGGTTTCCGAAGTTCTAGGAAACCCAAACGCCGCCGCCCAGTCTTCAGTCGTATTAATATTTGGTAAAGTATCTGTCAATATGCTAGAAGGATGTGTTTCACTGTCACTTTCTGTGTGATCTGGAGCAGCATGGCCGCCGTGTGTGATTTTCTGAAAGGGATTCATGGAGAAGAAGCTCGTGTTGTCGTCCACGATCGGAGGTAATTTCGATAGTGGCAATAAAATGTGTGGTTCCGTTGACGACGGCGGGGACGGTGTTGCGCTTGATTCGCTTAGAGACGGCGACGAGGTCTTTTCTTGTTTTTCTAAAAAAAAAAAAAAAAAAATCCATTTGTCAAGGAGGCGGTATCTCTGTATTTAAAAATTGTATAGTATACCAAAAGAACTGACTGAATTTTGAACCACATTAAAGATAAAGGTCTAACTTGAGTTACACTATTGACAAATGATAAATTTATTATTTTCAATAAAAACAAATTATTTAACATAACCAATCTATTACTATTCAAGGAGATGATCTTGACTTTATAAATACTTATAACGATAAAGGTAATAATAATAATAATAATAATAAACACAAACAAAATTACTATTCATGACAATCTTAATCGGAGCTCTAATTGCTTTTTAGAAGTAACAAGTTCTCCTCACTTAACCCTAATGCTTTTAAATATTCAGTTAATAAGAAATAAAGTGGATCAATTAGAAGTACTTCTTAATACCTACAATGTATGTGCAACTAAATACTGATTATATTTGAATCCATATCAATACAAAATTATATTGTAACTTCAGAGCACTGTAGATCCCAATTTAACAGTGGTGGGACACTTATTTATGGTTAAGGAAAATTTTATTCAGAGAAATGTATGTATTTCAGTTGATACATTTAACGGTCTAATCATTGAAAAAGAGTTTAAAATAAAAATGGTTCGAACATACTTAATTTGCATTTATGGTCACCTAATTACAATCTGGTTAATTTTTTAATCTTAACAAATTTAGATATAATCTTACCCAGAAGTACAAATATAAGTACTAACTAACTAGTGTTGATTTTTTGAATAAAAACCATGGTAATCCTCACAAACTTACTTAATTTGTTTAAAAATGTATGTAAAAATCACTAAAAAAAAACTAGTACCTTGGATTGATTATATTTGCACTACCTGGGATGATAATAAAAGTAATGGGATGTTATTTATATAACAGTATCTCAGAACATGATGTAGTTTTTATGTAGCACAGAATATAATTTTAGCATACCTCAAGAAAAAGTGTACAAAAGCATATTAAATGAGTACAATAATAAATTCCAGCAATTGATAACTATGGTTGATTGGAATTCATTAAACTCTGCTTATCCTAAAAGAATTGTTTAAGTCAAAATCTGGATAATGTGGAATATCAGCAAAAAATATGCATCATCTTTATGAAATAAAAAATAAATATGTTAAAGATGATAAACATGTTTTAAATAAAGATTTTAATAGTTAGGGTCCGATTACAATAAGAAGAACACAGCTACGTCATCATTTGGCAAAGTAATTAATTAGGCATTCCAACGACCTGTCAAAGAATAGGTGCCAGTGGGAAATTCTTGTATATCTAAGGAGGTAGCGACATAGTCTTGCAACTTGGACACTATTTTTATTCGAAGTAGTAGTCGCCAAGCCTGCCAATTTATGAAGAAATGTATAGGTGGGTTTTTTAAATATTATTTGTATTGTGTTTGACATAAAATATTTAATTGTCGTCCATTATTCATGATTTTACGTAAAGTAGATAGAATACACCGTATGTCGCCACCCTTAGATATACCAAACCTTCCCACTGGCAATTCATTTGTTTGGAATGCCTAATTGGTTACCGCCGCCTACTGGGAGTTTAATGGAGTATTAATATTATAGGAATATGGGAAATATTGTTTTATAACTAACTTACTTATTTTTTATTTATTGATAGTTATAAATAATATCTATTCGAAATTCAAAGTAATGGTTATGACGTAGCGGTGTTCTTCTAAGTATAATCGGACCCTACCATTCTCTCTATAGATCAATAATTAAGACAGTTAAGCAGATTTAGTATATAAAAAAAAATCGGAAACGCCAGTAATTTGCAAAACGAATCATGGTCTATAGTTAATAGGTTACCAGGGAAAAATAGTAATTCTGCCATATTACGGTAATAGCTAATTAATAAAACAATGGGGTAAAAATTAAATATCTTCTTGAATGCCATATCTTGCAAACGTAATAAATTGGTAATAGTTAAAATTTATATCTGTGGATGCATCCATTTGAAGAAAAGAAGTATGTGCATGTGCATTTATAAAGATTTTCCACAACTTGCACCTGAATATCTTCTGCCATATCAGTAATTCGTCTTTGGATAGTATTATTTGACAGAGGTATTGTTTTTAACTTGGCAGGCCTCTTTTTCACCAAACATTATATGTACCATTTGTAAAGCTACTAGCAAAATCAGATTTTCAATTGTGTGCGGGTTACTAGTTTTGGCAATGCAATAAGGAACTTTATAACATGTTAATAATCTTTTTCATTAGTAGTTACTGTTTGTGAAGGAAGTTCAGCTTTCTTTCAAAAATTTCTACAGGTTTGTCTTTTTTATCTGGATGTTTGCTATTAAAACGTCGAAGTGGCTTCATGTTTTCTTTTGACAAGACTTCTCCACAAATAACACATTGTGGTTTATTGGAAATAACGGTATTTAAGATATTCATCATTTTCTTTTTATTACTGCCACTTTCAGGCGTAGATTGTTCTGCACTTCATTTTAAAAAACGTATCCATAATTTGTAATTTATTGTAGACGTAAAAATACGTAAACAGTAATAAGTAAGACACACAAATTTACTTAATACCGTATTCGCCACAACGCGCTGTTGGGAACTGAGGTCTCGTTGCACATCGCTGCTTTTATAAAGCCAAAACGAAGTTATGAGAATGTTCCAGAGTGCCATCTAGTAGCGAAATAAGGAGTAGCGCTTTCGCGAATATAATGAAAAAGTATTGTGATATAGACACAAACAAAGATGTCGCAGTGTACAATGTGCAGTCGACTTTCTATTATTTAGTTTTATTATAAATGCTAGTCTGGCAGAAATACTACTAGTTACTAGTGGGAGAGATCGCAATTATTAAAATAATTGTTGAACTATTTTAATGCATTTAATTTAAACTTAAACAGTAAAGTAAAATAAAATTTGAGAAACCATCAGCTACTTGTAAATTAGGTATGTTATTTTTGTGGCTATTTTGGTTTGGGTAATGAATAGGGGGCGGTAAACAATTTTTTTAATAAAAACGGGGTCGCGCTTTAGAGAAGACCAGTAGCAAACGGCAGACACACAGGAACGTGAAAAAAAAAATTCAAGCATGTGCATTAAGCTGCCTCCTTCCACTGTGTGTAGTGGCTCCAGCCTAGCATCGCTACTATGAGTGGGAAAATGCAAGGTCGTATACTTTTTAGACACACCTCATATTAGTATTATTGTTATTATTACTATATTAATCGCTTTATTTTATCTATGTATTACTCTTGTACTCTTAAGTTTATATCTATATGCATTTCTTGTAACTTTTAAATTTTGCATTATTTTACATTCTTTTATATTTTATTTGATTTGCTAATGAGATGTAAATCTTCATAGAATAAAACTATTATTTTGATTTAAACCCCATTTTAATTAATCTGAAAGGTGCCGTTTTACAGCATTTTATCCTCAAAGACGACCTACTTTTACGTACCTACCTACGGTGGATGTATATATTCAGTCAGGATATTGACGTACATTCGTTGAGTAAACCGATGGAATCTCCGTCCTTAACTTAGAAATCCACATAAATTAAACTTACCTCCTAATCCAAACCCTTTCTCCAACTTCATTCCAACGTCATTCCGTCCACTATACGCTTCCTTCCTATCGGGTTTCCTACTACCACCGTCCCCTCCACTTCCTTTACCTTTCGTCTTTTTTCCCTTCTCCTTTTCTTTTTTTTCTTTGTCGCCGTTATTCAGATGCGGCCAATTCTCCTTATTCGTACCACTACTATTGGATGTTGTACTCGAACTGCTGCTGACGCTGCTCGACAGCGGCGCGCTGACGTTTTCTTTGGAAGATGATTTGAACGTGGAGGAGGAGTTCGTGGTCGGTATGGGAATAGCCGATTTCGGATTGGCCTCTGTGGTATTGGTCTGGTTGTTGCTATTGGCCACGCGGAAGAGTAGGTTTTCGTGAAGTTTCTTTTCGTATTCTTGGTGTTTTCCAGCGTGCATCTGCTCCTTGGTGAAACTGGCCTCCGGATCTCCTTGAGGGAAATAAGTTAACTATTAAGATGTATTATTTGGCGGGAACATAAGCATTAACTGGTTTGAATATTAAATATACATATAAGGAAAGAAAACTCATTACCACAAAAATTTTAATGTTGTTGATACACTCTGCTACTAGTAGTTTGGACCATCAACTGGCCGATTTTAAAACTTTAAAGCAAGGCATTAGTATTCCATGAACAGTTTTTTGCAGGCAAGCCTATACGATTATTTTAATAATTAAATTATCTTTCTTCTGATATCAATTTTTATTGGTTGACATATCGGTGTAGTTACCTATATTGACTTACCTGTTAGGTAGCCATGAACAGAAATAAGTAAACAAGCCTACTGACGCATGGCATGTTAATAGGTCTTTTCCTTTGCATCGAAAATGTAGCACTGAGCTACACCACTTCTGAAAATATCGTTCCATTTATACAAATTGTATGGATGGAACGACATTTTCAGAAGTAACGTAGCTCAGTGCTACACTGTCGATGCAAAGGAAAAGACCTAATAAATCAATAAAATTTCATAAAAAATATGCGTCATCTGGTTATCAGATGGGTGAAGGTCAACCTCCCACGGGCTCCTCTACTATAATATATCAGGTGCATTTATATTATTATTAGGCGTATTATAGAGCAACATCATCGAGTTTGGGCTAACGCCTATTGTACATCGATAGAATTTAAACTTTTTTCTCAACTGGGTTGACCTTATCATATTATAATCTGGTCTAACAGGGTGTGTTTTGTAGTACAAATATCTAAGTAGTTTGTTTTGAACCTTTTCAACGTCTTTCATGGAATATTGATACTCTCCATACCAAATCGTATTAATAAAGTTGACAGTATAAAAGATCTTGGGGTTATATTTCAATCTAATCTGTCTTTTTCTCAGCATGTCGATTATGTTGCTGGGAAAGCCTTAAAACAGTTAGGATTCGTGAGAAGGCACTCAGCAGACTTTGTGAATTTGCATACAATTAAAATCTTATTTTATTCGCTCATAAGGTCACATTTGGAATATTGTTCTGTTATTTGGACAGGTCACCATATGCGCAAATTCATATTGAAAAGCTTGAAAGAGTACATACAGTGTAGATTTTTAATGTATTGTTCTTTTAAATTGTCACTACCGTACTCTTATACAAATATGCTTGCCACAACAAATAATAAAACGTTAGCTTCCCGAAGAGAATTTATTGATTTTCTATTTATCTTTAAACTTGTAAATAACCTTGTTGATTCTCCTGAACCCTTGCAAAGTGTAGATTTTTATATCCCACCTAGGCCGTTGCGTGGTATCTCCACATTTGCTTTGAAAGCTCACAGAACTAACTATGGCTCAGGAATTGGTATGGCCAGACTTCTGAGAAATGCTAATACATTTGCAGCAAAACAGAATATTGATATTTTTAACTATTCCCTGTATCAAGTGAAAAGAGTGGCGAAGTAAAAAAATGTGTTAGGTCTACATAGTATTTTAATATTTATGTATATTTTTTATACTATAAACTTATGTATTTTGTAAATGGTTTAAACCGTATGATAAATAAATAAATAAATAAATAAATAAATAAATAAATAAATAAATAAATAAATAAATAAATAAATAAATAAATAAATAAATAAATAAATAAATAAAATAAATAAGAGAAGCGTATTCCAACTCGGTCCTAACTAGACTATAATAAAGGAGTTTTACATAGCCTAAGCTGCGGTTAGCAGATTTTACTATATTTCTAATATGAGTTGAAAACGAAAAATGGTTGTCATAAGTGACACAGAGTTCTTTAACCTCGGAATACCGCACAAGTATATTTCCATTCATTACATAGTCAAAAATTATTGGTTGTTTTTTGCGTCTTACTGTCATAGCGCATTTTTTTATATTAAAATACAGCTTATTATTAAGACTCCATTCATAAATACTATTTATGTTTTTCTGTGACAATAAAATCCCTCGCTGATTTTTTTTAAACCTTTAAAATCCTAAGAAAGAGCAAACAATCAGAAGGTAAGTCATTAACAAATAACAAGAACATGAGTGGTCCTAGGTTAGAATCTTGTCGAACACCCGAATTAACAGAAAATTTTCCAGATGTATTTCCATTATGTTTTACTATGAATAATCTGTTTTCTAAGTTATAAAAAAATGGAAGTCGTAGCTATGCCGAATGTATTTAGTTTTTGAAGTAGTACATCATGATATACCTTTTCGAATGCTTTTTGAAAATCTGTTTATACACTAACTGACTTTTTCGTTCTAATGTTTCGTAAGCTTTAATAGCAAAAATAAACAAATTTAAATTTTTATTTTTAACGAATTTATGTTGCTGAGTAGATATATATTTTTCAACATGTTGATATAGCAGTGTGTATGATTTGTACAAATAGCTTAGCTAGAGCATATATAATTGAAATAGGTCAATAGTTTTCAATGTCCATTTTATTTCATGTTTTATGAATTTTCGTAGTTATAACAATTTTTCAAATTGATGAAAAAACATTGGTTGATAAAGCTAAGTTGGCCCATAGAGGCCGCAACTACTATCCGCTTGTATAAACAACATTAAAAATCCTGTGGTAAATGACTTTCGAGTTCTCTTTCCTTATAAAGGCTTGCCACATTAGTGAAAATTAATTATTTACTCTACCTATTAAATATACAGTGTGAATCCTAAGTTGATACTTTTTTAAAAGTGTATAGAAGTCATTAAAATAAACATCTTTTTTAAATAACCTTTTTTCAACAAATTTAAAAATAAAAAAGATGCAGAATTAAAAAAAATATAAATCCGAGCCTGGACTTGTGCACTAAAATTTAAACGAATTCATAAGTCTGTTTATGGTTTTATCTGTTTAAAGGTTTTTCTTATGAATCATGTTCACGCGTTTTTGTAATTCAGCCACCTGATTTCTTTCAATAGTGTGTTTAGTATGGTAAATTGAAAAAGTGAGTTTAGAAGAACACATTTTAAATGTTATCGAGGAAGACCCAACGCAAAAAAATATGGGCAACTACTGCGGAAAAATCAATTCTATCCCTTTCACAATTAACTTGAACATTCGCCTTGCAAAGCATGCAATCAATATTTTTCGCCAAAAGTTATATTATACAGGACTGTATTGGATACATTTTGGAATAAATTATTGTAAGTTTCTTATTTTTGAGTTTTTTTTTTTAAAGTTGTTTATTTTAATATCTTCTGCACACAGTTGATGAAAACAGTATGAATTTAGGTTCCACCCTGTACAGCCGGCTCTAGACTCAACACGCGAAAGACTGTAAAGACCCGCGAACATAAGTGTGGATGATTTTTGCACTTGTTCTCGCCGCGACTTCACGGTGTGAGTCTGGAGCAGGAATGTTGAAATTACTTTCAGTGTCTACCGGATTATTATAACAGTTCGAGATTCCGCGATAAAATTCTACCCTCACAAAGTAACTATATAAAAAAATATATAAGATGTAAACTGATAGGAAATAAAAAAAAATAGCTGGTCTGCCTAAAAAATGTCTACTCACCAAAATCATGAAGGTACATACAATCTGGCTTAGGACAAGTTTGATTCTTCATAAAATGTGAACAATATTTCGTAGTACCTAAACTTGATTTAATCACTCTACCATCAATAGTTATATTATTGACACTTTGTATGGCCTTTAAAGCATCATCACTTTTCATATAAGTTACATAGGCACCTGCAAAAAAACCTTGTTTAATTAATTTTACTTCCTTTTACAATTCGTTGAAAGTTGAATTAATTAAATTAAAAAAAAACTGTATTTAGTTAACTCAGATATTCAATTAAGAGGAATATAGCTCAGACATAACCCAATTAAAAAAAGCAAAAAGAGAGAAAATATTATAGGTTAATTAGTTTAGAGCAATGTTGAATTCGACTAGTTCTACAGAAAATTCAAAATTAATAAAAATTTTATTTCCTTGCAAAAAAAAAAAAATTATGGTGGACCTTTAGTACAAGTGTTTCAGGTACACAAAAGAGCTATTATAGGGAAGCACTTGGTATTAGCGAGTCAACACTTTAGAATGTACTGAATAACCAGAACGTAGCAAAACAGAACTTAACAAAACACTCAAGAGAAAAATTCCTGATGGAATGAAAATTCATGATACCATCCAAAAAGTATGTAACTTTAGATACAATTCACGAAAAAATTATAAATGTAGCAAGAATCAATCTATGGAAAACTTTAAAACATAATGGATTTAAATTTAAGAAAGAAGAAAATCTTAAGGCGTTATGTGAGAAATCAGCAGTAGTCCATAAATTCAGTTCATAAGGGATTTTCATAAGTTTAAAAGAAGTGGTGCTTCATTTGTATATTTGGATGAGACATTCATTTTTTCGAAGGAATCTGCTAAAGAGAATTTGGCGGAATACAAATATAAAATCAATAAAACATGACTGTGAAAGTGAGGGGAAAATGCACATACCTGTCCATGCAGGCAACGAGGATGGCTTTTATTTCTGATGCAGAATTAATCTTTTCCTCAAAATCTAAGAAACGTGACTATCGTGACAACATGAATACTGAAATGTTTACTAATAATCCTACAGCCTTCGTGCAGATTTGACCTATTTTCTTATGGCTGAATTTATTAATAAACTGCGCTGATACGTGTCCAACGAATTCACGAAAGCGCGACGTTCAGACTGGGGCGTTTAGGTAGCTATAGGCATTGCAAGTGGTAGGTGCCTCTCAAAAATTTTACTTATTTTCTTAACATTTTTGTTATGCTCATTCGACGATAAGTGCTAATCTACAAGAAATATTAAACCCTCCACCAATTTCAGTGGCCATTTTTTCTCTCCAACGTTTTAAAGTAGTGCATGAGAAGGCATGCGCGTGACTTATTGGTTTATTTTCAAGATTTTGTTGTTTTTCACAAAATTCAATTTCTCCACCATTTTCGCCTAAGCGCCACTGTCTGAACGTCGCACTTTCGTGAATTCGTTGGACACGTATCATAGCACAATTTAATAATAAATTCAGTAGTAAGAAAATAAGTCACAAATCTGCACGTTGGCTGTAGGACTATTAATTGAATATCTGTGTAAACTAAATTAATGGACTATAGAATTTTGATGATATTCACCTTGATTACTAATGAATCTTTTGGTTTTCTCATATTATTTGAGGTAAATAAAACTCGAATTCTATACCACATAAATTCTTTTAATATTTACGGCGGCCGGTTATATAGTCATATTCTAGTCTTATTGAATTGTAAAAAATACATGTACGAAAAATGAGAAAAAACATCAAATTTATCAAATATGTAAAATGGAGAAATTATGTTTTCAATGTTGCTATTGTATATGAAGGCCTGTCATAAAAATTTATAATAGAACTAATTTAAGTGCAGGATATAGTGTTTTTAATAACTCAGGAAGTTTCAAATGTAAAATTACATGATGTAGGTATACTCTTAATGTCAAGAAGTTGCCAAAGTTGTTATTTTTGTTTCAATACACAGTGTAAATGAGTTCGGCGGAGATACGAGAGGGAAGATGTCAATATTGAACATGTGATTCTCGAGGAACTTCAGCTTATATTTATTTCCTGAACGCTTCAAGATACTTTGCTCGTCTTCTGTCAAAATATTATTGGTCAATTGCGATTTTGTCATTTAAATATTCAGATAAAAATAATTAATATGGAAAAACTGGGATTAGTTTTCTTAAATTTATTCTATAAATGATAAATTGATCTCGTGGATGTCTTCACTATCATTCACATCACAAATCTTACATCCTTTTAAAGTCTCCGAAATTTGTTGTTCCTATGTTTCCTACCCTGAGTGTCAATTACACGCAAAAATCAAATTGTTTTGCGTTTTGATAATGAGTGTGTGTTTATAATTTTATTTATTATTGAGATGTGAAAAAAAATCCATGCACATAATATAGCCACCCAGACTTTATGAGAGTTGTAGTTAGGGTGAGGATAAGAGAGAGATAGAAAATTTTATTGACGATGTTGTCATCAATTACAATTCCAGTTCAAGAACAAAAGAAAACGTAAGGTACAATAAAATTTCAATAGATAACTATGTTTAAGTCATACTCAAGAACCACGAAAAAGATCAAGTAGAACATCTTTATTATTAGTGAAGGGAGGTGAGAGAGGAGGTAGGAGTGGAGTGCAAAATATTTGTAATTTACGTAGTTCTAGATAAATAATTAAGCCTCGAAAATAACTTTTGGAAAAAAAACTCCCTTATTAGGGATGGGGTAGGGAAGAGAGAGGGGGAGGAAATAGGAAATCGAAAAACATTTTTTCTGCGATCACTATCCAAAGTAGGTTTTTGCGCTTCGAAATCCAACAGCAAAGTTGATGTTTTCCGCGAACTGACATTAAGTGACACCTTCGTTGCTCGCCAAGCGACAAAATTGACAGCTTTGTTTCTCGCCTAATACGCTAGTTTAGTGATTATGTAATTATGGTTCCACTGACAATTAAAGTGATTTTTTGAGTGCGTTTTGTTCGTTTCGTTTAACTAAATTATATCGTTTTTTTACTTTTATAAATATATTCCTAAAGTAAGTAGATAACATACATCAAATATACAATCGTTTAGTTACCAATTACATACCTTTAAACTATTTTTTATGACCTGTAAACAATATTTAGAAATAAACTAAAAACAGTAAAAGCGTATACGTCAAATTTATTGATGTTTTAGTTAAAAGTTTGGTTAGAATTAGTGTCAGTGGAACCAAAATGACATCACATTAAACTAGCGTATTTAAATTAGGTATTTTCCGCGAACTGACATTAAGTGACAGCTTTGCTGCTCGCCAAGCGACAAAATTGACAGCTTTGTTGCTCGCCTAATTTAAATTAGGTAACATAATAATATTTCTTTTTAATAAATGATTTTCAAGTTATTTGTACATAGTTACATGTTTTTTGTTATATTATTTAAGTTAACATGGACTTTGAGTATCAACTGCTTTTTTCCATAATTAACCTAGGTATATGCACTACTTATGATAAACGTTTAGTTTTTATCTATTTTTTAAAATAATGCGATCGTAGAAAAAAAAAATTGTGTGCATTTTGAGCAAAAAGTTCGTTGCCGCCTTTCGACAGATTGCCGCGCTCCGTCTGTCTCAAGCGGCTCTTATTACACAAATAGCTATTTTTGTTTTGTTGTAGTAAAACAAGTAAATTTTGGCACTTCAACATTTTTTTTTCCTCAAAAATCCGCTGTGAATAAAAGGCTAAATGCGGTAGAGAACTACTGAGTAAAAAAATGCTTGCTTATTTAAGAATCATATCAACATTTTGAGAACAATTAAACCACTTTACGACTTTTGGTTTCGACTTTACACCTATTTCAAAAACAGGTCACTTTTTGCAAGTTTTTTTTTTTTTAATTTCAATCATTTTATTGACACAAAAACAAGCTTACAATATCATCTTAGATTCATACAAAACAAGTTTAAGCTATATCCCGAATTTCGTTGAAAAAGGTAAATATTGGTCATATCTGAAATCCCTACACCGAAAGACAGAAAATGCAAAGCGATTGTTTTTATTGTTTTTGACGTCTATAAACAAAAAAAAAAGAAAAATCCATCGATAAGCAACTTTAAATTTTATAGGTCACATGACCGCTCCCACCATTGGGACAGTACATATTGTTAACCCCTTCCCCTGTACTCAACTTCAAATAGCCAGCAAAAAAGACATGCCACTTTTTGCAGTAATCAAATATCAGTTGTCATTATTTGTCCATTGAACAAACATTGACAACTTCTTTAAATTTATCAATATTTTTCATGGATATTAATTACTATTATTTACTTATTTTATTTCATGGATAAGGGTACAAACTTCTTCCTCGTAAATCACTTTTTTACTTGTCTCAAAAAACCATATCCCTGTGTGTACCAAATTCGTAACTTTCAGCACGACACTGGATCGTCTAGCTTTCAACCGGCAGACGAGAGGTCGTGAAAAAGTGATTACGGGTCATTCTCAATTTGTACCATCTTTACAATCGTGAAACTGACACTTCAAAAAAATGTATAAAATACGAAATAACAAACTTACTTGCACTGGGTCCTTGGGAGCCAGCATACGAAGTCGATTGGTTGATCACCACTTTGTGTATCTTTCCAAATTTGCCAAAATACTCATGGCGTTTCAGCACTTCCGGGTCTGCCAATCTCATCGGCAGTCCTACCACGAACACCAAGTTACGTTGTACTACCCTAACGCTGGCCAGGTGTTTCCTGCTCTCCGTCAGCTTCGCTTTGCGCTGTTGGTCGCGCTGGCGTTTCTCGGCCTTCAGCTTAGCCATCTTTTAGAAAGATTACCGTATAATCAATAGAATTTACAAATAAATCTGATTTATTTTTAAATATATCATTTATGGCGTTCAAATTGCACATTTAAAATAATTTACTATATCTATTGTTAAAATATTTGCATTGTTCGAAGTTTTCTAATATTAAATCTTTAATATCATCATCTAAATCGCCTAAAATGTAGAGATGGGTTGCGACGAAATTTTCGTGTCGCTGCGACAAACAGCGACTGTTCCGAAAAAGTCGCAGTGACAAATCGCTGCGACTTTTCGAAGCGATATACTAGATCGCGACTTGTGACCTGCGTCACGTCCTCACATAAGAAATAGCTGCTAATTTTTTAAATCGTTGCATTTTCTTCGAAGCAGTTTTAATGACAGTAATTTTTTCATGTCTTTGGTAATCTACGCTCTTTTGTACAATATATTTTTTAAAAATATAATAATAAATTTAATTTTTATAAAATAAAATTTAAATATTGAAAAACGGTCGATTACTATTGCCGCCAAGATACAAGTCTCGTACGAAAATATGTTAATTTATCATGGTTTAAGACCCCCTTCAAAGGGCAGCTCAAAAAACATTTTTTAGAGGTCGCCCAAGTTTTTTTTTTTATATATACAAAATTATTGCTTTTGAAGTTTTCGAGCGACCTTTAAATCTTAATATTAAGAATTAATTTCAGTTTAATATATTGAGCTAAAAATTTAAGAATTTTTTTGTTTTTTAGGGCACAAAATTCTACCGTCATGAGCAAAAAAATTTGAAAAAACAATCCAATTTTGACTAATTTTGAAATTTTTAAAAATTTTGAGCCACGACCCCTAAAAAATTTTTTTGAGCTGCCTTTTGGAGGGGGTCTTAAAACATAATAAATTACCATATTTTCGCACGAGACTTAAAAACAATAGTCGTTTTTTTTGCGCCACCCTATTGTAGATGTCCTATTTGTTTTATACAAATTTCAGCGACTGCGATTAGAAGCATATAATAGTTTTCGTTCTGATCGCAGTTCCAGTTCACATCAGATAAATATGCGATGCGACATTTAATGAAAACGTGCCTAAATCAAACCCAGCTCCAAAAAGTCGCAGTGATTTTGAAAGAACCGGAGCGGTTCGCTCCAGCGACAGGAAAGTAGCGGCGACAAAATCGCTGACAGCGAAATCGCAACACATCTCTACTAAAATGACCATTTCTAATTCTTCTACATTATGTACTATTATAGACAACAACAAAGATGAACTATAATTTAGTATTTAAAATGAGGTTAGGAATATGTATAAGGACTCTTAATGTCAAAACTTCAGGTTTGCAATAAGTTTTATTTAAGCATGAAATGTATTTGCCTCTAATTAGGTTGGAACTATTAGTGGCCGATGTTATAGAAATTTGCAATCTCTCTATTAAAAATAGTGGCTTCCCTTAATTGTGGATGTATAATAACCATAAATAGTGGTGACCTTATGAGTTTTTGAGTGCACTCGCCTATATTCGTGTGTATCAGTTTGAAAGTTCAAAAATAGTCCTGCACTAAATATTATTTCGATTTTGGTTATTATGGTTATTTTATTTCTTCATCTGTCATGTCCTGCAAATTGAAATGAGGCTTTAATATTACATTATTTATTTATCCTAACAGGCCTAATGGCCTAGTTACAAGGATTATCTTTGTCCACTAGCACATTTGAATAGGTAAGACTCCCCACTCGACCATTCACTGTTGGGTTCTAATTAACGGTGCTGTTCATGAAATGGCGCTGGGAGTAACAAAGCCTACACAGAACACACATTAATAAGAATTCAAACACAAACTGGGACTGGCATATTAGGTTTATACACCTAGACCATAAATAAAAAAAAAAAAAAAAACTCAATTTCTTATCATTGAATTCTGCTAAAATACTAATTTCTAATTCCTCTTCCATATTATTTACTAATATATTTATAAGAAAAATCCAGTCAATTTTTTTTATAAAAAAAAAAAAAGTTAGAAATGTCATGTCAAAATTCAGATTAGCAATAGGTGCTATTTTACAGCCCACTTAATAATCCACTAATTACATCAGCACTATTAGTGCCTGTAGTTATGTGAACTTGCAATATCTCTAGTATAGAGTAAAAGGTTTAAATTTGTACCCTTAGTACTACAACTGTTTTTACTGTTTTAGGTTGTCTACAGCACTCTAAATTATTTGGGATTCATCCAATAATAATATTAAAGAATAATTATAGGATTAATGGCCAGTCTTTTCATGTCTGAGTAAAGTTGAAACTAACTACTTGCTGATTAAACTATAGGGCTATTGTGTGTTAATCTGTCCAGTAAACTTACACGTAACTTTACTCAGAGGTGAAAAGATCGGCCCTAAAGTAACTAAATATATAAGTAAAAGAAAAGAGTCAATGTAAATTTATGTTTCTGTTTAGAAGATGACACTGGTCAACAACATGAATTTTGAGTCTGTGTTGTAGATTTTTACTTCTTAATAAGTAAAAATTTTCAACATTCGAATTTTCAAACAAAATTTAAAAATTAATTTAAAATACACTGCTTTACTCTTTAATTATTAAAATAATAATTATAGCAAATTAATTTCGAAACATAGTTTCCTTTATACTTTCATTGTATTGATTATGCGATATAATATATATTGTTCACAAATACAGTGCGTACCAAGCAAACACGAAATTGTTAAACTTTTTTATTCTACTTAAAAAATGTCATTAAAATATATTAATATTAAAAAAATAAACTATTAAATGCAATGACTTGATAAAATAAATTTGTCGAAATTTCTACAAAAAGGAATTTGAAATAAACTTTGTTTTGTTAGATGACTATTTTATACAGGGTTCAAATGTGTGGAATAATAAGTGCGACTTTTGAAATATCAAAAATATTAAAAAATTATTTAAATAATAGCTATTTATGAAACCAGTTGTGAAATGCCTTATTTTATGTAACGAGTGAATATTTGCGGGACGAGCAGAGCGAGATCCCGCAACATGAACGAGTTACATAAAACAGCATTTCGTAATGTGTTATACAATATTTTTTCTAATTCTGATTAAAATTTGACTAAAATTGTGTTTCGGTCAAACAGTACTGTCATTTAGGCAACCAATATTACTTTCTTATATTGTTAGTTGCATATGCACCTTTTCATTGACAATTAGAACGTCATTATTAATTATTTATTCTCAACGACTTGCAGTGTGTTTATATTGTTTATTAAAGTTATTGTGTTTTAATTATTTTGTGCTGATTAGGACTGGAAAATAAGGACCAAAACAACATTATTACTAGGTTGTAAGTTTTTCCAAATTCTATTTTTATAAGTCAGCCTGTCCTTCTTTGATATACACTTTCAATAATAATGTATATTATTGATTTTCAAATCAAAAAGTTTATTTTTGTTTTCTTTTTTGCAACTGGTAACGTAATGCATTTTTCGAAACCAGTTTTATAATATTCAACATTATGCAACTGGTTGCGTAAAGTAGACCATTTTGAAACTTGCTGCGATTACAAAAAATGTCACTTTATATGTCAAAATTAGAAAAAAGTTATTTTATAGTTAATTTTAAATTTTATAGTGACAGCCAACTTGTACGCCCCTTTTCTACATTAGAATTTGAAAGTGGCTATTTTTTTTTATTACGCTGTATTAATATCAGTATTACATAAGAATATTTTTGAGCAAAAAGGACTAGAAATAAAAATCAAAAAACCTTTATTCAAAATTATCAAAATGTTTCACCAATACAATGGCCCAAAGGATGTTCGAATTGTTGTTTTAAATTTTGCAGTCAAAAGTCTTGAACATTTTGAATTTCATTAATTATTCTTTCTCTGAGAACCTGAAGATTGTCCGGTCTATTTTTGTATAACACTGACTTCAAATGACCCCATAAAAAATCCAGTGGTGTAGGTGTGGAGACCTACCAACCACTCTATTGACCCTCGTCTAACAATCCACTTGTTCAAAACTACCTGGGATAGGTATCTTCTTACAGGTATACCAAAATGTGTTGGAGCACACCGTCTTGCTGGAACCAAATTACTTCATTAGTTCCCACGGGGTACAATGTCCTTCCTCCTAGAACAATATCTCTCTGGAGAGGTTCACATACTGTTTTGTAGTTGGTCAGTGATTCCTGCCAGAAAATTGAACTTTTGGGGGTGCTGTTCTTTCCAATGCGGATTTTCGTCGGGCAAGTTGCGGCAATTGTGGGTTTACAGAACCGTTCAGCATGAATGTGGCCTCATTCGAAAATGAAATTTTTCTTGAACGTTCCATTAAAATATAAGAAAACTCGACCCTACCATCAAAATCTTTCTCACTTAATTCTTGCAACAACTGCATTATAAAGATGCATTCTCTTTTAAATAACCCTTGCACAGATGCATAACTGATATTGTAGTCTTGAGCAACTCCGGCAACAACCTATAGGTACTTCCTGGACTTGCAATAGCACATTCAGAGCAACATCTCTACGAGTTGGAAATTTTTCATACTTCCAGTTTGAGACTTTTTTTTATAATTTTGCTTACACATGTCAGAGGCTCACTTTAATCCAACCATCATTATAATTTCAATTTTCTTTTTCAGTACGCATCGTTTTTTAAAACGGTAGCTGATTATTTTACTGTTAGCAAACTATTATAGGTAACAACTGCACTGAATGTCGAATTAAAAATGAATTATAGGTAAACGAGGTGAAGCGTCATAAAAAACCTATAACAAAACACTTTTAAAGAAATTTAAACAATTTTAATGCTTAACGCTCGACAACCCATTATATACTGATATAATTTGTATATCGGTTCATTATTAATATACCATAGTAATCAGAAAAATAGCATCTTTCAAATTCTGATGTTAAAAAAGGCAGGTTACAATACAAAAAGTTAGTCTCCTTGGAGGGGGGGGGGGGGCTCTTTTTTGACAGTCACCATAAAATTTGAAATTAACTACAAAACAACTTTTGCTAAAATTATTTATTAATATTTTTAATATTTCAAATATTACACTCATTATTCCACACATTTGAGCTGATAAATACTGATTCTGGACAATATTTTCAAGTAATATTTTTTTTGTCATTCATATTTTTTAACCTCCCTCGTATACAGGATGTCTCATTACTGCATAAATACTCGATATTTCAATTTGTGATACAAACTTACAAACAAGTTTCAAATGGCCTGATAATACTGTATTCAACCTTTTTTTTTAGGTATTACAGGGTTGCCAGGCAATTATTTGTTTTGTGAAATTTGATAATGATAAAATTATAATAATAAATCATTCTTAAAAATGATTTCAAAATTACAGAATTATAAAGCTAACAAATAGTGACAATAATGATAGAAATGTTTCATTTTATACAGTTTTTGAAACCTCTTATAAATAAGGCTCATTTTATGTTCAAATGCTTCACCTTGTATATTATTTTAGTATTAATTCGTTATAAATTTACCTATCCAATGAGACCAACATATTAGCCTATCATACATATCAGTGCGTAATTGATTGATAGCCGTTTTATTATTGGAGATACGAAGAAATTTTGAATACAAAGTTGACGAACTATTTTAAAATTATTCTTAAAGGGTAGTCCATAAATGAGGGGCGAACCAAACTTACTTTTTTTAAACCAAACACCTTATTTTTTTTTTTTTTTAATTTACATTCTTTTTCTTTTCTATCAATATATCACAGTAAATATGACACTCTGTAGGTAGCTATGCATATTTTATAGCACCAATTAACTTTTTATTTTGTTTGGTATTCCCTATACCCAAATGCATTTTATTTTTCAAAACTTAAATGGTTTTATCATGAAAATTAACTATTTTTTGCACATTTTTCTAATTGACTTTTGAAAATATGAACTGCAGAAAATAAAAAAAGTTTGGTTCGATCCTAATTTATGGACTACCCTAAATATTTAAGAATAATTTGAAAATATGATCAACAAAAGTAGGTACAACTTTTGTATTTCTTCATATATCCAATAGTAAAACAGCTAATGATCACTGATACCCTGTATATGTATAATTTTATTAAAAATATGGTTATCCATATCTCAAATGTGATATATCCGTAAAGGATTTTTTCCTTTCCTTTACGGATGTATTTATAATTTTAATTTTATGAAGTTAATAATGGGTTTTAAGTTATACAACAACGTTTGTCATATATTTTCTGAGAAATCAACAATAAAATATTTTCTATATGGTGCAGGCTTTTGCGACTCATATGCTAAGTTCAGGACTGAGATGTATGGAATGATTCACCAGAAAATACGGAAACTACAGCAAAACTGTTAGTTAAACCAAAACTCAAAAAATTATTTTTATTTGTTGACCAGTGTAATGTAATCAGTCAGGGAACTTACACTAAAAATCTATTCCTACCTGTTCCTGAGATAGTGGAATAAAATCGGCTGGATCCTCAGAGTAAGCCTTACGGCACGCTGGACACAAACCATTTTCATCAGTACGAATTCGATGCCAACAAAACCGACAGATCTGTAAAAAGTTATCAAAATAGTATCATTCACTGGGATAGTTAAAGTTTGTTGTGAAATTACATTTCCACAATTTATTACTATATTTTTATTTCCATAAAATTTACAAAGAACGATGTCAACTTACAAACCTAAAAATTTATTATAATAATCAAAGGCGCAATAATAAAAGCTTTCCGTTAGGAAAACGATTTTATTTCTAATTTAGCCAGGTTGTTCATTTTAGATGTAAATGTATGCTTGTTTACAAAAACTACCGATGAAAAATGGATACAGTAATGAGTAATGGTAGAATGCAACCCCAGATTACAACAGAAGATGCGTTATAAAATAAAAATATCGTTGACATTTGAAGAAAATTATACCACACCAAATAATTGATTGAAAATATGTGAAGCAGTACAATTTTGAACAATTAAATGATACATGTTCCCTTAGATATCGAATGATCCCACAGATTGGGGATAATTTGGGTGTCATACTGATGATATATGTCACCTCAAGCCAATCAATATTTATCCCCAAAAAGGTACAGGATTCGATGTATCTTCTGATTTGGTGTATCAATTGAATGTCAAAAAAATAATTTTAGTACAGTTGTTACTATCAAATAATTGATATTTTTCATCTCTAAAGTAATTAAATGAGGACCTAACAGCAATGTATTTAATTCTAATAAATTATTAACAATGAATATCCATGAGAAAAATTATTCCATGTTGTCATTTTTGAAAACTTAGTTACATAAAATAAGAAAACATTCAAACAATATTTTATGAATAGAACACTTTCTGTAAAACTCTTCCACAGCTGAATGGTCAAAATAAAAAATCTTGAAATATAAACAACTTCTGTATTTGGCAAATACCATCATTTGGTTAAAAATAAAACATAACCAAGCATGCTAAATCAAAATACTTTCTCTTGGAATTACAACACATCTCTTGTTTATTTTTGCAACATCCACCTACACTACACTTGTGCCAAAAAAGTGTATTATGACAACAAATTATTTAAATTACATCTACATATAGAAACAGAATTATAAATATATTTGAATAAATTGCTGTTTATAAACAAAATAATTTCTATTACTTTACAAAAAAATCAATTTGTTTTATTTATTATATAAATAACATCAAAATAGCCCAATTTAGTTCTAGTTTTAGATTATTTTTATAACCATTGTTCTGATTCCTACAATTTACGTCAAAAGTTAGATTAGAATAAACAGGTACATAAACAATAAACGTAATTACATCATTATCTGTAATCCTCGGAACTAGTATATAGCATATGGACAATTTTTTCAACATATCTGATAAGGTGTAAAACTCTACAGCAAATTCCAATGATAATAAAATTATCAAAAGACAAAAAAAAAGCAGTTTCAATGGAAATGAATATTGTTATAAATTGAAACAGTATGCCTTTCTAGTTAATGTAGGTATATATTGGAAAATTGTTTGATCATTTTCAAAATATGTAATTTAATTTATTTGATTATGCTTAAATAAATATTTTAACTTTTAGCTGTGTAATAAAATGACAAACATTAGAGATGCATTGAATGAGATTCTAAAATGATGCATATGAAACCACTCCAAATGGACCATAACATCAAACTTACCTGCTTACACAGTTAACAAGTTGGCATTCTCATTTATTATTAATTTGACATTAAAAAAATATATATAAAAAATACTATGCAATACATTATCAATTGCTGCCTTAGGTAAAAAAATTGTAATTCCCAAAAGATAAAACTACAAAAAAAAAATCAGAACAATAGCAAATATTTGTGTAATATCCTAATCTTAATTAAAATCCCAATATTTAAATGTTTAATAATTATTTTTATTCTTACCACTTTAGATTGAAATTTCCAATCAATTTTCAGTAGAGATTCAGATAAATTAAATTTTACTTGTAGCTAAATATTTTTTATTATTTTTAATTTTGTTTGCCTTTAATGTTTGTCTTTTAGACTTGCTTTGTGCTCCTGAAGAAGTTGGCTCCACTTCAGAAGATATAATAGAACAAAGTATGGGACAAATATTATCTTCTGATAATGATAGTTCTACTGACAGTGACTAATTTTGGTAACCAACTATATTTTTCATGTAAACAACTTTTGTTAATAGTGTTATTCGTCCTTAAATAAAATCATAAACGCCAAAAAATGTTTGTTTTTTGTCCTTAATTAATTAATGAATTTTGGCCAGGTTTTATAAAATCTAGCCCATTATGCGCTGGAGGTGTTTTTAGATTTACAGAGTGCATTTGAGACTATTAATAGGGGTAGATTATTAATGAAATTAAGAGCTATTGGTTTGAGGATTGAGCACTGGACTGGTTGGGACATTATATAGAAAATAGGAAACAGAAGGTTAAGTAATTGTGTTTCAGATACTATAGAGAATAATAAACACTGAAACTTGCTTTAAAGAAATTAATAGTTCTCTAAGTAAAACAATTATTGTAACGGAAACTCATTGAAAATAAATTACGAAAAGATAAAATGGATATTAATTGGAGGTACTGTAAATTTTAGAAAAGTCAATGTAGCATTGCAGTGTTTCTGTTGATGTAGTAAAGTTTCAGAGAGTTGAAAAAATTAAATATCTAGGTGTTATGATTGATACAAATTTACAATTTAAGGAACATTAAATCAGGAATTTCCCCAATATATTTACAAAATATTTTAAATAATCAGGAACACAAAAGACGAAATAAGTAACATTTTAGAATTTATAGGGCCATGAAAAAATGTACACAAAATTCAGTTTTTTTAAAGGTGTACAGGCTTTTAATAATTTGCCTAAAGATATTAAATGCTATTCAAACCCAGTATTATATTAATTGATAACTGCCTGAGTACTTGCTAACTATTTGACGTTTTTTTTCCTTTCCTTTTATCATGTTTTGTAAAGTTGACATTGTTATCATTTTAGATGTATGTTGACTGTAAACTTATGTATTTTTTGTTTTATTTTAAATGTGAAGATATGTATTGACAAAAAAATTGTTTTTTTGACTAAATAAACGTTTTATATCTTTTTTTATTCTACTTACAATTTTTTTTACAATATCCAAATAACAGATCATTTAAATTTTATATAAATCTATTATTTTCATGCTTATGGTAAAACATTTTAACATATATATGTTATCTTAACAAATTTCATAACTTTTAAATATCCTTTTTTGCCTTACTTCATTTCTAATTACTTTTTTAAAAGATTAGTCCATTTAGATATCACTAATCTTACAAACTTATTAGTTTATTAATTAAAAACAGGCAACTGTTAAAGAATTAATACTGAAAAAGTAAAAAGAACATTTTCATTCCATGAATTTTAAGGTCAATGTTCTAGAAATCAATAATCTTCAAAGTGTTGCTTTCAAGGAATATTTTAATGAAATATTATTTTAATACATCCTTACTTTTATTATGAACACTGTAAACAGTTAGGTATAATAATTCATTATAAAAAATGTTTAGTTTATATATTTAATACAATTTGAGCTTTAATGCATGTGTTAAATTATAAACACATTTATTTATAAAAATAAATCAAACTAAAAACTCTTATACATTAAATTATTAAAAATATGTTAATTGATGTGATAAATAAAATAAACCTTGATACCTAAACATGCACTTGTTTTGATTTTTATTATTTATTTTGTCAACACAGAAATAACATCTTAATAATTTAAATAGAATATAATATTTACCTGATAACCACAGGTACAAGGAAAGAATGTAAGATCATCAACCTCAAGTGGTTCCATGCATAATGGACATTCGACCTGCTCCTCTCCACTTTGATTTAATACTGACATCTTTGTAAGTTCAGCAGTGATCACTTTTGCAGAAGATAAACACTTCTTTTGAATGCTTTGCCTGAAAAACTCCATAATTAGAACACTGTACTACTTAACAAATCTCAACATAACATGACTGTAATGGTAAACCATCAAACTTCCTGGAATTTTCTTTGTTACAATGAACTACCTCAAATTAATTAATTAAAATTAGAAGAAATAACGTAGATAATTATAGTTAATGGCAAGTTATACGTACTTGTTCGACTTAAAACAAGTAAAGTTAACTGTTTTTGGTTCTGTTTAATGCTAGAAGATAAATGTCAAAAAATTGGAACATCTGTCAAATCTTGCCATGTAGCAATTTTACTGTAGACTTACTCAAAAACGTTGAATTTTTTAATTCGCCAATTATAGAATAACATTGTCTAATTTTGAATTCAGTAAATATCAATATTTCTTAAACTAAATACTCCTTTTGCACAAAAATTTTTTACTAACTACTATTGTGTGAATTTTATGCAACAACTTGAAAAATATTAAAGTGTTTTTCAAGTAAAAGAACACTAACACGTAACAATCATATGTATTTACTTACAAATAAGTCAATGCAGAAACGAAATAAGCGAAAAAAATTGTAAAAAAACTAAGGTAATACGTGGATAATCCTATATTTACTTACTTAAATTTCTGAATTAGACAGTTACCAATATGGCGACTTTGATCTTAAATCTTTGCGCAAAATCCGGCGCAGAATAATCTTCTTGGTCAAGGCACGTTCACAACACTAAAATAAGTTACCGCTTAAATGTTTATCAATTTAAAAATAGAATCCACAATAAACTTCTACAGATACTAATAATTCATCTAAACAAACTTCTACGTATTTTTTATAAACCACAATCTTACCTATGGATGCAATGAAACGTGATTTGTTTTCAAAATATTTATAGACGTTGTCATTTTAAATTTTGTTCAAATACTTCTTTATATCACTAATTTCATTTTTTACCTGTGTCATCTTTTAAATCTCTAAAATGAGAAAATCATTTAAAAAAAGATTAATAGATCCAATGTATTCAATAAAAACGGGACAATTTAGAATAAAAAAAAAAACTTGAATGCGGCATGAGTCTTTTCCCTTTTTCTCACTTGTGTAATATAGTTAACTATCTTTGTTTATTAGACACTTTCGAATATCATTTGCGGTTATGATGTGTGAAGAGAACTTTCACGAGTCTTTCCACTGATTGGTTCGTGCTCTTATTGGTACCTGACGCCTAATGTCATGATTCATTTATGACGTCAAATTCTCAACTGAAATTTTTTTAGTGATTTTCAATGACGTCAAAGAATATATTTTCCGTGTTTTATTTCAAAAACGACAAACACGTCATTCATTTGAAGGTAGACATTTTAAAATGATACCAATATAAAAAATAAAAAACATTTTATACAAAAAATCTTTTAATAAAAAAAATATTACACCTTTGGACCTACTAAACCAAAAACAAGCCTTCCCTAAATTCATTTAAATAAAATATTTTTATAAGAAACCTACGGAGTATTTAATAAGCAAACGTCAACTGGACAGCTAGGAAACTTTTCTAAAAAGCGTTAAATCTTTTGTAATTCATTTTGCCAAAAAACAAATTAATTTCTTAATAAAAAAAAAATCTTTATTTTCATTGATACAAAAAGCTTTAAATATAATCCAAATATAAACTACAGTAAAATTATTGGATATATACGTGTTCAAGCCTCTTAATTTTTATGGACATGTCAGTTTTTCGTTTGCCAGATCCACGTATTTGGCATATTGGCACAATTATTTGGTCATTGTGCGTTTAAAGAAATAGGCAAAGACAATGTTGTACATCTACAACAAAAATTGCTCAAAAATATTTTTTTCTTTAAAATGAACTTTTTTTTCATCTGAAAGAGAAAATTTCGAGATCGTTTAAATTTTGCTTGCTGTATAATTTTTGAAAGTCTTCTTTATACAAAGTCTTTTTAAAAAATGCTTTGTACATACGCAGTCCCTACTATTTCATAGGGACAAAGACAGTATTGCTATTTCTTAAACTGTAACAGATAGACAGTTGGTTAAATTAGACAAAAGTTGTGCAGTTTGATCTCATTAAAATGATGCCAAGAAACCTCTAATATCTATAGGGAGATTCAAAATATCGGACTAAAAATGAAAATTATCATTTTTTTTTAAATTTATTAATTTTTTGTCTGATAGTTTGAATCTCCCTGTAAATATCAAAGGTTTCTTGGAACTATTTTAATGAGCAGAAAACTATGCAACTTTCGCCTAATTTAACCAACTTTCTATCCGTTACAGTTTAAGAAATAGCAACACTGTCCCTATGAAATAGTAGGGACCCTGCATACTAAAGAGGTACATAGTAATTCTTAATTTTTATTAAAACCACTATGTTATAGATGATATATTGTTCTAGTTTTTACTGAAGCCAATACGTTTAGGAATCATAATTTAAAGAAATCCAGTAGAAGGTATAAGACATCATCCTACATATTGTTGCCTATAATGCATCCTTGGATATAACTCTCCAGTATTTCAATTCCGAGGATGATGAACAGTGACCTTTTGGCATGACAACTTTGTGAATTTTCTATATATAGAAAAATATCATAATTTTCTTTAGAAAAAATCCTAGACGTCAAGAATCGACTCCCAGAATTTTTCTTCGACAAGGTTAAAATATTCAAAGTATTTTCATAAGTAAAAACATATTCACATTTTATTACTAGTTCATATTAGAAACTCAATTAATGATAGTTGTATCATATATGTTCTCTCTAAGTTTGATGAATACCTTAACAAAGCATGCACCTAAAGTTTTGTAATTTTAATAACTAAAATTGTTAGTATTATGCAGTTTTAGTTTTTTGCTTAGATTTTATAAGACCTGATGCAATTTTTGGTTCATACTTACTATGTATTTATTTAATGTTTTTTACTGTATAAACAGTTATACAGTGTGGTTCATGTAGTATCATTCATTACTGGAAACTTCTACTTTTTCATTTCATCAATTTTATTAGTTTTCTCTACTGAAGTGCAAACCTGCAGTGAATTAATTGAATCAAAATTTTATGATTTAGTTAATATATTATATCAACTATGATGTAAGGAATTCATTATTGCTCTGTATCCCATTACTTATCGACCACTCTATATATTTTTTAGACATTTAATTTTAAATAAAACTCAGATATTTATCTAGATCCCGATATTTTCTCCTAAAAATCACACTCTATAATATGCCTTAAATATATATTATATATAAAACAAAATAATTTTTGGGCAGATCTAGTAGTTAAGTACACAAAAATATAACACCAAAAAGTGTAACAACATTCATTAGTTACTCATAATATAAAAATTCGAAAAAAAAAATGTATTGTTCTGAAAACAGCAAAGTCTGAAGTCAAAACATGTTGGCCATTGAAAATATTTTCATTCAAATGGATGATGTGTAATGGTTATTTATAATTAAAATATGAAAAAGGGCAGAACAAGCGTGTTCATAGTCTAAGCTTATACTCAAAATACTAAAAAAAAAAAAATTAATTTAGCTTTATTTAAAAATATTTGATTTTAAGAATAGTGAATAACTGAAAACAAGGAGTAATTTTATTAATAAATATCTTTTTGGCATCTATCAAATTGATAAACAGAAATAAAAGTCTAATAATGGCCTTCTCATTTCTCTGTTTATTACTATGATTTTCAAAGACCGTCATAATGTATCAATTTTCACCCCTTTTTTTGGTCTATTAGCCACGTATTAACTTGAACATTATCATATTTGTTTTTAATGCTTTTTCTATTTTTTTATCACAGCAAGAATGCCTCTAATTACATGGAATTTAACTTCTTTCCAATTGTCCAATTGTGATATCCCTAATATATTTGAAATATTAGTGTATTATGTGTATGTTAATACATTCAGTAATATATTTTAAATTAACACATTTTATTTGAAATTTGATAGCACCCAAAGGCAAAAATATGTTTACAACTGCCTTGTTTTAACTTGAGATTTGTAAATCTGCTTTAAATAACAGAGTGTGTAAGAATAATGGAATAAAAAATCAATTTCTAAATTGACAAATTAATTACACTTATTCTCTCACACTCTGATATACTCAGTACTCAGTCAAAATTATTGAAACTTTACAAAAAATAATTCTAAAAAAAACTTAACTCAGTCACTAGACAATAAATTAAAAAACTAACATTGCTCAACTAAAGACATTGATAGAAAAAAATGTATGTAATTTAAGCCAATAGAAGTTGCCGAATTTCCGTGTTCTCAGTTGAATCCAAGTAAGTTTTACCATCTGGGGCAACTCCATCTTTCTTTGCTCCCTTTTCTAGTAACAACTTGACGCATTCTTTGTGTCCTTCCCATATTGCAGCTAAGATTGCTGTTATGCCAAACTTGTCTTTTGTCTGAAAAAAAGAGAACACATATTTGGAAGAATTAAGCACAATCCTATCAGAATTTTTTAATATTCATTTTATATTATCTAATTTTCTTAATTGGTACCAAGGGTAACTGATTAAACAATATTGTGACATGAATACCATTACCTGCATATATTATTCCAACTGTAATCATTAAATTTATAAACCAGTATTTTTGCAAGGATTGTTAAAAATTATAAAGTAATTCAATTATGTACATTAATAATATTCCAGTATTAGGTTCATATGCAACCACCAATTCCTCAGTAAAATTGCCCCATAATTATACCTCATGTGATGTAAGTAAATTCATATTTATAAAATACTCACATTTACATCAGCTCCAGCTGATATAAGATATTCTATAACGTCTGTTTGACCATAATCTGCGGCATACAAAATAAGGGGACGTCCCTGGACTTCTTCATTAACGTTAACAGCCTAAAAATCTCAATTAGTCATTGTGTCTTATCTCAAAAAAATTCAATCAAATTCAAATTAAATTAACTTGCCTTTTTTTCAATAATGTCCTTTACTTGTTCTAGATCTCCATTCTTTATAGCCCATACGAAATCACTGCTCATTTTCAGCACCTTTTAATCACTTTTTCAATAAAGACCTTTTTGTTGAAAGGATTAAATTAAATTGACAGTTGACACCACAGTTGACAATGCGACGAGATGACAGTTAGATGATCAGATTATCAGGTTAGCCAACAAAAAATTTAATTATGAATTCCATTTGACAATGTTGACAGTTGACATCAAGTATCTCTAAAAGTTGCCTGATTAATTAATGCGGCTTCACAGATTTATCGACTTTTCCAACGCTCTTTGTTATTTTCAATATTTAAATCAAAGTTGTATCTGTTCTTGATATAGCTCGCCGTAAATCATTCCTCGATAGTGAAAAGTGATCCAGTCTGTATATCCTTCCGTTTCGTCGAAAAGTTTCACCTTTCATCCCACGGCTTCACCTTTAACTAAAATGAAACCAATCACACAAATTCCGCGATTTGCGTTTAAGTAATGTGAAGCCGCTATTATCAATATCAAACATTCAATTTAACCTAAAATAATTTTAGGTTCGTTTGTGGTTTGTTTTTAATTTTAACCAAACTGAAACTACATACTACATCTTTTAATTACTTTAAATAGAATATAAACACTGAGCAATGGCATCAGGACTTGATTCATTTGTGAACCGTATCCTTTTATTTAACAACAATTGTAGTATATTGCTTCTGTACTAATTAATATTTTCTTTAACTTTTATTTAGATACCGTTTCTATAATAACAGCCGATGGAAGAAATTTTATAGTAAGTACTTTCAAAAAAATGAAAATTTTAATGCCTAAATATTACCTTTTTGTACTAGGGAACGCTTAAAGGATTTGATCAAACCATCAATGTAATTTTAGATGAATCTCATGAAAGAGTGTATTCTACAACAACAGGCGTAGAACAAGTAATGTTAGGATTACATATAATACGAGGAGATAATATGTAAGTTAATCAAAAAGAGTTAATAAAGCAGTTAAATATTTATTTCTTTTAGAGCACTAGTCGGATTAATAGATGAAGAAATAGATAATAGACTGAATTTAGCAAACATAAAAGCAGAACCTTTAAACCCTGTTGTACATTAACAAATAAATTAATTTATAAGGGCATTTCTTTAATTTTCTTGCAATACCTAAATTAAATACAAGATGTATGTGGATCCTGAAAAAAAAAATGAATGATATTTGAAAAACAAAAGTTGTAACACTTTGTATTGAATAGTATTATTGGATAATCTTTCAAAATTACCGACTTAATTAATTTCGTGAGAAATGAGATGTAATGATTTTATTCAACGTTTTGAAGTTTCCGCGGCGCATCTCAAATTTATTTGTTTGGCCATTTTTGCGCGTTTAGTTGAATAAGCTAGCAGAGTTCGGTAATTCGAGCCCCTGTAATTCCCTTCAATAATTACTGGTAATGGGCAAAACGAAAACATTTTTATTTAAAAGGTGTACAAATGCCGCGTTTGAGAATCCACATCGGATGCATCTGAGATGTTGTGAATTTTTTATCACGTGATAGAGAATTAGATCTGAATGTAGATCTTAGATAAAAGAGACCAGAGATATAACATACACCGGTGTTTAACCTGCGCAAATGTTGCCAATTTCTAAAGAAAGGTTAACGGAGTGGGGGAACTGGGCAGGGACTCGAACTCTGTGACAGGGACCGGACTTTGTTTATTAGCATCATAATGAACTATTAGATTTATTTAAAATATACGTTTAATGGGATTTTGTATTATGAAATAAATTTAACGTGATTTTTTAATATCAAACAGATGCCACGACATTTTATGTAAAGAGAAGACCTTCAATAGAATATTTCGTTAGCTATTATTTACTATGGACTTTTCTGTAAGAGACTACAGTAAAATGTTGAAATAGAATATTGTTAATCGAGTAAGAAATGGTACTCATTGTCTAAGAGTATTATAAAAAAGCATGTGCGCAGGCGAATACTGCAAATCAAACCTTGTGAGTTGAACATTATATTTTTTTCTACGACTATCACATAATATTAAAATTTAGTCAAAATGAGAAAATGCTGTTTTGTATTATAACCTCAGAAAAAGATATATTAAAGCTTGTTTCTTTAGGAATATTAATTAATATAGAGGATGCGTCACATAAAACTCTAGAAATGTATATGTCTGAAACCAGAAAACATTTTAAAATTTAAACCTATTAAAAGTCATTTGGTCGCTAGGAGTGGGTGATTATCGAAATAAATAATTGATCATTAATAATAATCGATTATTTTCGATCAATCGTTTATTTTCAAACAATCTATTTTTATTCGTATTTCCTTTAAAATTGACTACTTGATTATCTTTAAAAAATAAAAAAAAATAGATTAATTAAAAAGCCAATTAATCGATAAATCAGTGTTTACAAAAAATAATAAACGAATTATCGTTTATTTTAAATAATCGATTATTTTTAATTTCTATTTTTTTTTCGTATTTCTATCGATAATCTTTGAAAAATCTAAAATAATCGATTAATCAAAAATAATCGATTAATTAAAAAGTCGAATAATCGATAAATCGATTTTTCAAAAAAAAAAAAAAAAAAAATATTTCCTTTAAAATCAATTATTCGATCATTTTTGAAACATCGAAAATAATCGATTAACGGAAAATAACAATTAATTAAGAAGATTCTACGATAAATCGATTTTCCAAAAAAAAAAAAAAAAAAAAAAAAAAACTGAATAATTAATGATTATTTACAAATAATCCTTTTCTTTTTTATATTCCTTTTAAAACTGATTATTTAATTTTCTTTGAAAAATCGAAAATAATTGATTAATAAAAAGCTGATTTACCGATAAATCAATAATTCTAAAAAATAACCGAAATATCGATTATATAATATAACCGATTATATTCGATCAATCAATTATTTTTATATAATCTATTTTTTGTATTTTAAAACAAATTATTTGAATACCTTTGAAAAATCTAAAATAATCGATTAATCGAAAATAATCGATTAATCGAAAATAATCGATTAATTTAAAAAGTCTATTAAACAAATCGATTTTTCTAAAAAATCGATTATTTTCAATAAATCGAATATTTTGAATAATTCTACTCTCTTTTTGTAATTCCTTTATAATCGATTATTCCATTACCTAAAAAAACGAAAAAAATTTATTAAAAATGTTCGATTAATCAAAAATAATCTATTAAAGATAATCGATTAATTATAACGGATAAATCGATTTTCATGAAAACGATAAATCGATTATTTTTGTAACCCCCATCGGTCGCATGCTTTTATCAGAGCATTTAGCTCCAAAATTTAGAGATTCGGATTTATTGATCCTGTTATCTTTGAAACCGCATTTGATTGTATAATAAATATTGCTAGAATTTAGATTTTTTTAGTAAACGAAGATATTTTTCGAGTTGTTTAGGGGTTTATAATGTAACATTTTACTAATAATATGACTAATTTCCGTAACTTTAGTATTTTTTGCTTATACTAGATCATATTGCGCGTTTTACTTTGTTTTAAGATTCAAATGTCACTTCTGATTTAACCGCAAATAAAATAAACCTTGAAATTTTAAGTAGGTGAATCTGTATTTCATCTAATATTCTTGTAAAAATATCTAATAAAGGGCTAAAAACCACTTTTAGTAAATATTCTTATAAAACTACTTTTTAAAAACAAAATTTCGTTAGTAACAATGCCTATTTACTTCTTATTTAGATTAAATATTTATTGAAACCCCTTAATGCGGATCTGAAGTATTCAGCTCAAAGAATCATGGCGACTTTATGTCAAAACGTCAACAAATATTTACCGCTGAAAACGAATATATTTCTTATTTTTCATAACATTGACACATATTATTTGTATATACAATTTTTCACCATACATCGTGGCATTTTCAACTTGAAATTGAATAACTAAAACACTTTAAATTGCTAATAACACCAACAAATAATTCAAAAACGGCGGTCCATAAATGATTTACTCACGCGGAGACAAGCAAAGAATAGAAATTTCGGAGCAATTCGGGTGGCGTCGTGAACACAATGATTTTTAATTGGTGGGTTACTTAGGTTTGGAATAGACAACATGCGCAATGTGCAATGTTATAGAGAAAGTAAAAGTTGAAAAGTCTTTTGGTAGGTAGAGAGGGGGTAAACGTCAAACCACGTCGGGCGGCTCCGAGAATTTCACAGTAATGTTTACCTGCCAGTGTCGTTTCATAGAATAAGTAATTTTAAATTGTTATCGGCGGAACCGGACAATCGCATGTATTTATGGATTATAAATAATTATTAAACATGTATTATAATATTCAAATTATAATTTTACAAAATTTCAACAGCTATTCACAATTTATTAAACTATTTACTCGAAATTGTTATTAACATCTATAAAATAATTTTGTACGCCAATGTATCGCGTCCACTTCGGTGAGATCCCCTGACAACCTGTCAATTTATGTGTATAAAGTGGGAGAACTGGCAAAAGCATTTCCAACTTTTACTTCTGTTCGTTCTAAATGTTACATCTCCGGTCTATTTTATTAAGATGTAGATGTAATAAACAAACGCTCTAGACTTTATTTGGTCACGTGATAAAATGTCAATGACAAGTTAGAAGTTTATACTTATTAAATTTGACTTTTGAGACTACAAATCAACCTAAATTTGAAATATAAACAAAAATTAAACAAACTAATCACTTTTATATTCATGCTAGCATAAACAAAGGATAAATAGACAAACAAGGCTTCACAGAACACTTAATTTCTGGCATGGAACGAACATCTCATTCACATCTCATTTCAAAACGAGATGTAAAAAATGTAATCTGAACAGGTACATCTGGGATAAAAAAACGCAGATGTAGATGTGTCCGATGTGGATAAAAAAACGCTCGAGATGTAAAAAATGCATCCGATGTGGATTCTTAAACGCGGCAAAAATGTACCGTTGCGTTTCCGAACTCCTCGGATAAACTTGTTTTTTCTGAGCCGAACTTAAGCTTAATTTATAACCGCCGTAACGTAACTTAAGAAAAACGTTAAGAAGTTGAAATAGTGAATTTACTTATTTATAAGGTTTGTTCCAACATCGGCTTTCTGATGTGTCTCTGACTCGTGCATGGATGCATTCGTATTTATGAGATATTGGGTGCTATGATTGAACGTTTACGTTATCCGTAACGTACATGTTAGGCCGAGTTTTAACAGTAATGAGGCAAGTTCGTATGATGGAAAACTTTGTCCAACACGTTACTGTTATTTTCCGCCTTTTATCTTCTAATTTAACAGTGTTCCATCATCCGAACTTGCCTCGTTACTTTTAAAATTCGGCATAACATGTACGTTACGGATAACGTAAACGTTCAATCATAGCACCCAATGGGTCCTATGATTGAACGTTTACGTTATCCGTAACGTACATGTTAGGCCGAGTTTTAACAGCAAAGAGACAAATTCGTATGATGGAAAACTTTTTTCAACACGTTACTGTTATTTTCCGCCTGTTATCTTCTAATTTCAGTTTTCCATCATCCGAACTTGCCTCGTTACTTTTAAAATTCGGCATAACATGTACGTTACGGATAACGTAAACGTTCAATCATAGGACCCAATGGGTGCTATGATTGAACGTTTACGTTATCCGTAACGTACATGTTAGGCCGAGTTTTAACAGAAATGAGGCAAATTCGTATGATGAAAAATTTTTTCCAACACATTACTGTTATTTTCCGCTTATTATGTTCTAATTTAACAGTTTTCCATCAAACGAACTTGCCTCGTTACTGTCAAAACTCGGCCTAACATGTACGTTACGGATAACGTAAACGTTCAATCATAGGACCCATTATTAAGTTACACGTCTCTGTTGTCTCTGACATAGTTCTTCTTTTCTTTCACTACGCATATCAGTCCGTTTAATTCGTCCGTTGTTTAATCAGCGACTTGTCCTTGTTGGAACGCAAAATGCAATGGAATTTGACAAACCAAACATATGTTTGGTCAATTGGTATTTTAAAATTATTTAAAATACAACAACATACATTTATTTAGCTGTCTCGAACGCTCTATGTGAATGTATAATTTTAAAACATTAAGGACCGATTCCACCGTTGTGTTAAACGAAGTTTAAAATGACATTTTTACATTAACGATGTCACTTTAATCTCCTTTTAACACAACGGTGGAATCGGCTCTAAGATTGTTTATTTTTATTAAAAATAAGTACGCATTTTACAAAAAAAATCCGCACACAAGATAAGAACAAAAATTATTCATTTCAATTAAAAGCAATAGAAACCCAAGCCACTCCAATGCTGCGTTTGAGAATCCACATCGGATGCATCTGAGATGTAAAAAATCTTTGATCACGTGATGCAGTATACGTAAATGTAATGGGACAGATGTGTCCGATGTGGATAAAAAAACGCTCGAGATGTAAAAAATGCATCCGATGTGGATTCTCAAACGCAGCACAAGCTAACTTAAAATCCCAACAATTACAAAAAAATATCACGAACGAGAAGAGACGTTCAAATGCGCATGTGCTGATAAATTGTACAAGCGATGAAGCTCTGATCGTTTTGACAATCCGCCGACTCATTCATGTACGAATCAGAAAATACGTTGGAACGTTTTACTGACAGTTCATCGGATCATCCGTGGCTCTGTAGAAACGGACTATTTTCATTGCGCATGCGTCTGACGTCCTTCTGATGATCAGATTCGCTGTTGGAACAAACCTATAATGTTCGTAACGTAACTTAAGAACTTAACGTACCGTAGAAAGTTCACCAACAACTTAACTTAAGAGCTTACGGTTAGCCAATGAGATAATTCTGAGTTCAGCATGTGATAACTGTCGATTATTCTCTTTTTATTTTTTTATAAATGAATAGACAAATACCATTTGTAAACTATCATTCTCCTTTTTGATGGACATACATATTATCATGAATGATTTGTGTTTATGTTATTGGGGATAAACTATTTATGAGATATTATTAAGTTACAGGTTAAGTTTCTACGGCGTTAAGTTACGTTACGGTGGTTATAAATTATACTTTAGATAGGTACTTTTTTTAAATGTTAGTGCTCCTGTATGTCAATTGACATATACAGTGTTGTCACCACCTAAATGCCTTGACCTAAATTCAGAGTTTATAATAATTTGCAAATTCGTTAAAATAAAACAAAGTGAATGTGAAATAGGATATTTAAAAATATTGGTTTAATTAATTAAAGATGATTTTCAAATTATCTTTTAAACTAGTACACAAAAACGATCTGACAACACTGTGCCAGTGTTGCCAGTTTGTTACAATTGTAACAAATCTATTACATTTATGAAGGGTTTATTACATTATTACATGTTCAATAAATCTATTACATTTTCACGAGCCTCGAACAATTGATGAACTTGAACCTAACATGAACCTAACCATTGTGTCTTTATTTTATGTTCCTAATATATTGTTTATTATTTTATACAACTAATCCCATCCCAAACATGTTTCTTTGATTAGGTTTATCCCAAACATATTTTCTTGAGCATGCCCGAAGCGCTTAAAAAGTTTCTTATATCATTGGACCTTGCATTGGAGGCCGAATTTATTTTTCCTTCATTTTCTTAATAAAAGGTTTGTTTCAACCCCAGTATAGAACCGTTCTTAATTTATCTGCGTATGAGTAGTACGAAGAGTAGAACAGTTAAATCGTACTATATGTACTACTCATGCGCAGATAAATTCAGAACGAGTCTGCTGTTGCAACAAAACTAAAATTATAAGAATGTGGAACAAAAATATCCTCGTGCTGCATTATGACAATAATTAAAAGACTGTCGTTGTTCTTATCAATACATAGGTTATTAAAAACATAAAACATTAATTATCAATATCAATAAATCGAATCTATTTTTTATGTATAGTTCATTTTAGGTTGACTATAATTTCTATTACATTTTCTTGAAATTCATTACAATTTTGAGAGTTCATCTATTACATTCCTTCAAAGCGCTCTGGCAACACTGCACTGTGCACTGTTTTGGTTTTGTGTTGTTGAAAGAAGCGTCGTCGGGGTTTGCAAGGTTAACCTAACGCTTTGGAAATACAAAAAATATAAATATAATTAATTTGTATTCCATTTTACTTAAATATTTGGAATACGTTCAGTAAATTATATTTGATAACTACAAAATAGACCACCGGTGATCAAAAAGTTGGATTAAAAAAAGCCGGTTAAATATTTTTTATTAAAAGTTCATTATGGATATGGACATGGATGAAGATGATCCTATGGAAATCGATGACTCAATTCCTGCAGCTCGAATTATAGAACGAAAATCTGATGAATATACACCAAGTGCTGAACCTATTGATTCAGCACAAAAATCCTCAGCAGGGGTTATAGACCCTTTGAGCGATAACAAAAAGCAAAAAACAGAAGGTGCTGATATAGTAGTTTTAGATGATGACGATGAGGAACCAAGGAAAGGTAAATGACGTGTTTTAACATACCCTATTATTATTATTGAACAGCAGTAATTGTAACCACAACTGGCCACATAAGCTTGCTAGCTGGGGTGTGAGGCTCTATAATAAGCTGCCAACTACCCTAAAAACGTTAGGAGTAGAATATTTGATCATTGTCTAGTTTGAGCTCTTTTCCCTTATGAAAAAACTATGCATACTTAATTGGTAGATATCACTATTATAAACAAAAATCTTGTGTAAATTAACAATGACAGAGTTCATTTTAATAATAAAAATATATCAAAAATACAGAACAATTCATTAATAATTTTACTTGCCTTAACAATATAACTATGGACATTGTTTTACACACCCAATTCCTTTCCCATAAAATTAATATTATTAATTGGAAAAAATAGCATATTTTTATTTAAAAAGTTTGTGTCATTATTAATTTGCACAAGATATAGAACTTGTGTTTTTTGTTTACAATTGCTAGACCTATAAGTGTGTATACTTAGTATTTCCATAATCGAGAAAAGCTCAAACTAGACATTTACCTAATATTTCAAAAGAAATCTAAAGCTGATCTACATTAGCTTCTATAGTGAATAAAAAAATAGTCCATTTACATTTTTAACAAATTTAGTATTCATATTTTTTGTATCTCTATAGTACCTATTTTATCTTTATCTTCTTAAACCTTAATTGTTAGCATTTTTATTTCTTTTATTATTTATATTAGAGTGAATAAAACTTGTCCATGCAATAAAGGTGTTGCATATGCATTTGTTATAAAGTTAGTGAATTTTAATCAATTTCTTCTTCTGTGATCTGTAATAGACTTGTACCTGTATGTTCGACATAGCATGTGCTCAGAACCTTTTAATTTGAAAATTAGTTAATATTTATTAATTTAAAGGATTCTTATTATTATTATACCTACATTGGTCATATTGGTAGAAAATGAATATAATAAGTTGTATATGAGTAACGTGTTGAGTATTATTTGGTATTTTTATTGTTAAACAGATAATGTTAAAGAAAAACCAGTAGAGGCATCTGAAGCGAAAAAAGTAGAAGAAATTGAAGATATTATAGATCTTGTTGAAAAACCCAACAGTGTTCGTTGTCTCAATAGTGCTTGTGATGGTAGCAATACAGAATTTTTATTGGCTCCAGATTTTTGTTTGTCATATTACAGGGTGAAAAGGTCTAAGAGTTATAAGGAAGAAATTTGTCAGGTATTTTTTATTTCCATTTTTTTTTCATGAATTGTTAAAATAGCTTGTTATTTCAAGGTATGTTATGATAAGTCAGTAGAAGACTTTGATAAATTAACCACCAGTTTAAGAAGTGGAAAACTAATATTAGAGTGTGATTACCCAATTATCAATGAAACTCTGCAAATAGAAGATAGTGATGAAGAAGAAGAAGAGGACGCAGAGGAGAAAGATATGCAGTATTTAGATAAAGAAAATTTTGATTTCATCAGTCAGAATATTGATCAAGTTATTCAGGAGACACTCAGTAAATTCAAAATTGAAGAACATTATAAATTAGAAACAGATTTTTTGAAAAAGGAATCAAAAAAAGTAGAAGGTAACAGTTTAAATTACTTTATTAATTTTTCTACAATATATTTTTTTCAGGAGAATATGCTGATTTAACAAATGGTGTTTCTGAAATTAGAAAAGTTTTAGACAAAATACAAATAGACCTTTATAATCAATTTAGACCTGACTTTAGAACTTTGAAGGGACTCTCAATCATTGATGATCATAGTATGTCTCCAAATATTATAGTGAAAACTGGTAAGTACTCCTAGTTAACCTATTTGAAATTAAAAAAGAAGAAATGTGTTAAAACTTTTATTTCAGAAACTAGCATGGACACCAGTCAAAGAAAAAGCACAAGATCTCATAAGCCAGTTTCTTATGTTGAATTGGATGAAATAGGAAATTCAAATAGTCCTAAGGTAGATACTCCTCCTGTTGCTGAAATGGAACCTCCAAAAGATTTACCACAAATAGTGCCAATTGTAAGAACTCCTCCACAAATTGGTAAGCATAAAATAGCACATTTTTTACTTTTAAAAAATAAATTAAACCTTTCCAATGTTCTTTTACATTTTCAGTCTTATCACAAATATGTTATATAGTAGATATCTCAGAACTTCCCTTGATATAGAAATTGTAAAAATAGGAAACTCTAATTAAATAGTCCACAGTTACAAAAATAGTAAATAAATAAGCACTTACATTTTAAAAATTTAAAATTAAAACTACCAAACCAAAAACCCTTTTTCCACATTCCTCTCTCCATCTATATTCCTCTTTATCCCACCCAAACTTTCACCTCTTGTCCGCCCGATGTTCTTCGTCACATTCACCGTTATTGAACGATAATGATTGGCTGCATTTTAAGTAAAAACAAAGTTCAAACTGTGAAGATTGGTGGTAGTCTATCCAATATAGGGGTTCCACAGGATTCTTATTTGGAACCTTTTTTTTTACTACATTGCCTGGCAAATAAAAATGTATATTTTTTTTTAAATTGAACATCCTGTATTTTATTTCAGTTTTAGAATGGTTTGGTAATACTGTATTTCACCCTAGATTTTTCTTCAAGGGTTGCCAAGCAATTAATTTTTTTTATGAAATAAGAGAACAGTGCAGTCCCCAAAATAAATTATCATAATTTAGGTAGGTTTACATTGATTTCAAAATTGTTTTGTATACTAAGCTAATAGTGGCGATAGAACTGGTTTATTTTATACAGAGTGTTTTGAAACATGTGTCTTATGGCTAATTTTAAGTTAAATTTACTCAATTTTTTCAAATGCAACACCCTGTATATTATTTTAACATAAAATTACTTATGAATTTACATATTCAATGATACCAACATGTTAGCCTATAATACAGGTTGTACCATCAGTGCGTAATTGATTTATAACTGTTTTACTATTGGAAATACGAAAAAAAAATAATAAAAGTTGTATGACCGTATTTAACAATTATTCCTAAATATACAGCGTGGTCCATAAATGAGGGGCTGACCAAACCTATAGTTTTTTAAAGCAAAAAACCTGCAGGTAGTTATACATTTTTGATTGTTTTCACATTGTGAAACAATTTTAATTGATTTCATTAATTTACTATGTTGTATATAGGGTGTGTCAAAAATCAAGGTTACGATTTTCTCAATTTTTTAAATGGTGTTATTGGTGGTATAACATACAGGGTATTCCATTTAAAAAATTGAGCAAATAATTGGTCTATTAAATTTTTTTAATGGCATGAAAACAATCAAATGTATAACTACCTGCAAAGTGTTTTGCTTTAAAAATGTATAGGTTTGGTCAGCCCCTTATTTATGGACCATCCTGTATATTTAAGAATAATTGTTAAATATGGTCATACAACTTTTATATTAATGTTTTTTTGTAATTCCAATAATTAAACAGCTATAGATCAATTACGCACTGATGGTATATGTGTTATTGGCTAACATGTTGGTATCGTTGAATAGATAAATTCATAAATTCGTGATTTTAATATAGACAAATTAGAAAGCTACTATCTAGATAACTCGCAAGAAGCAAAACAAATATTAGAAGTGAATCAGGCAAATACAAACATTAAAATTATGCACAACAATATCCGAAGTATTTTTAAAAATTTTGATGAATTTAAAGTTTTCCTTTTTGACCTAAGAGTGCCCATAGAATGCATTATACTTACAGAAACTAGAATTATAGATGATATTTCCTCAATTAATTTACCTGAATACCACACAGTATATAACAATGGTTCACTAAATCAAAATGACGGAATCGTTATATTCATCAAAAAAGAGCTATATCATTCCCACAAAATAATTAATTTAAATGGAACATACATGATACAACTTAAACTAATTATAGAACATAATACAATTATAGTAAATGCTTTTTATCGTTCACCTAGTACTATGATAGAGCCCTTTCTTGATGAACTGGAACTAATACTTACAAACCAACCAGATAATTTTGCTTATAATTTATTTTTGGGGGACATCAATATTGATATCATAGACGACTCCAACGAGAATACTACAAAATACAAGAACATATTAAGTGAACATGGTTACTTGTCAGCAATAAACTTGCCGACGAGGCCATCCTCTGGTACATGTTTAGACCACATATTTATTAATGGAAAGGGGAAAAATAACTATGATACAATTATCCCATTAGTAATTGATTCAAATATTACTGATCATTCCACAACAATGACTCAAATACGAAAATAATAGATAACACTAGTCGCTATATACAGTACGTAGATGAGAAAATGCTGAAAAGAAATATGACAAAAACAATCTGGGATACCGTTTTTCAAACACAAGATTTAGAAGATGCAACTGAAGCATTCTTAGAAATAATCCAAACCGCAATAAACAAATCTGTAATAAATAAAAAAATTAAAACTAATGAAGTTAAAAGGAAAAACTGGATAAAAGGTTCTCTAGTTACGTTGGTAAATAAAAAAAATAAACTATACAAAAAAACCAAAAATGACCCAACTAATCAGAGCTTAAAACTTGAATACAATAAATATAAACAAACTTTAAGCAAACTAATAAGTAAATCAAAAACAGATTACTATAAAAATCTAATAACTAAAAACAAAACAGATTCAAAAATACTTTGGAAAACAGTCAATGAAATACTCTCAAAAACAAGTAACACAAATGAAATAAAAGAAATAAAAAATAAAAATGAAATAATTACACAACCCGAAGCTATTGCAACTGCCTTTAACAACTATTTTTCAAATGTGGGTACACAACTAGCTAGTAAAATAAAAAATAACCTAAACTATAAAGAAGTAAAAAAAACATGTCCCCACTCACTGTTTCTTTTACCAACCAACTCCAACGAAATTAAATCAATTATTTCAGAACTAAAAACAAATAGTGCTCCAGGACCAGATAACATAACAACCAAAAATATTCAATGTATATTGGAAACCATACTCCAACCTCTAGTATATCTAATAAATAAATCTTTTAAAGACGGGTGTTTTCCAGCTATATTTAAAAATTCAATAATAATTCCGATTTATAAAAACAATGATAAAATGGAGGTAAGCAATTATCGGCCCATATCTCTAACATCAGTATTTTCAAAGATAATTGAAAAAGTTATAAAGAAAAGATTAAATATGTTCCTAACAAAACATAAAACACTCAATAAAATGCAATTTGGGTTTAGAGAAGGAAAATCTACAAACGATGCTATTGTAGAATTAACATCTTACGTCTATGACAAAATAGATAAAAAAATCCCTACAATTGGGGTATTCTTGGATTTATCGAAAGCATTTGATACAGTCGATCATCAACTTCTTTTAGAAAGTCTAGAAGATGTGGGAGTCAGAGGCATTCCATACAAACTCCTAGAAAGCTACTTACTGGGAAGAAAACAAAAAGTTAAAATAAAAAATTATTTAAGTGAAGATCAATATATTACGTGCGGAGTACCTCAAGGGACTGTACTAGGTCCATTACTGTTTAATATATATCTTAATAATTTATTCGAAGTAAAGCAAGGAGGGGGAAAATTTTGTCGTTTGCAGATGATACAGTCATTATATATAGCCATACATCCTGGACCGAATTAAAATCATTAACAGAACACGGTCTTACGGAAGTTAAGAAATGGTTCGATAATCGCTTACTCTCTATCAATTATTCAAAAACCTTATACTTACCGTTTACCAGCTATGTATCATATCTTCCTAACTTCAATTCCCTAGATATAGATGAAAATACTACGATTAGTGGCGGAAAAGAAATCAAATATTTAGGAATAATACTAGATAGCCATCTTAAATGGGATATACATGTTTCATTTTTAATTTAAAAACTACGATGTATTCTAGGAAGATTTAAACAAGTTAAATTTGCTTTATCATATGCCCAAATGAAAATACTATATTATAGCCTTGTAGAATCTCACCTAAGTTATGGCATAGTGAGCTGGGGGGGAATGGCCAAAACTTACCTTAAACCGCTTGAAATAATGCAGAAACGGTTTTTAAGAATAATTTTGAATAAACCCTTTCTGTACCCTTCAAATGACTTGTACGAAGAAGCTGAAATAAACGATTTAAGACAACTTTATTTTATTCGAATAAACATAAACCAGTACCTAAACAAAAAACAGCTGCATAACTCCTCTCATCAGTATGCCACTCGCCAAAAGGAAAAATTTCTAATTCCGCATATGTGCAAATCTATAGGTCAAAAAAGTTACCAATTTATGGCACCAAAAATGTTTAATTATTTGCCTAAAACACTGAAAAATATAGTACCAATTTCTAAATTTAAAAAGGCTCTAAAAATATTTGTTAAAGAAATAGAACGACTAGAATTGCGCACGTTAGTTGAAAATTAAAAAGAATTTATTTCATTCGGTAAAAAAAAAATTACTTGAGTAATAAAACCTTTGTATTATTTTTAAATCGTTTAATTTTGTTATTTCTTAGTTTAGTTTAGTTTAGTTCAAAATTGTATAAAATATTTAATCTACACACAGGCATTCTAGCCTCGTAGAAATTGCAAATATTTATTGTCATATTACCACATATAACTGATTGTTATTTGTTATTTATGTATTTACTTTTGCCAATAAATATTATTATTATTATAAGGAATTTTATGCTAAAATAATATAAAAGGTGTTGCATTTGAAAAAATTGAGTAAATTGAACTTAAAACTGAGTGAACTGAAATAAAATACAGGGTGTTCAATTTAAAAAATATATTTTTTTATTTGCCAGGCAAAACGCAACACCTTGTATATCCAAAAATATTTTTAAAATATGCATTTTTTTAAATTCATATAACTTTTATTTGAAACTTGTTTGTGTGTCTATAAAATGAAATGAACAATTAATGGGACATCCTGTATATGCCCTTAGTAATGTTAATGATTGTTATCTTTTACAAAGTTACTCAAACAACCTTTCATTGAAATTATATTATTAAAATAGTTTACTCATATTATGTTAGATCGATTATGGGTTGCCAGTTTGGTCTCCATTTTATGATGATGATATTAGGTCATTGTAGTTTGTTCAACACAAATTTCTAAGATGTTGTACATTCAGATTAGGTTTAGTATGTGCCAATATAATTATGTTGTATTAAACTCGATGAATCTTGAATGTCTAGAATTTTGAAGGGGTACAGTATATTTATTATTTTTGCATAAAGTAATTTCAGTATCTATTTATTGTTGCGTACTTTTAGAATCAATTCAATTTTGAATACCATTATGATATACTCGTCAAAATGCTTTTAGTCTTCATTCCATTTCACAGAACTAAGTATGGCTTATTTAGTCCTTTAACAAGAATGTAAAGAAGTGCAAATTTAATTGAATTTTGATGTTCTGGGTACGTTTTTCAATAACTTTAGAAAAGCTGCTTGAAATATACTTTATTGATATTTTAATATTTTCATTATTATCATCAAAATAGCCATAATTAATTTTTGAATTTTCAACTTTATTTCGGAAACAAGTAATATTTTATCTAAGCATGTTTCGTTTAATCGTCTTATTATTACTCAGAGAATCTTTAGTTGTTCTATGTCCCATTCTTAATGATTTTAGTATTGTAGTTTGTACTATTCTAACTTGTTAATCTTTTGTATAATGCGTTTTTATTTGGAATACTTTTGTTTACAATTTTCAACAATATGGGTATTGCACCTAGGTGTAGACACCTGTATGTGCATAGATTGAAGACATATTATTTTATTAACTTTTATTAAATTAAATTAATTTTAACAGTTACTGTATAGTTATACAGAAATTAGAGGAAGAAAAGAAGAGACAAATAAAAAAAAACTCAATTACAATGTTGACATGCACAGATCAAAATTATTTCCTAGAAACTTTTTACATTTTCTCGAAACATGTTTGTTTTTATATTTCTGGCTTGCACAGTTGTTACAAAGCTTTGATTAGCATCCAGAAATAACAGAAAATATAATAATCGTGACGCCGACTTCGATATGGTTCAGTTGTAGATCAGGGGTGTGAGGTATGGGACGGGATAAACTGAAGTATTTGACGGCCGTACAAAACAATTTTATCAATGAATATATGTGTAAGACATTGTACGCCCACAATAAACAACGTACAAAATGCAAGCCATGTTGCCACATCTAGTACAAAATAATTGATATCCAACTTAACATTAACTAGGTTTTGGAATTTATTAAAAATTATTACATCTAATTTAGTTAAATTTAATAGAACTAACAGAGTTTTACAATAATTTCTTTGGTATGTAGTATGTTCATGTGAAGCATTTAGTTTAGGGCTGGAGTTTTTACAATAAAAGATACATACCCTGTGAAAATATAATAATCTAGTATCTAAAAATGTTACTCTTATACAGAAGTGAGGTAGGATATCTGATGTTTTATTATAGGACTTGACTTTATATACATAATTATATATTTTAAATGTTGTAATTGCTTCCATCGATTCTATATTATTTGACAATTTATTATACATTTGAATCCCATTATAAATAAAGGAGCCTTCTACCAGTTCAGATCTTGGTATGAATAACCACAGATTGTTAACTTGTTGTGTTTAATGAGCATTAGTGGTGAAATAGGTTGATTTGTTTTTATGTATAATGCAAGTACATAGTTTCAAGAATAAACAACGATGTTAAGATTAACATTGAATGGGTCCTATGATTGAACGTTTACGTTATCCGTAACGTACATGTTAGGCCGAATTTTAAAAGTAACGAGGCAAGTTCGTATGATGGAAACCTGTTAAATTAGAACATAACACGCGGAAAATAACAGTAATGTGTTATGAAAGACTTTACATCATACGAATTTGTCTCTTTGCTGTTAAAACTCGGCCTAACATGTACGTTACGGATAACGTAAACGTTCAATCATAGCACCCATTGTCTAACAAAAGATGGCTTACATGACTCGAAAATTGTTCACTTCACATACAAATCGTGTACATACAACATCCCAAAATCAGCAAATAAAGTACGTGCAATGTTATAAAGTGGGACTCAACGCATTACCCTGAGGGACTCGGTAACTTATATCTAAAACTTGATAATCCTTAGTAGCACTTACCTCTTGCTTACATAAAAAGTAATACATTCTAGAAAATAAAAATTTGAATGAGACTTATAGTGGGAAATTTAGACCATTTTTTAATTATTTTTTAGGTGAAATATATTACATAGTCCGTGAAAATTCCCAAAGCAATTGGATACGGGGTCGTTTACAGGTAATAATAAACCCAGGCAGCTTATACAATGGCTCTACTTACACTACTACTCATTATAAATTGGTGGAGCTCAAACAGCAAAAAGAGCGTTTTATAACAGGCAAACAAATGGCATATTTGAACGCTAGTAAAGTACGATTGCCTGTTGGTACAAGAGTAATTTCTGCTTTTAAAGAAGTTAGGGCTAATAGTGCTAAAACACCAAGACTCGATCCTTATTATGCTGGTGTTGTTGCAGAGCAACCTTTTGAAGGAAATAAATACAGGTAAATAAAAAACTGGCACATCAAATTTGTGATAAAAATTTTTATTTTGTAAACAATACAACAAATTTAGGCATCTTTTTTTTCAGATATTTAATATTCTTTGACATTGGTTATTCTCAGTATGTCAACTATAATAAAGTTAATCTCGTTCTTGAATCAAGTGTGAATGTATGGGAAGATATTTTCATCGATTCCAGACCATTTATTAGAAAATATTTGGAGAGCCAAGATAGACCAATGGTAAAACTAGCCAAAGATCAAACTGTCCGAGTGGAATATAATGGTAAATTTCTATTTTTTATTCTAGGAAAATTATTCTTTCTGATGATTGCAGCTTTTAAGAAATAGATAAATTCATACATTTCTTTTAGGTAGATGGTGGCTCTGTATTGTAGTCGATGTAGACTGTTCATTGGTGCAAGTATTCTTTGAGATGCTCAAAAGAACTGAATGGATATACAGAGGCTCAACAAGATTGAGTCCAATGTTTAGGGAAGAACAAGCAGCCACAAACAGATCTACAGGTGTTAGAACGTCCAGAAAAATAGGCCCTGTAAGATTTCTTTGTTTAAAAGTATTTTTATTGGCGTTTAAGAACCACATAACTAATGTAATTATTTCTGTTTTTTAGAATGAATCTCAGACAGTGGTTCAGTACACCAGAAAAGATGAATATGGTGTACCTATTGAATCCAATCAATCCAATCAAGACTCTCCAACCAATGTCAGAGCTGTTGCTAGGAAAAGTACGACTAGGCCTCAAGTTAATGTACAGATTGAAGGAGCTGTTCCTTTCCTTCCCCAAGTTAAGGATACACCAGCTACTACTGGACCTACAAGCAAAATAATGGTAAGCCTTTTCTTCAAAAATATACATAAAAAATATAAATTAACAGTTTTTCGAATATTAATATTGTTTTAAATTATTTACCTGTTTCTTTTAGTGTCTAATACCTTTTAGAAAGTTTTACACTTTGATCAAATTCCAAAGCAAATAAAAATCTTATGGCTAATTTTAATTTAATTTATTTTACAGTACTTTACTCCCAGGGACCAGGTAATAATAAAACGGCAGTATAAGCCTCACGCATGTAGTGGTAAATGCAAGGAGTTCCTCACTCACAACTTTAGCCAATTACGTGGACACAATCCCCTTTCTAAACCGTTATTGTGTGGGTGGGGCAGGATGACTCTTAAAGCCAAAGGTAGAAAAGAAATCATTTACAAGGTAAATCACAAATTTAAATTACTTATTTTAACAAAGATTATATTAGGACAATAGACAGTTTCTACAACTTTGTAAAGGTATTTTACCACACATAAATGGAGTAGCGGTTTCCAAACTTTAACTCTTTTTGAATCACTTCTAAAAACTGGAATAAATTGGTGAATTTTCTGTGTTAGTAAAAGTAAATAAAACAGCAAACTAGGATGGTTATTCAAATTTATTTTCCATATTGAATAACAGTTCATAATGAACAACTAAAACATAATTGTATAACTTTAAGTTATGGGTCTTTTCACAAAAAGTAATTTTTGGACATTTTCGATGGACATATTTATGATATTTCCGACGGACGACATATCGATACACTGAGCCAAAAGTCAATAAGTGCTTTAAAAAGAGCTTTATAGGAATTTTCAGAAGTGAAATCAATGAACTTTTCTTTTTCCAGTCTAGTTAAAGAAGAATCCGAAATTATATCCTTGAAAAGGATTACATTTCCAGTTTTTAGTCCATATGTAGTAGGTTTATTAGGAAGACAGCATTTGGTTCGGTATTATCAGTTTTAATTTTTTCCTTAAGTTAAATGACATTTTTTCAAAAAATGGTGTTGAGATAACTAAAACATTTGTACTAATTCATCTGCAGACAATGAATCAAAAAGTTGAACTTCTTTAGCATGGCCTATATTATATCTTACACTTTGTAAATGATGGCACCTATGCCTTGTAAACACATTTAATTTAGAAAAATGTATACAAATTTTTGCTGCTAAAGAATATCGGATACAAAAGATTAGAAATTAAATGGATGGCCCAGAAAAAAAATGCTTGCAAATAAGCTGGGCAAATCTTTGCCACGAGAAAGCCATAACTTCTGTATTAAGTAGGTACTAAAGAAACGTGAAGACTTCCAAAGTTCTCATGAAGTGTATAGAACATTCAAGAGTTTGTAGGACGCGATTTTATAAAATTTACTATTTTTACAGCATCGCTTTAAAGTACTGCCTAATTCTACAGGAATATATGCTTACATGCTAGTGCTTGTTTATGAATACATCAGCCCATTAAATATTCTCGTTAATCTTTAGCCGCGCCAAAAGACCAGAAAATGTTCCTGTCATTAATTTTTCACTATCTGTACATACAACCAAACAAAAATAACAGTTTATATTTTTTATTTTTTAATAGTCATTGGTCAGATCGAAAATTGCTCTACCTGTTGTATAGGTTTTCAGTGGTTTTGCAGTTCTTAGCACATTGTTCGACTCTATCCCTCCTAACGTTCAACTCTATGTGGATGCGCTCTTTTAAAATCGGCCAACGTTATTTGAGTTCATTACGGGAAAGTCTCGGTTCACTTGATACTTTGAAGTAAAAGTTGCCTTATTGTACATTGGTCTAATAGATGAAATATCGTTTTGGTCATATAGTTTTGGACGTTTTTTACTTTGACCATTTTTATAAGGAGTGATTCACCAAAAATGTTTCTAAAGTAGGCCTTGGAAAAATTCACCCATGTGGAATCGTTCAATTCTTCTTCTTTTTAAGTGTCAGTTTCATGACTGGCCTGTTTGGCTCTGCCAGTGCCATTAAAATAGGGGGAAATAAAATAAGTACCTGTTTCAGAGCTATGCATATTTATTAAGGACATGACTGGTATCTGTCTTTGTCAGTCATGGCCTACCTTAGAAACATTTTGTATGATTCATTCTTTACTTTTATTAAAATAATTTTATTTTAGGCACCGTGTGGAAGAATTTTAAGAAATATAGCCGAAGTTCATTATTATCTAAGAGTAACGAAGAGTGAAATGACTGTTGATTTGTTTGATTTCAATCATATGGTCAGGTGTTTGGCGGAATTCAGTGTCGAATGTAATCCAGATCCCAAAGATCTTTCTCGAAGTAAATACGATTTTTCTATACCTATATTAGCTGAATATTTTAAACGATCGATGCAAATAATTGAATTGTTTTTTTTTTTGTTTAGGTATGGAACAAGTACCTATACCAGTTATAAACGGAATAAATAACGAAATGTTAGATTTCTGTAACTACTCAATAAAGAGGGTTCCCATGGAAGGTGTCCACATGAATTTAGATACAGAATTTGTGTGTGGATGTGATTGTGATGATGATTGCATTGTAAGTTTATTTCATTTGATTTTAAATTATAAAAAAAGTCAACAAAATAATAGTTTAGTTTAAGATTTAATCCTAGATTGAAGTATTGCACTTTCATTATTTTCTCTTTGATTATTTGTTTACTTCTAAGGATGTTTTTTATTAAAACTGATTATTATAAAAACAAATCAAAACAAGTATCTAAAAAGTTATTATAACAAATCAAATTAAGTAAATAATAATAATAATAATAATAACAAACCAAAACAAGTACTTAACCTTAAAAGTCATAATTTTTTTTAATTAAAACCATAACATAAAATAAAAAATAAGTACTACTCTGGTTAAAAAAAAAACTAATTATATACATTTTTAGATCAATAACACAACTAATAAAACAAAAATTAACCAAATATCAAAAATAATCATACTCTGGTTCAAGCAAAACCAAAACTAAGAAATAATAAAAAAAAAGAGTAGGTACCATTTTCTTTGGTGGTAAACTACTTTTTTGTATCGACTAGATAAATACTGATCAACTAGTTCGTTAAACTGACATTGTATGAAAAAATATTTTTTTGTGAGAATACCTTGTTTAATTTGGGGGCCCCTAAATAGCCTGAGGCTCTACCGCACCGCCCCATGTGAATTATTTTATTTGATGTTAAATGTAGTATAAGCAATATATCTAGACCTTATGTACCCAAATAATAACTATAAAAAATTTTCAATAATTATTTATTATCAATCATTTTTATTTAAATTTACTCACCACTAAAGTATATTTGATTTTTTTAAGGACAAAACTAAGTGTGCATGCTGGAAATTAACCTTAGAGGGCGCAAAATACACTAGCAGAGATGTCGATCCGAATTCTGTTGGGTACATCTATAGGAGACTTCCAGAACAAGTTATAACTGGAATATACGAATGTAATTCTAGGTACATACCAACGATTTTTTTTGAAATTTAATAATTTGCAATATTTTTGGTTGGTTCATTTTGCAACGATATTGTTTTTTAGGTGCAAATGTACTGCGACATGCCTAAATAGAGTAGTTCAAAATCCTATGAGTTTGAAACTGCAAGTGTTCCGAACTCTCAACCGAGGTTGGGGTATACGTTGCTTAAATGACGTTCCACAGGGCAGCTTCATCTGTATTTATGCCGGTACCATTCATACTGAAGCGATGGCCAATGAGGTAAACAAAAATATACGCAGTTAATCTTCTTAGAGTACATTTTGGTATTTTAGGACGGTATGGCATACGGTGATGAATATTTCGCGGAACTTGACTACATAGAAACCGTAGAAAAATTCAAAGAAGACTACGAAGCGGAAGTGCTAGAAGAAGAGGAAGAGGAACAGTATAAACGAAAATCGCCAATTGAAGAAGACGAAGACGAGGAAGAATCTATGCTCAGAAAAATTACTAGTAGTAGTAAATACAGAAGATATAATTATTCTGAAGATAACGATTTTACACCTAGCCATCCTGATAAAATATCAAAGTCACATTCAGGTATAAGGTTAGTAAGAAACAAATATTTCAATTATATATCACTCAAGTGAAAAACTCAAGTGAAAGATGACATGTCATAATTTTAGGACTAGGTTAAGGAGAAGATATCTAGAAGAGGACGTCAAAATTGATGTCGAAGAAAAAGTTAAAAAAGAAGAACCTAAACCTGAACCAAAAGTCGATTCAGATATAAAAGTTAAAAAAGATCCAGATGTGAAAGTTGAATTGAAGACAGCCCTCGAAGTACTATCTGATGGCATTGAAACAGTCCTTATTAGTGATGAAGAAGATGGTTAGTATATAAATTGTCATTTGCTTTTTCTATTTTATTTATTTTTATAATTATTACTACTAGATCTATAACGTGTAAGGTATTTTGCCTTGTTTCATTATTCCTTGCATTATTTGCAGCTTTCAACAATTTTAAGTTGTTAAACGACATTTTATAGTAAAGAAATATATCCTAAATGAAAGAAGAGCATTAGTCATAATTCAAAGCATGCGGCTGAATAACTTGTCCCCAAGTAGTACACAGTCATTTTTAATGTGTGCTTGATAAGATACTTGTCTGTTGTTACCAAATAATGGCTGAATGTTTTTATACCGCGGTCCTTATTACCGCTCCCACACGATAAGATATTTTAAAAGTATCTTTTTTGCTTTTCCGGGGCGACTTAAAGATGATTGATGGCGACATTTGACTTATAGGTAAGGAAAACCCTTAGATAAAAGAGACCAGAGATATAACATACACCGGTGTTTAACCTGCGCAAATGTTGCCAGTTTCTAAAGAAAGGTTAACGGAGTGGGGGAACTGGGCAGGGACTCGAACTCTGTGACAGGGACCGGACTTTGTTTATTAGCATCATAATGAACTATTAGATTTATTTAAAATATACGTTTAATGGAATTTTGTATTATGAAATAAATTTAACGTGATTTTTTAATATCAAACAGATGCCACGATATTTTATGTAAAGAGAAGACCTTTAATAGAATATTTCGTTAGCTATTATTTACTATGGACTTTTCTGTAAGAGACTACAGTAAAATGTTGAAATAGAATATTGTTAATCGAGTAAGAAATGGTACTCATTGTCTAAGAGTATTATAAAAAAGCATGTGCGCAGGCGAATACTGCAAATCAAACCTTGTGAGTTGAACATTATATTTTTTCTACGACTATCACATAATATTAAAATTTAGTCAAAATGAGAAAATGCTGTTTTGTATTATAACCTCAGAAAAAGATATATTAAAGCTTGTTTCTTTAGGAATATTAATTAATATAGGGGATGCGCCACATAAAACTCTAGAAATGTATATGTCTGAAACCAGATAACATTTTAAAATTTAAACCTATTAAAAGTCATTTGGTCGCTAGGAGTGGGTGATTATCGAAATAAATTATTGATCATTAATAATAATCGATTATTTTCGATCAATCGATTATTTTCAAACAATCTATTTTTGTTCGTATTTCCTTTAAAATTGACTACTTGATTATCTTTAAAAAATAAAAAAAGTAGATTAATTAAAAAGCCAATTAACCGATAAATCAGTGTTTACAAAAAATAATAAACGAATTATCGTTTATTTTAAATAATCGATTATTTTTAATTTCTATTTTTTTTTTTCGTATTTCCATTGAAACATTATTCGATAATCTTTGAAAAATCTAAAATAATCGATTAATCAAAAATAATCGATTAATTAAAAAGTCGAATAATCGATAAATCGATTTAAAAAAAAAGAATTATTTCCTTTAAAATCAATTATTCGATCATTTTTGAAACATCGAAAATAATCGATTAACGGAAAATAACCAATTAATTAAGAAGATTCTACGATAAATCGATTTTCCAAAAAAAAAACTAAATAATTATTGATTATTTACAAATAATCCTTTTCTTTTTTTATATTCCTTTTAAAACTGATTATTTAATTTTCTTTGAAAAATCGAAAATAATTGATTAATAAAAAGCTGATTTACCGATAAATCAATAATTTTATAAAATAACCGAAATATCGATTTTATAATATAACCGATTATATTCGATCAATCGATTATTTTTATATAATCTATTTTTTGTATTTTAAAACAAATTATTTGAATACCTTTGAAAAATCGAAAATAATCGAATTATCTAAAATAATCGATTAATCGAAAATAATCGATTAATTTAAAAAGTCTATTAAACAATAAATCGATTTTTCTAAAAAATCGATTATTTTCAATAAATCGAGTATTTTGAATAAATCTACTCTCTTTTTGTAATTCCTTTATAATCTATTATTCCATTACCTAAAAAAACGAAAAAAGTTTATTAAAAATGTTCGATTAATCAAAAATAATTTATTAAAGATAATCGATTAATTATAACGGATAAATCGATTTTCATGAAAACGATAAATCGATTATTTTTGTAACCCCTATCGGTCGCATGCTTTTATTAGAGCATTTAGCTCCAAAATTTGAATATTCGGATTTATTGATCCTGTTATCTTTGAAACCGCATTCGATTGTATAATAAATATTGCTAGAATTTAGATTTTTTTAGTAAACGAAGATATTTTTCGAGTTGTTTAGGGGTTTATAATGTAACATTTTACTAATAATATGACTAATTTCCGTAACTTTAGTATTTTTTGCTTATACTAGATCATATTGCGCGTTTTACTTTGTTTTAAGATTCAAATGTCACTTTTGATTTAACCGCAAATAAAATAAACCTTGAAATTTTAAGTATGTGAACCTGTATTTCATCTAATATTCTTTTAAAAATATCTAATAAAGGGCTAAAAACCACTTTTAGTAAATATTCTTATAAAACTACTTTTTAAAAACAAAATTTCGTTAGTAACAATGCCTATTTACTTCTTATTGAGATTAAATATTTTTTGAAACCCCTTAATGCGGATCTGAAGTATTCAGCTCAAAGAATCATGGCGACTTTATGTCAAAACGTCAACAAATATTTACCGCTGAAAACGAATATATTTCTTATTTTTCATAACATTAACACATATTATTTGTATATACAATTTTTCACCATACATCGTGGCATTTTCAACTTGAAATTGAATAACTAAAACACTTCAAATTACTAATAACACCAACAAATAATTCAAAAACGGCGGTCCATAAATGATTTACTCACGCGGAGACAAGCAAAGAATAGAAATTTCGGAGCAATTCGGGTGGCGTCGTGAACACAATGATTTTTAATTGGTGGGTTACTTAGGTTTGGAATAGACAACATGCGCAATGCGCAATGTTACATCTCCGGTCTCTTTTATCTAAGGGAAAACCTTACCCACAATCATCGAAAACGCATGGCGATTTTTATATTCTGAATATCAACAGAATTTAAATTTCTGTTGATGCGGCATCCGTCAAATCTTATAGAGAACCATGCAAATAAATTCACATGGTCTTCTGTAGGATTCGAAACCGGTGTCTTGTTTACCACAAAATTGGCTCGCAAATGAATGCGTCGCCATAGACACCTACGCTACCGTAGTCGATAAATGTTTGATCTAATTAATGATTTATATGAAAGAAGATGAGAATATCGATTAGAGTCCCAATTTTTTTTTTGTAGGGTTTTCAAAATGTGAATTTTTGCTGCACACTAAAATTAGTTGCCTTATGTGGTCTTTCCATGATAGAGTTCTGTCAAATACCATTCCTAAAAAATTATGCTGTTTTTAAATTCCAGATGTTGATTGTGTAATTTGAATATTGTTCAGACGCTCTTCATGAGAAAATGGTGATATTAAATGATTTTACTAATTTATTTTACAGCATAATTATTTATTTAGACATACATACATTACATTGATAAAGTAAATAATAATTTGTATTTTGCTAAAAAGTGTCTGATTGTTTCTATTTCATTTTCAGAAGATAGAGAGGTACTGAGTTTTAATCCAAAAGCTACTGGACCGGACGAAAAAGGGCCAACGTATATATCCGTTAGAGAATTGTTTGGAAAAGAAGAATGTGTGTACGTGATGGATGCTAAAAACGCTGGAAATATCGGCCGTTTTCTAAATGTTAGTAAACAAAATTAAGTTTTTATATAGTAGGTAGCTACTTTTTAATTGAATCTATTGGTAGATCGTAGACCATTGATAACACAAAGTTGGTTTAATTGGGAAAAGTTATATATTTCGAAACACAATCTGAGGATCTTTGGATAACCAAAATATTAGGGGTGTTATTCGATAAAAAAAACAAATTAGTTTCATTTCTTTATTTTACTAAACAAAAAGAAAACCATAAAAAAATCATTCAAGGTTTTTTGTTTTATATCAAGTTGTGCGTATGATGGCATATTTACTTTTTTTTTATCCAACATTTCTAAAATGCGAGACCACAATCAACTTCTTTATTTGAATATGGACCAGTGTTATTCTGACATATTTTAAAGCATGTTCTATGGTGAATACCATGATGTAACAACATATTGTGATTAGTCAACATTTCGGAAGATTTGAACATCATCAGGTAAGTAAGGACCTGCATTTTCAAGTTAAATTATTTGGATTAGTAATGCTGTATTATCGGTTTAAGAAATTATGAATATTAAATATCGAACGTTAAAATTTTAGTCTTTGGTTATAATTCGATTATAACATACAATAACATGATATGAACATTATACTAACAAAATATTTAAGCTTGTACAAATAAATGCATTTTCAGGGTAAAATGTTTGGATTAGTAAATGCTTTATTATTGGTTTAAAAAAAAATTGGTAAAATTGTAATCTTTGGTTATAATTCAATTATACATAATATGAACATAATACTAACAAAATTCTTAAGTTTGTACAAATAAATGCACCTAAGTGACTTAACACTTGTATGTGCAAGACCAAAATGTAAAATATATAATGATTTTATTTAAAGTTACTCTGAACTATATATATGGTAGGTAGTTATCAATACCAAAAAAATATGAAAAAGAAGAACATACAATAAAATAACAATTTCTGCTTCTTGAATTTAGAGACAAATAAAATATATACTTACAAAACTACAAAAGTTGAGCAGTGCATTCTCTTTTCTCAAAAATTAAAATTTTACACATCTCAAAAAACTTTTTGTACCCAATTGTGGTTCGAATCTTTAATGGTAGTATGTTGAAAATGTTTTCTGTCATGGTTGCAGTAAATTTCTGGTTGGCATATATTCTATGATCAAGTTATTAAAATTATTTCTTGTTTGGTAGTGATGATTAATATAATTTTTGTTTTTAGATTTAAAAACATATATACAGTTGCTAAGGTAATAAATATATTGAATTTTTAGGATATCTTGATTATATAATGGGTTAGTTGTAAAAAGTATGTCTTTAAAAAATATTGCACAAAATATAATTTTGGACAACATTCAATTGATTTAATATATTGTCATTGAGCTCCTTTCTCCCCCAGGCAATGATACCATATCTTAGGAGTGATTCTACTAAATTTGTATAAGTAGTTTTGTAAATAAGATTTTACGAATAGTAGAAAATTTTGGTTTGAAGATCTTGAATGTGATTTCATATTTTAATCGACTCTGAATACCTAGGTACTTTATTGTGTTAGTTAGGTCTATTTACATCGTTCATAGAAAAGGGTATGTAAAATGTTTTGTCGGCGTTCAAGGTTAATTTACTAAAATTAACTGTTTCAAAACCTGCACTACTTTATTTGTTACAATTACCCAAGTGTTTCTTCTAAAAAGTAGCATTGCGTCATCTGCATAAGAAATGGAATGTAGGTAATGAAAAGAAGAGGACCAAGTTCAGTGCCTTATGGTACTCCGATTTTAACATTTAAAGAATCACTATACTGTCCTTCTTCACCAAAAAGCTTTATCAAAAAAACTACTAAGAAAAATAGCAAAATCTCACTCAGAATATAAAAAAACCTAAGTAATCCGGCGGTACCTGAATTATTTTTTTCGGCTCGAAGGAACGTGAGAACACTTTTAGAAAATGTTTATTTTCTCGAAACTCGCTTCAACTGAGATACCGCTTTTTGGCTTTTTGTATTTATACTTTCTGTTTACGCTCTTTTAAATAAATTATGAAAACTTTCGACATAATACCCCTAACACCATAATGTTCAAGAACCTTAATAAGGTGTGTCGAAAGCTTTTGCAAGATCAAAAAAAATTGCTATTGCCTTGTCATTATTGTCAAGTCAATTTTTAATGTTATTTATAAGTTCGTACATGGCATCATCATTAGTACCAATTCCGGGTATAAATCCAAATTAATTTTTATTTAAAAAAACAATAGCAAAGTTGAAGTGACTAGATATTTTAAAATGTGAAGGTACTATAATACTGTTTAAAAAAATTCTGTTTATTATATGGAGGTTAGGTTGTTTAATTTTTGCATACATGTTAATTTCTACATCTACAAAAAACCTAATACAGAAGTTAGCCATTCGGGTATCATCTCTAAAGGGTTCGTTATTACTTTTTGATATATTTATGTTGTTGGTTTTTATTTATTTTCTATTTTCTCATTTGTGGCCTGAGCAAATTTCATAATTTTTTTTTTTTTTCATATTTTTATTTTATTTTTGTAATACATGTTTTTCGTAATTTAGATTAATTTATTAAGATCGTTTCTACATTTTTTATATTCTTGTAATAAGTTAGCATTATTTTTATTTTTAATTACAAGCCTTTTTAATTTATCTCTTTCTTTAATAAATTTTATTATACCGCTAGTATGGTTTAAGTTTCTTGCGGTTACCTGAGTTTATTTTTTTACTGTAAAAGTAATCATCATATACGGTCTTAAAAGTATCAATAAACGTTTGATAAGCACATTCTGGGTCATTTTGTGTAAAAAAATTTCTCCATTTTACTAAATTTGTCATCATCAAATATATGAACAGTTTTTTGTCTATATTATTGTTAACAGTATTGTTACCATTTTTTAGATAGCTATTTAAGAATATAGTAAAATGATCAGTGATATCAGTATTGTTTGATGCTGCACTTTTGTGGTACTAAGTATGTTAATGTTTATTTCATTGGCTCTACAATAAGTTAGTACTCATAATACAGGTCCGCACTAGTAAGTAAACTTGCCTGATGTTGTTCAAATCTTTCAAAATATTGACTAATTACAATATGTTATTGTATTCAGCATTAAAGATGCATTACAATGTTCTCTCAGAATAATACTTGTTCATAGCCAAGTAAAGAAGTTAATGGTGGTCGTGCATTTATAAAATCGGCATCTAGATATAAAACAAAAAACCTGAGATGTCTATTTTAGAAAGTAAATATTCTGTATTAGAATAAATAAATGTAACTAATTTGTTTTCTATCGAATATCTCGGAAACCAACTCTGATATTTTAGTTTTCGAAACTTCTTCAAATTGGACTTTGAAATATACAACTTTTTCTCCTTTTAACCAACTTTTTTGTCACCAACGGTTTGTATATAGCAATACATTTCAATTGGCCACCCTGTATATATATTTGCCATCAGATATTAGATTACTTATATATTTCTCTTTTTCCCTCTCATATTGTTTATCAGATTCCTTTATGCTTTGATTATTTTAACATTTTTTTTTCAGCATTCGTGTTCTCCCAACGTATTCGTTCAAAATGTTTTTGTCGATACTCACGATCCTCGTTTTCCTTGGGTATCGTTCTTTTCGTCCCAGTTTATAAGAGCCGGAACTGAATTGACGTGGAACTACAACTACGACATAGGAAGCGTTCCTGGACGGGTACTGTACTGCCACTGTTCTTCGTTAGAATGTAAAGGACGTTTGTTGTAATTTATTTTTAATATCAAGTTTGGAGTTGTGAAAGTTGCTCGTTGCGATCAACAATCGAGAATTTGAAAATATAATCTTTATTGAATATACACATGCTCATACATAAATGTATAAGGCTCGTTCCTGCAGCAGTCAGATTTATAGTTACTGTTAATCAGTTTTTAGCACAGTAACTTTTTGAATTTTTCCACAATATATTTCGGATATTGTATTCAAACTACTTTTTCAGAACTACCTGATTATTTGATGGTTATCAAAGCAGACCTAGTTTGAAAACATTCTGAATTATATGGTGGAATAACTTAAAAATCTATTGTCACTGATCGTTTTTAATTGATGTGTGAACAAGCCTAAAGAATATTAAATTTTTTAGATTTAAATTAAAAAAAAATCGGCCTTTCCGATATCTTTATTGAAAAAATATATTTTTCCGAACTCGCTTCCAACGTTTCATAGCGAGAAAACGGCAAATTTCAGAAAACTTATTGTTTTAACTAATTTTGTGATTGTGATAAGACATACCATAATTTAAAATAAAAACTGTATAATATTAATGATCCGAGTTTTATTTCCTTGACATATCTTCGTTAGTTGTTAGATAGATAACTTTATTAAAATATGTACGAAAAATATAAATAAACGAAAATCATTAAATTGCACATAAATACGAACGATTCTAAATAATAATTTGGAATCTTAATTTTATATTAAATGGTTTAATAAATTCGTTTTAAACAAAACAATACTTGTTTTAAAACTACAGGGTGATTTTTTATTGCATAGTAACATTGGGATATCAAAGATGGTGAATGATATACAGTCAGTTAAATGGTACATTTTTGCATTGCAAGAGCTAACCAAAAGTAGCTAAAAGATTTATAATTGTCTTACGATACTTAAATTATACAAGGAAATTAAAAAGATGTAAGATTAAACATTTGTTGAAAACAAGTTGACCTCTATTGCAGGATCAAGCATTAGTATTTTTCACTGACGTTCAATCTTTTCGAGACAATGTTTTAAAATAACGTCCCTGATTTGTTTTGTATCTCTACCTATTTCCCAAGGAGACCTTCAGGGCTGCCGAGAGCCAGGTCGGGCCCCGCGACAACAATTTTATAAAAATTCAATATCACATTTCTAAAAAAAAGGTATTCAAGTAAAAACAAAAACTTTTCCTCTTTAGTGAAATCTCTAAAAAAATCTGATGTGTCCAACACGGGCTTTTTTCGGTTATTTTGAACAACCTATTGTAGCACCTCTATAAATGTTTTGAGGTTAACTTAATATATAAATTTTTCACAACATTTTTCTGTATCCATTCATTGCCAACGAAAATACTTTTATACTTTTCCTCCAATTTTTCCATTACGGTCCATTTTAGAGAAATCATGTAAAAAACAAAAATTATAGAGATCGATATCGCAAATATCTTGGAGTTTAACAATTTTCTTAAAAATCAGAATTTATTACATTTTGTAAAATTTCTCGAATACGGACCATTTTAGGAAAAATTTGTATAGAACAAAAATTATAGATAATAATATTAGAAGAATTTTATTCTCCAAACGTAAATAACAGATAAATTTCATAAAATATAAAAATTACCCCCTATAAAGTAACCCCCAGATGTTCCGACTCTGCCCAAAATATAATTAGTTTACCGCAGGCCGGAATAAAGCTTAAGTTTGATTTTGGTGTTTTTCTTTGTATCGGTTCATGAGTTATGGTGGATACAGACACACCACACACAGACAGACATCCCGAAAATAGCCAAAACGGATTTAGGCGACCCCAAAACGTAAAAAGCCGTCGAAAACTGCAGGTCGAAAAAATCATGATTCCTATACTTTCCTTATCTGTATACAGTTAGGAAAGTAAAAAGGTCTGCAAGCAAAAATAAAAAAACTTTTCTTTAGTGAAATCTCAGAAACGGACCTCCCTTTTGTGCTTGTGGCGAACAAAATAAAAAATCTGATGTGTCCAACACATGACTTTCCTATCTAGTTATAGGCGTTTTCCGGTTATTTTGAACAACCTATTGCAGCACCTCTATAAATGTTTAGAGGATAAACTAAATATATACGTTTTCTACATACATCTACCTCGAAACATTTTTCTATAGATATTCATTGAAAACGAAAATACTGAAAAATTTAAATTTAGCACTTTTCCTACAATTTTTCCATTACGGTCCATTTTAGAAAAATCATGTATAAACAAAGATTATAGAGATCGATATCGCAAACACTTTTCATAAAAATCAGAATTTTGCAATTTTGTAAAATTTCTCGAATACGGACCATTTCAGGAAATTTTGACATAAAACAAAAATTATAGATAATAGAAGTATTTTTTATTTGAACAATTTTCTTCTCCAAACATAAATAACAGATATATTCCATAAAATATAAAAACTGCCTCCCATAAAGTACCCCCCAGATGTTCCAACTTTGTAAAATCTAATCATTTCACGTCAGGCCAAAATAAAACTTAAGTTTAAAATTTAATGTTTTTTTCTTTATCCGTTTTTGAGTTTTCTTCAAAATTCGAAATTTACACATTTTCTCGAATACGCTCCATTTTAGAGAAATTATGTATAGGATAAAAATTATAAAAAATAAAAATTATTTTTTTACATTTTGTCAAATTTCTCGAATACGGACCATTTAAGGAAAAATTGTATAAAACAAAAATTATAGATAATATTAGAAGTAACTTTTATTTAAAGAATTTTCTTCTCCAAAAGTAAATAACAGATATATTCCATAAAATATAAAAATGACAACCTATAAAGTACCCCCCAGATGTTCCGACTCTGCCCAAAATGTAATTAGTTCATTGGATGCTGGAATAAAGCTTAAGTTTAAAATTTGGCGTTTTCCTGTGTATCGGTTCATGAGTTATGGTGGATACAGACACACACGCACACAGACATCATCGCGAACATAGTCAAAACGGATTCAGGGGACCTCAAAACGTAAAAATCCGTCGAAAACTCGAGGTCGAAAAAAATCATGATTCCTATACTTTCCTTATATCTGTATACAGATAGGAAAGTAAAAACGTACTTACCTGAAGCTGCCGGGCCCCCACTTGAGCCCGGGCCCCGGGAATTAGTCCCGGCTACCCCCCTCTTGTCGGCCCTGCCTACCTTTTAAAGTGGGGTACTGAGAAATTAACAAATATCGAATCTTCTGATCAACCATATTTTTTTACATAAATTAAAGAGTAAATTTTTATATAACCTAAAAATGAAAAATATAATAAAAAACATTTGAAAACAAAAATGTCACTGTGTGGAATCTTTCAAAATACCACCTCTCTACCTACCAAAAGTCTTTTCAACTTCTGTCCCTGCTTTCACGGCTCCGGTCTTACAGAACCATTTAGTTTTTGCGTGTTTATCCGGTTCCGGTGCTGAAAGGGTTAAATGTATAATTTCTCTAATTTATTTTATATATTTATTCTTTTATTTATTTTTCATAATTTTACATTTCTTAAATCGAATTCTTAAAAAAAAGCGGGAAAATTAAGTTCCTCAATAAAGTTACAGAATAACTTAGGGTAACGCAAAATTCAGTTTTCATACCTCCTCATTCTGCTGTCATCTTGATACAAAAATTTTACTATCATGATTAATTTCTGAATGTTAAAATTTTGTGAATTCAATTTTGGTATCAGGTTGACAGAAAAGCGAGGTATTTTAATTTTAAAAAAGGCGAGAAATTAAGTTTCTGAATCAAGTTACCATATAATTTAGGGCAACACAAAATTAAGTTTTCTTTCCTCCTCGCTCTCCTGTTACAAAAATTTTACTCACGATCCTGATACAAAGATTGGAGTTTCAAAAGTTACAATTTTGTGAATTACATTTTCGTTTCAGGATAACAGATAAGAGCAAAAAGATATTTTAAATAGCAGGAAATTTGTTAAATTATCGCATTTTACACCTATTTAAAATGTGTGGCTGGTGTCTGCATCTATCTTAGATGCTTTTTGAGAAAAGTCAACTTTTAAAACCATTTCTGTTAGAGGTAAATTGGGTATTGTATTTAGATCTAGATGTTCCATTCATGAGTACGCTATTTTTTTAATTTCTTATTTTACAGAAAAAGAGCAACATTTTTTGATAAAAAAAGGTTTTCGTCTCTGATTTGATGCGAATTTGGGGACAAGAGTTGCTTTCTATCTACAAGAGTATTTTTTTTTTTTAGTTTCCCTTAGTTACCTATAGTCGATTTTTCTAAAAATTCACGCAAACATAGAGCCGAACTGATTTAAAGTCCTCTTTGGCGCTCGTCAATATCTTAAGCCGTTTAGGAGTTACTCATGTTCAAAAATTCATCGATATAAAAAATCCTCCATTAAATTAAGAGTGAAATCCGACGTTTTAATAAATTTTCCGCCCATTCAAAATACCGCCTATACCTAGTCGCTCTGCTGTTATCTTAATAAAAAATCAAATCTAACGGCAATTTGATTAAGGAATTTAAATTTGCGTTACCTAAATTTATACGATAATTTGATTATGGAACTTAATTTTCCAGCTATTTTTAAAATACCTTCTATACCTACTCGCTCTTCTGTTATCCAGATACCAAAATGTTATCAACGAAAATGAACCTTTTGGATCTCGAATCTTTCACGCCAATTTTGTATCAGGATAAAAAAAGAGCTAGGCAGTAATAGGTGGTATTTTAAACCTCCAGAAAATTGGAAAATGTTTATTTCTGCTTCGATCTTAATGCAATTTTTGTCTGCACATTAATAAAAGAACGATAATTTACAGGGCAATATCCGTTGCTTTCTATCCATAAGATTTAATTACTTCTGCAATTTTCTCAGTTAATAATAGATTTATTCTCAAATTCGCACAAATAATAGCATATAAATTAGAATGCTCTTTGCCGATCGTCTCTAACTCGAGCCGTGAGTTGGTAAGTTTTAAAACTTCAAACACAATAGTCTTGTATTTGAGAGGCAAGACAGAATACAACAGTGTGTAATGTTGGTTGCCTACATTTACAAAAGTTGAAACTAGAATTATTCGCAAATAGATATGCAATGGCTTTTATAAATTTCGTCAGATACTTCATGTTTCTTAAAATTTTTAAAACAAAATAGATCTAATATTTTCATACAACGTTTGAATGATTCTCTAAATTCAGCACACTCAAATTCGTACAACTAATTTTTTTTTTAATTTATGCATTCCGTTTTCATTATTTCAAGGCCTACAAAGTTCATAAACATTTATGGAAGACACTTATTGAGACCTCTGTACAACAAGAAAATGAAAGACAACATTTATTTTTATAATTTATTAACAAATCCCAATAACCCAAGTACATATTTACATTTGGTCGAAGCAAAACATTCATTTGCGTTATTTTTATTATTAAATAAAGTAATTTTCATTTAACTTAACGTGTCAAACCTAACATTATTTCTTGTTTTTACACTAAAATTATATATTTTTAAAGTAGATATTATTAAAGTTTTTACCGTAGTTTATAAATACCTAAAAGTTAATCAAGTTTGAAACTAT